CATCTTCTCAATAATCAAAAGGCCAAGGATACTGATATTTGGCCTGTAGCATGCAGGGATGAAGGGCTACCAAGTTTGTTCAAATGAATGGCATTGACCCACTTTCAATGTCACAGGGGTCAAATGTCTTAAAATCTTCAAACAACTTCTTCTCAATAACCAAAAGGCCCAGGGTACTGATATTGGACCTGAAGCATGCTGGGATGAATGGCTACAAAGTTTGTTCAAATGACTGACCTTGACCCACTTTCAAGGTTACAGGGGTCAAATGTCTTGAAATCTTCAAACAACTTCTTCTCAATAACCAAAAGGCCCAGAGTACTGATATTGGGCCTTTAGCATGCTGGGATGAAGGGCTACCAAGGTTGTTAAAATGAATGACATTGACCCACTTTCAAGGTTACTGGGGTCAAATGTCGTGAAATCTTCAAAGAACTTCTTCTCAACAACCAAAAGGCCCAGGGTACTGATATTGGGCCTGTAGCATGCTGGGATGAAGGGCTAGCAAGTTTGTTCAAATTAATGACCTTGACCAATTTTCAAGGTCACAGGGGTCAAATGTTTTAAAATCTTTAAACAACTTCTCCCAATAACCAAAAGGCCCAGGGTACTGATATTTGGCCTGTAGCATGCTGGGGTGTGAAGAGGTACCATGTTTGTTCAAATGAATGACCTTGACCAACTTTCAAGGTCACTGGGGTCAAATATGTTAAAATCTTCAAACGGCTTCTTCTCAATAACCAAAAGGCCCAGGGTACTGATATAGGGTCTGTAGCATGGTGGAAAGAAGGGCTACCAATTTTGTTCAAATGAATGACATTGACCCACTTTCAAGGTCACAGGGGTCAAATGTCGTAATATCTTTTAACGACTTCTCGACAACCAAAAGGCCCAGGGTACTGAAATTAGGCCCGTAGCATGCTGGGATGAAAGACTACAAAGTTTGTTTAAATGAATGATCTTGACCCTCTTTAAAGGTCCCAGGGGTCGAATATGTTCAAAACTTGAAACGTCTTTTCAATAACCAAAAGGCCAAGGGTACTGATATTTGGCCTGTAGCATGCTGAGATGAAGGGCTACCAAGTTTGTTCAAATGAAACTTGACTTATATTCAAGGTCACAGGGGTCAAATATGTTAAAAACCTTTAAAAGAACTTCTCAATAATCAAAATGCTCAGGGTGATGATATTTTGCCAGAAACATGCTGGGTTGGAAGACTATAAACTCTGTTCAACCTAATGTCCTTGTTCGACATTCAAGGTCACAGGCGTCATATGTTATTGTTTTATATTTTTTGGCGGGGGGGTTTGTGATTGGATTAATATTGCATTGGAAACACAAACATTTACAACTGCCTGACCATAAAATCAAACGTCAAATATTACCTGTATATATGTATATAATTATTTCAATGCATCAAGTATCCATTTAATTCAAAATGACATGGTATAACAACCACTGACAACAAATTCAACATCACAAATACTACACATGTACTATTAAAAGTGTTATCTCCCAATAACAAAGGATCTTGACCTCCTAACTGTAGAGCCACTCATTCCTCCAGGTTGAAGAGGTGTATGTGTCCAAGGTGACCACATCTGATGTTCAAATTACAACGCGAACTGCTTACAGAAGAATTTATCGCAGGCAATACAAAGACTTGAACAGTTTTTAGCTCAAAACAACTTCTTCTCAGTAACCAAAAGGCCTAGGGTGATGATATTTGGCCAGAAGCATGTTTGGATGAAGGGCTACCAAGTTTGTTCAAATAAATGACCTTCATTAATTTTCAAGGTCACAAGGGTCAAATATGTTAAAATCTTTAAACAACTTCTTCTGAATAACCAAGAGGCCTAGGATGATGATATTAGGCCAGTAACATGCTTGGATGAAGGGCTTCGAAGTTTGTTCAAATAAATGACCTTGCCTTATATAATTAAATTCAAGGTCACAGGGGTCAAATATGTTAAAATATTTTAAACAACTTCTTCTGAATAACCGAGAGGCCTAGGGTGATGATATTTGGCCAGGAACATGCTGGGATGAAGGGCTACCAAGTTTGTTCAAATAAATGACCTTGACTTATATTCAAGGTCACAGAGGGCAAATATGTTTTAAACATTTAAACAACTTCTTCTGAATAACCAAGAGGCCTAGGGTGATGATATTTGGCCAGTAACATGCTGGGATGAAGGGCTACCAAGTTTGTTCAAATAAATGACCTTGACTTATACTCAAGGTCACAGAGGGCAAATATGTTTTAAACATTTAAACAACTTCTTCTGAATAACCGATAGGCCTAGGGTGATGATATTTGGCTAGTAGCATGCTGGGATGAAGGGCTATAAAGTTTGTTCAAATGAATGACCTTCATCTTTTTTCAAGGTCACAGGGTCAAATATATTCTTAACCTTTAAACAACTTCTTCTGAATAACCAAGAGGCCTAGGATAATGCCAGTAACATGCTGAGATGAAGGACTACCAAGTTCAAATGAATGACCTTGACATATATATTTTAAGGTCACAGGGGTCAAATATGTTTAAAACCATTGAATAACTTCTTCTTAATAAGCAAAAGGCCAAGGGTGATGATATTTGGCCATTAACATGCTGGGATGAAGGACTACCAAGTGAATGACCTTCGCCCATATTCAAGGTCACAGTGGTCAATATATGTTTAAATCTTAAAATGATTTGTTCTGGTATAACCAAAAGGTTCAGGGTAATGATATTTTTCCAGAAGCATGCTAGGTTGGAAGACTATAAACTCTGTTCAACCTAATATTATAATGTCCTTGTTCGACATTCAAGGTCACAGGTGTCATATGTTTAAATCTTTCAATAGGTTGTTATGAATGAAACACTTATATTTTGCCTGTAACTGTATTTTAGTCCACTTTTAAGATTACAAGTGTGAGATTAATACCAGGTGACCGATGCAGGCCCATTGGGCCTCTTGTTGTATTCTCAAAGTATGCCACTTACACATTCCCACCACGAGGATGGCATCTGTCTCAGCGCTGCTGGTATATTTAATATGTATTCAGATATTCCTTGATATTATCCATCGTTGTATCACCAAACCCCTTTATGATACAAAAATCATGCTGGACAAATGGCAGTATAACATGATTTTTATTGACTATCTGCATACTTTATAAAGAGTCATCACTTGATGCTGTATCTCCAACAAAGAAGGGTTCTGATGTAAGAGCTTCTGCTCTTAAGTTATTTTCAAAAGCAAGGTAGCAGAATCAAAGAAAGATAGATACATATTTATTATAATTTCAGTTATCATAAAAACACTTGTATTACTGTTGGGATTCAATTGTGGGCTCTCTTGATTAAAAAACTAAACTTATTTTACTGTGTAATCAATCTAGATATTAATTTTGCTAACACTTTCTGAAATATTCATTGGAAATAAATTCACACTGCTTTAACTCCCTTAAAGGACCCACAACTTTTGGAGGCCTGTTTTAACATCCTGGTGTTGGCATTTATATACTTTGATCAAGACCATATTTTAAAGACTTAATTTTTTAACAATCTGTAGTATACAAAATGTAGCCCATGCGTTTCGAAATTAATGATGAGACATCTGTTTTGGCCTTTTTTATGGTAGAATTTGTCTTTGTGTAAACAGAATATAAAGTAAATGCTGGGATGCATGCAACCATTCTTTAAAACTGGCCACTCAGTACTTTGATAAACTGGACTTCCACTGGCAATCATGGATTTGTCCTAGTCCAAAAAAACAGAAAAGAAAGTAGTTTTTTTTGCATTGTGCACCTGCATGTCAGTAACTGTATGACATGCAAATTCTGTGGTTGTTTTTCTCTTCACCAGACATGTATATGATAAAAATATAACAATATGACGTTTTTCATACCAGATCTGAGATTAGCTCTCGACCTAAGCACAGGAGTTTGTTTTGATCAATATGTAAACATGTATGATATTGTATCGTATGACAACATACTACATAGGTTGTTGTCGTTAACATTTTTACTTATTACCTGTTGATCAAAACAAGCTCCTATAACCTATATCATGCATTTACAATGAATTTAGGAGACATGCTCCAGTTCGGCAGTTTGAAGGGGGAAAATATCACATTAAGCATTTCAAGCTACATTGATGACTGAACGTTTATATTACATACCCAGCTGTGCACAAACAGTTCATTTGTTTGTCCTCTCTTATTTCATGATCTGCAACCACCCACATATTATGGTCAACATCATTATTCAGTCTTTTGATGGAGTTATACACTTAACGCAGCAATCTCCAACAGTATAGTGTAGAACAATTCTTTGAGAACGTTTGATGAAAAATACTGGTAATAAAAAATACTGTTAAGATTTTGTTCTTTATGCTCGTGTTTAAGCATTTTTGAGTTGCAGTTAGATCAGCTGTCGACATAAAACGTTTCACGATGTCTTGGCAAAATACAGGGGCCTCATACTGAAAATACCGTTCTTACCATCTGATATATAAACAATGGATCTTTAATAATGACATCAACAATGTTCAAACAATTGCTATAGTCTCACTTGCTTTGCTCTGACAACTGACATGATGTTCAAACTTTGCTGATATTCATTTTCCGGACGGCGTAACATAGGCCTAGTGCACTTAGGCTACTCCTCTTTTGTCCCATTCGTAGCAAGTCCACGGTCCGACAAGAACCGGCAAGCACTGCTTCATATCTATGTTTTTAACTTCGTCTAAAGATAAAGTTTGGTCACCTGGATCCGTGGTTAATTCATCAATGTGTTTTAATGAGATTCATATAAAAATGTTCTATAAAACGATACCAAAGAATCACTAAATACGACGACAATAATGTTTACATGGTAATCATAACGAGGCTACGATTTTTAACCGAAAAAAAAATTCACGTGGCCGCTTACATCATCATTTAGCGAGGTGTTGATTCGTCTATTGGAAACATTTGTTCAGTTCTAAAATATGACCTTTTTCTGTTTTACAGCAATGTCCTAATATAATTCTAAGATGGCCGAAGCATCCCCAACACTAGAATACAAGTGTTTGTTGTGCATGAAGCCGTACAACCAGCCGAGGGAGCTACCGTGTAACCACACTTTCTGTTGTTCCTGTTTGACGTCATATATCGATAAAGAACACAGGACTGCAGATGAGGACCGTCACTACTTTCCATGTCCAGTCTGTGACAAACCAACTAGCCTACGTGACGTCAACACAGATGTAGACACCTGGGGGACCTCGTTTCCCATAAACAATATGTTCATCAACCCAACAGTAAAGACGTCGGATGACGAGAACTGTGACGCTTGTCGAGAGGAAGGAGAATCGAATCCTGCCGTTGTCTGGTGCACTGACTGCGCTAAATTACTCTGTAAACAATGTAGAAGCTTTCACAAACGAATCAAGGTGTCACCAAAACACCAACTGGTTCCCAGCAAGGATGGGGGATATCGTAACACAACCATTAACGAAAACTGTCCAAACCACGAAGAACGAGAATTGGATGTTTACTGTCTTGATCACAGCTCCATGTGTTGTTGTATATGTGTGTCCGTTTCACACAAAAATTGTAATCGCATTAAACCAATAGATGATGTGATTAAGACAACCTTTACTGGGCAACCTTCACTCGAGACAGCATGGAAAATTATCAAAGACGAGGCAACGACGATGTTAGAGGACGATGAGTCTGAGATGACCTTATTGAACTCAAAAGAAAAGGAAGTAACAGTGGAGGTGGCGCGAATGATACAGCAAGCCAAAGACAAGCTTGATGGTCTCAACATAACGTTTAAATCGGAACTCGCGGATAAATGCAACGCACTCAGAAAACAGGTTTCGGATCGCATGAATTGTGTAAAGAAATTCCGCACAAATTCAGAAAATTCCAATATTTTGATGAATCGTATTGACAAGCAGGGTACAGATCGTCAGCGATTCATCACGAGAGAGAAAACGAAACATCAGATGTCGGAACATTATCGCCACATGGATCAAAACACGGAGAAGCAGCCTAACACATTTGACCTGAAACTCAATATAGGAACTGTTATTGACGACATCATGAAATTGACATCCATTGCGAAAGTTGACGTGACATCGAAAATATCATCGACCTCACAGAATGCGGATTCACGTATCGGTACCTTGCTAGCTACTCTGATGGCAACACCTTCAGCTACAACATTTGCCGACTCTACTTCAGCGTCCGACCTCGTCGGATCTCCAACGCGAGGACCAGCAACAGTGGATGTGTGGACTTGTTCCTTCTCGTGCGCACTCTCGGTCGGTAGTCGTGCACTGGCAGGAGAAGTAACGCCCTGTTTGACAGGAGGAATATTTACTGACAGTGGTGAATTACTTGTCACAGATTTCAATAACCGCAGGCTTGTGTTGTTTGATGTCAATTATTGCTACAAGAGCGAATACAAAGTTGATCAAATGCCAGCTGACATAACGCGTGGACTTAATACTGATGAGATACTTGTCGGTATACGCGAGGGATTTATGAGGTTTACACTACGAAACGGTAAACTGACCGTAATCGAAACAATCAGCTGTATAGGCGTCGTCTATGGAATAACAGTTCTCGGAGATAACATCCTGGTTAGTACTGCTGATAGTGTGGAAGTAATGTCATCGGATGGAAAAGTTAAAAAGTCAATACAGATGAAGAAAAGTGGATACTGGACACCTATCGCCGTATCTACATATACGTTAAAGTGTTACTACCTAGATGGTGATGACATCGTGTGTAGACGACGAGACAACGACGTAGAAGACTACAGATACAGTGACCCTGGTCTGAGGGATCCTATTGGTATCGGACTGGACCGTGATAACAATGTATATGTGTGTGGACTTGACTCCGGCAATGTTTACATTGTTTCACCTGACGGGTCACGGGGGAAGGCACTAGTTCCCAGTCTCTCTAGTATCACCAATCCATACGGGATAATTGTCCATCCCACCAAACAAGAGTTTATAGTCACATCCTACGGGGACACTACTTCACTTGAGGTGTACAGATACTTTGGCAATACCTAGGTTATTCAATGAGTTAATGTTGTTTTTCTAAGTGATACTCGTTGGTTTTAATAAGGTCAATCCTGTTAAAACACATCGAACATTTTGTTTCTAGATCGTTTTTCCTACTTTCAGACCATGCATGCTATTAGAAAGGAAATTATATTAACTAAAATGTAGATTATGTCTATTACCTATATTCCAGATGGTCACATGATTTAAACCATGAATATCCTTTTTGTCAATGGTTTTCATTTCCTTCATTATCTCTTGTTTTGAATTAAAACAAAATGTTATGACTTGTTTACATCATAGTACTAAATATATCTGAAATTTAACGCACCATTGAGTTTGTCTGCGATACATATGGCAGTTATACCAATAGGTCTGGCACATCTTTGCAGTTCATTGTTTAAATGTCAATCGCTTTTGTAACCAAATTGAATACTACACAATGACAGATCAAAATAACAAGTTTAATTATATACCTACATTGTATGTCATCCAGGGCTAAAATTCTTTTGTTGATTAATTAAGATGCGTTTAATCTAGCGAAACCACTAAGTACCGCAAACATATCTTAACAATATATATCTGTGGAAACATTGGCCATAAGACCTTGATTATTAATTTTGTTTATGTAACTGCCATATGTGTCGCAGACCAACTGACATGTGCACTAAGTTTGTCAGTGTTTTTAATATATAAAACAATGCAATTAACATTGATGTTCCCCTATAATTCAAAAGTCTCCGTTGTAATCGACGAGGCCTGGTCAATGCCTAGAAAAGAAGTAGAGGAACAGCTTAAGTCACGCGCTGTTTCTCGCACAGAATCAAAATACAAAACAAAAAAATCTGATTTGAAATCATATTTGAAATGAATGTTATGATCAGATGTTAAAGAACTATGATATAAAGCTAGAATGACCTTATCATCTTGTATCGAAAATTGTGACAAGACAAATAACTGGTAATGCGAATATTATCATGTTGACATCAATTTTATATGAAATGAACGCTTATACAGTCCAACGTTTTAACAGCAATTGTTTTAGATAATGATGGAAGTTAAAATATCTGCAGCCATTCTTTAAATCTTTCAAAATTCACAATTAACAGGTGTCACTACGTAAATACACATTTTGTACTTGAATTATTATGGTGGTTTATAAGCTGTTTGAAAAGTGTTAAGTTGAACAATTTCAAAAAGAGGCTCCTGCTATAGACAGTTGCTTATAAAGTTCTATATAACTTAGTAGAGTCAATAAAGGGGAGGTGCATGTGTATCAGAGCCCTTACTTGACACACCAGTCTTTGGCTAGTCAATATCTTGTAAGTGCTAACAGAAATATAGAAAGACAACATTAAGTAACATTGTAATTCTTACTTTATTTACATGTTATATTTTTATTCGGAAGTTGTATATAAATCTTCAATACTTGTATTGAAGATTTATATACAACTTCCGAAATAATTGAACGAACTCCCAAAATGTACATGATTATTATAAACCACACGTTATATTAATTGAATACAAATATATAGATTGTTAACCCATATACAACGTACATATGATATGACAAGAATATAATCTACATAATTGGTCTTAATAAATTACAATAAAGGTAAAACACAAATGTATAAACTATGAAACTGTTTTCAATGTCAATTACGGTAACGGTTCTATTTTACAAGTTCCGATCTATATAAGTAAAACAATAACAGTATACCTGCGTTAAATTGCCACCTCGTGAACCGCCAACTTAACTGTGTCTCCTTTGCTTTATCGTCAATCCATTTAATAACACCAACATTTGGATGGACAAATGGTGGCATTATAACGAGGTTTTGTTATGAATGGATATTTGATTATATTGCATATTTTTATTGTTGTTATTGAGATTCCCAATCAGATGTGTAAAAGTATTATTGTTACTGAAATATATATATATATATATTGAAAATATATATTGGCCAAACAAATTAGGTCATGCTCACAAAGCTGTTGGAATATTTTTCTCTCCCACGCTTCACGTATTCATAGGGAAAGATAATCCTGCCTTTCCCTACCAAGGGACAACGTCACTATCGCGGCATCCCTTTCAGCAGTACTAACATCACACAAGAGTGATATATGTTATTAGTCTACACGGTGTCTGGTGAACTTGCTGGTCATCAAGCACTTTCCAGATAAATATTTAGAATTTGGTCATATGAAAACATAGGGCCTTAAGACATTTTATCCAAACTTTTCTCGCAGTACCCGTTCAACAAAAATATATGATTTCCTAGAGTTCAATGGTTCTATAGTTTGTGTATTTTTGGTATATTATTATATGTTTATGAACACGAATGTACTAAGTATAAAATGAAATGAAGTTCTTGTTCAAAAACTAATGTTTAGTCTTTCAAATAATTTATATTGTATACTTATTTTAAAAAATCAAGCAAACGATTAAGCCGACATTTCGACTTACCGAGAAATTTAGCGCATTGTTTGAAGTATTAACAATTTCATATTGTGTTTTTTAACCTCTATATGGTGCATAGATGGAAAAACGTTCATGCACAAAAAATAAATAAAAAAATACCGGTAGGTCATGGGGTAATCGAGACGGTTGGGATTTGTTGCGCTACATTTCAAATCGATCAATCAAACTATCCTTTATACACCGTATATGGCCGGATCAGTGAGGTTTCACTTTAGTTCTCTTGTATTAAGCACGTAATATATTGAACATAAACTATTCAAACTACATTTTTAAAGATTCAGCAAATGTAAAAAAACACCATGCTTACCTGTCAGCTGCCAAACATTTTTGCTTTAGATATATAGGTTTGTAAACACACATAGTGATAGAAGTAGTATACCCACTTGAACCCTATATGAAACTTAATTTAAATGGTTTGTTACAAATATGCAATATAAATGTAACAAGCTATTAACATTAATTCCAATGTGCTGCTAATTCATAGCTATAAATGCAAGATAAAATTTACATCATAAAATTAAAGTACATACATTTTTTATATTTCTACCTTGTCGTCTTGAAACTTACACGAAACTTGCATTTTCTGTTATATGTAAACACGAGCTATTGATACTTTTAATTTACTAATTACTAATAACAATAACTTCAAGGTAAGATATGCTTATCAAAAAATATCTATAACATAAATAATTTACACACGTTCCTATATTTCTGTCAGGTCATACATACATTTATGACTTCTTTATGTTGAGGTAAAATGTATATTGCTCTAAGATAGCTTGTACTGATAAGTGTCTAACTTACTTTGGTTTAACTAATTTTGAAAATTATTTTGACTTATCAGTACACCGAGTACAATGGGGAAAACGTTTTTTTTTAACTATTTTAAAAGTTTGTTCTGTCGTCTCTTTAGAGGAATTTGAAGAAATCATGTTTGTGTACCTCAATTATTTATATATTTTACGACAACTGTCGCTAGTTTTTATGCGGACAATTATTTGACGAGATTTACGGGGCCATTCCGACTTGGCTGCCTTAATCTTCCGACACGGTGGTATCTCACGATGTCATCGCGAGTGATTGGAATGTCGGCTTTCTCACAAGTATCGAGTATGAGAGTCGTTGAATCCTCATGTTGCTCCCCATGTTCTCGTTCTCTAGAAGTTCTAATTTAAGTTGAATGGGCGCCACCTCCTCCTTAATCATATCGCAAAGTTTAGCCTCAGTTTTACCAAATACACGATCGGCTGTCTTTTCGATTTGTTCGTCGACAATGTCACAGATGTGGGTCTATTAGCTATAAGTCTGTGGCATGGCATGGCACTGACCAGAGTTGTAAACAAAGTGGGGATCCATTCCAACTTGCGACACAGGTACACTTTGTATTCCCTCACCAAAATATACAGTACACAGTTCGGGAGGTTCTGGTGACTCAAGAACGTAATTGTATACGGAGTTTTTTTTTACAAGCGGGCAAATCTGATGATGATGAAGAGGAACTCCTATCGCTTCTTGATCTTTTATCATTGTCAGTATATATACTGGACATATTAACCAAGGTACATGTGTAACCACGACATACGTACAGGTTCAGATATAGTCAGCGATATGCGTGCAGCGTGAGTTCAGTATAGTTCATTATAGTTCATTCAGTTGTGAAGTAATGGGCACATATTACATACAAATACAGCTATTCAAACTAGCTTCAAATGTCATTTTACCTTCCAAAACATGGCCAGCTGTATATCTTAAGTCTTAAGGTTTCACATGTCAAACATGCACGGTAAATCTCCAGCACTAGCTTAGTCAAATAACATATTTGTTGGAGCACTGTAAATAGTTTTGTCACTGCAAAAGGAAGTGTATTTATGTCAAGCGACAGATATGTTCACATTGTATTTGTATTGAGAATAAAATGCAGGTTAGTTTCAAAATAGCATTTATCTGTAGCCTAAGGAGACTACAAACTTAGTTCGTTGAGGTTGGTTCCGTCTCAATTAATGTTCCTAATATAAACATCAGCTGCCTTTTGAGATTCCCTCCATTTCCTCGGATATCATGGAAAGTGTCTTGGAAGCTAAAATTTTGTATCTGAAATAAACGAAGATCCAATATGTGTTAGGAAAGAACATACATTTTATTACAAATGTATACTAATTTAATTAACATATTTCGTTATGTGTGATATTACACATATCGTGCGATCATCAGTATTTGTTATTTCGATGACCACATCAGCTGTAAAAATTTCAACATAAACAACATAATGTCATCTTCACGAGGAATTCTATTTCAATTGTTTAATTGAAATTATTTTTCTGTTTTGATTTCGAAAAAGAGGAGGTCAAACATGTGTAAACTTAGCATCCCAACATTTTAAATCGACATCTGACTTCGTCGTATTTTTTCTGCATCAAAATATGGTGTGTATTTCATAATGTTTAATGTATCTGTAAATACACATTCACTTAAAAAGAACTCGTTCGTGGAACTATAAATGCCATTATTGTATATTATAAATAAAACAGAACTACCAATTAAAAATATCATTACTAGTACATGTACATGAAAAATTACAACACAAGTTAACACAACAAAAGTGTAATGATGTATTCATATAGAAAAAAAAGTTAGAAAAGTAAAACACTTTAAGCATCTACAAAATTAAAATATTAGTATAAAAAATCAATGAAAGAAGCTATAAGAGTAAACACGTGTTAATAATACAACAAATAAAAGAGAAATAGAATATATACAAATATTAACCGTGCCATAACTGGATGGACAACAACAACATGAGTCAGATCTTGTTTCACCAAATGTTTTTTTTATATCCTTGGTCCAACATTTTATGGACCTATTTTCGCGAATTCAATATTACGGCATTGAAAAAGTCGTTTTTGAACTTGTAACATTTCATGTACATCTTTTACAATTACTGAAATATATCCTGTGAAAAGTGAAAATAATATTCCTACGAAAAGTACATGTATGTCGTAATTGTTGAGTCCAAGTAATAATTTAGACTGAATTAATAATTCGAATTTTCTTAATTTGTTATAACCCGGTCTGACTCTATGTTTATAAGTCACAAAAGTGCAGTATTTGATTCCAGTATTTATAAAGAAGATATATGCATATACCTTAAACCGTCAAACTAGCAAACATTTGCTTTCAGCACATGCAAAGATTTGAAGCGTTGTACCGGATAACTACAGGCAATATAACTACGGATTCAAGGATCTATGTATTTATATTATTCACCAAAATCGCTCTGTTCCAAAGTAGGTTACTTGCCATTCGTTTATTATTGAATCAAGAATAATCCGAAAGGGAATCTACATTAAAATGGCGTGTTGTGATCCAGCAAGATAAACGGAGGATAACAAACTCGTGACCTAACTAATAAACTACTTCAAATTACTTGATAACGATTACAAATGTTTGCTGATTTGAAACCACTGCGGTTCTGTGAAGGCTGTTTTCTGTGTTCACGTTCATGTTCGAATTGTTTCATAAAAGAGGAAATGTATTTTGTATATAAAATTTCAACATTTGGGAAAAAGGAGTTGGACAAATGAATAAACAGAGCACAACCTTTACAGCTATTTTACCAGTACTAGTGTCTATTGACCAGACCAAGGAAGGTGTACACGTATTGGGGTACAATGTGGGGATTACAATGTGTTGTGCTTTAAAAATAACCGGTAGATACTGCTAATCACATATTTTTCGAGAGCTTTGCATGTTCGTATTCATTTGGAAGGTGAGACGAATGTGGAATGAGGTATCACATGACAATTTATTGACGCACATCGATATGTGTTACACAGCTGTTGATGCATCTTTCTACAATCATAATATTGGCGAATACGTCATCAAACGTTCTTGCTTTACTTTATGATTATTTGCTACAGTATTTAATCAGTATTAAAAAGCAAAATAAAAATAAATAAAAAATATCACGAATTAAACTTACAATATAAATATAGTATTGTTTATACCTTGGATGATTCCAATCCTCTCGAATAACTGATCTAAACCATAATAACGAAAATATAAATCCGCGAAAAGTATGTGATTTGCAATATATCTTTATCAGTAATTTGTTATAACTCACCAAACTTTAACTAAGTGTATTACATGGTTAGTTGAATAATTGCTAAATTATTTCTTATTTCTTATTAGTTCTTATTTACAAAAAATAAAGACAAAATTTTTATTAATATATTTTAGTATTTTACTAAAAATCAAAAATATAAGAATGGCTGCATTGTTTCAATAAACACCATAAATCCTTGCCAATTAGGCATCAATTAATTACTTTTTAGCATTGATTAGCATGCATAGAGCCATGTCGAAAGTGTATCGACCAGATTCTTATATGCATGTTTATATCAAGCGAGACTTGCTACAAACTCTTTTTCAGAAGCAGTTGTTCTTTCCATTCGACGTTTGTCTCTACATTGCTCTACGACATCATAAACGCTGAAAGCAAAATCTTTTGTGTTAGTGCAATTAGTGCCCAGGACCAAAGGTTAACCTGTTGTGCAAAGTTTATACAACCTATATCCAAGCAGTGACGTCATTCCTGTAATTCCAATCCTCCGGGTGGATTTAAATGGACTGCATTAAATAAAAAACAATCGAAACGAAACTCTAACATTGAAAATGAAAAATTGTGCTTTTCTTTTCTTGACACGATTAAAACAACATAATAATGCAATTGAGTCGCATAAAGCATTGTGTAAAAAGCCCGTTTTCCTAAAGCACATTATATGTGAAATATATGGGATACTTTGTCACGTGGTAAACATGTAAACTCATACTCGGGATGCCCCCGAAGGGCACGGAATACTTGTGGTAAAGCAAATGATGAGTATGCAATAATATTCAAATTGTAAAGTTACAAATCCTTTTATATCTAGTACAAATTGAATGGTTCATATATTTACATATACTGGTTTTCATTAAAATGTATCCTAATACTATTTATGATTATCAAAATACAAACCAAGTAATTCAAGTATACACCAAAAAAACCCAGAGATATGTTTACATTGACATTATATTATCATACTGAAGGGTCTCGTTAGGTTCGACATTCGCAATAACGAATTTTCAAGAACAATTTACATCAAATAATTATTAATTTGTTTTTATTTGTTTTAGAAAACATTTCCTCTCACAAGTTTTTCCGAATAATTGTTTTTCGGAAAATTTGCTCCGAAATGTGTTTCCAATATTGTTTTCTCGTTGACACGCCAACCGCTGTTTATCAATATGCACAGTTTTATTTGTTTTTATATCTATATATCTATACGAGTGTCTTCCAATGACGAATATTCCATTCCATCCGCTGGAAACTTTTATATTTCAAAAGATACAATGCCTATACTACATAATCACATGTTTAATATTTTTCTGAAAAAGTTTCACTTGACAAAATAAATGTGAACAAGAGCATTATTTTACAAAGTAGTAAATACCTGTATCCCCCTTAAAGCATACACCTAATCTAAAATACATTCAAGAGTTCAAGAGTATTATTTTTATCTGAATTGCAGTAATAAAACAAATCCCCTTTACATTATATCTAAGGTGTCTATGATAATCTTATGGAGATTACCAAACATTGAAATGGGAGTATAATTTGCCATACTTCTTCACATTACAAATCGCTGTAGATGCATGTACAAAACAGGAAATGATTTTCGATTTTTTTTCATTAAAACGCTATTGGTGTTACCATCCTCATCCAACACGTTACCTCTGTCTTCGCTGTCTGAGTAGACTGCCTCACGACTCTTTCGTATATTGTTCTGTTGGTCCATCTCATGCTCGTCCGAGTCATCAGGCCAATGCAAACCCACGAACAGTTGATATGTAAAAGCTCCAACCACTGCTCCGACATGTGGACCAATCACAGGCACCCAAAAGTAGGTGTAATCTCTGTGACTAAATGAAAAAAGGTTTTGTTTTATGTTTTAGCTACTTGAATGCGTTACAAATAGTTTGACCGATTAAAAAAAGAGTTGCTCATTTATAAGGTAGTAACGGACTTGTGTTACGTTTTATTTTTTGGGGTGCGAAATAACAAAGCATTATATTAAAATTTGCAAGTCCGCCGGGCTGTATATAGGAAAATCTGATACTTGAAAACGAATGAACCTGTTTGTCCCATAAAGAATTGGTTTGACATTTTGAAAGTATAGCATATCTGACCTAGTGACTGCAATCTTAACTGAAACTGTTTTCTCTGGGTTAACTTTCTTAAATAAGTGATTTTTTCGTGTCTTTTTGTTGCTGAAGATAAAGGGAAATTAACTACCATAGTATACACGTGCTATTGAGTACCGCAAAAGACAAACATTTCAGGACATTTTTTAGATAATGCTTCAAAACCTTTTTTGTCAAAACAGGCAAAATTATATAAGGTCATTTATTGTCCTTTAAAGCTTTTTCATTTATTTAATAGTTATCAAGTTTTTATGAATTTTAGTTATTATCTTGATAAACAAACAATTAATAAAATGAATGAGGTATTTTCTGATACGGATAGAACATATGAGAAGAAAACGTTTGCTGTAAATTATTCACCCTATATCCTATTAACATTTTTCAAAAACCTTAAATCAATAGACATACTGTTATATATCCCTTGGTATTAACAATTGATATCGTCTTGTCTATTTTAATTATAAATTTCAGCGGTGAAAATGAGTACTCGCTAAAATTATGCATCTTAGTATCTGTGATGAAATCACCTTACCTAAATGGATCACTTCCCCAACCTGCAATTGCAGTAAATATCCTAGGCGCCAGATCTCGCGCTGGGTTGATTGCGTAGCCACAGTTTAGTCCATATGTCATACCAATGACGAAGACCACCAGACCGATACTGATCGGGACGAGGCCTTTATGTGGGGTCATGTTTCTCTCGTCAGTGATGGCCAATACACAGATCAGCAATACGGCCGTACCGAAAACCTATTAAATAGAAAGAAATATGGTTCATACACATAACTACTCACATTCACAACTACTGACAAATACGACAGTCGTACTAACGTGATTGACAAATACGACCGTCGTACTAACGTGATTGACAAATACGACAGTCGAACTAACGTGACTGACAAATACGACAGTCGTACTAACGTGACTGACAAATACGACAGTCGTACTAACGTGACTGACAAATACGGCAGTCATACTAACGAGATTGACAAATACGACAGTCGTACTAACGTGATGGACAAATACGACAGTCGTACTAACGTGATTGAAAAATCCGACAGCCGTACTAACGTGATTGACAAATACGATAGTCGTACTAGCGTGATTGACAAATACGACAGTCGTACTAACGGGATTGACAAATACGACAGTCGTACTAACGTGACTGACAAATACGGCAGTCATACTAACGAGATTGACAAATACGACAGTCGTACTAACGTAATTGACAAATACGACAGTCGTACTAACGTGACTGACAAATACGGCAGTCATACTAACGAGATTGACAAATACGACAGTCGTACTAACGTGATTGTCAAATACGACAGTCGTACTAACGTGATTGACAGATACAACTGACGTGCTAAACTGACAAATGCAACTATTGGACTAGACTGACAAAAAGGACTGTCGTACTAGTGACAAATACGACAGTCGTACTAACGTGATTCACAACTACTGACAAATACGACAGTCGTACTAACGTGCTTGACAAATACGACAGTCGTACTAACGTGATTGACAGATACAACTGACGTGCTAAACTGACAAATGCAGCTATTGTACTAGACTGACAAAAAGGACTGTCGTACTAGTGACAAATACGACAGTCGTACTAACGTGATTCACAACTACTGACAAATACGACAGTCGTACTAACGTGATTGAAAAAAACGACAGTCGAACTAACGTGATTGACAAATACAACTGACGTGCCAAACTGACAAATGCAACTATTGTACTAGACTGACAAAAAGGACTGTCGTACTAGTGACAAATACGACAGTCGTACTAACGTGATTGTCAAATACGACAGTCGTACTAACGTGATTGACACATACGACAGTCGTACTAACGTGATTGACAAATACAACTGACGTGCTAAACTGACAAATGCAGCTATTGTACTAGACTGACAAAAAGGACTGTCGTACTAGTGACAAATACGACAGTCGTACTAACGTGATTGTCAAATACGACAGTCGTACTAGCGTGATTGACAAATACGACAGTCGTACTAACGCGATTGACAAATACGACAGTCGTACTAACGTAATTGACAAATACGACAGTCGTACTAACGTGACTGACAAATACGGCAGTCATACTAACGAGATTGACAAATACGACAGTCGTACTAACGTGATGGACAAATACGACAGTCGTACTAACGTGATTGTCAAATACGACAGTCGTACTAACGTGATTGACAGATACAACTGACGTGCTAAACTGACAAATGCAGCTATTGTACTAGACTGACAAAAAGGACTGTCGTACTAGTGACAAATACGACAGTCGTACTAACGTGATTGTCAAATACGACAGTCGTACTAGCGTGATTGACAAATACGACAGTCGTACTAGCGTGGTTGACAAATACGACAGTCGTACTAGCGTGATTGACAAATACGACAGTCGTACTAGCGTGGTTGACAAATACGACAGTCGTACTAGCGTGATTGACAAATACGACAGTCGTACTAACGAGATTGACAAATACGACAGTCGTACTAACGTGATGGACAAATACGACAGTCGTACTAACGTGATTGTCAAATACGACAGTCGTACTAGCGTGATTGACAAATACGACAGTCGTACTAACGGGATTGACAAATACGACAGTCGTACTAGCGTGGTTGACAAATACGACAGTCGTACTAGCGTGATTGACAAATACGACAGTCGTACTAGCGTGATTGACAAATACGACAGTCGTACTAGCGCGATTGACAAATACGACAGTCGTACTAACGTAATTGACAAATACGACAGTCGTACTAACGTGATTGTCAAATACGACAGTCGTACTAGCGTGATTGACAAATACGACAGTCGTACTAGCGTGGTTGACAAATACGACAGTCGTACTAGCGTGATTGACAAATACGACAGTCGTACTAGCGCGATTGACAAATACGACAGTCGTACTAACGTAATTGACAAATACGACAGTCGTACTAACGTGACTGACAAATACGGCAGTCATACTAACGTGATTGACAAATACGACAGTCGTCCTAGCGTGATTGACAAATACGACAGTCGTACTAACGAGATTGACAAATACAACTGACGTGCTAAACTGACAAATGCAGCTATTGTACTAGACTGACAAAAAGGACTGTCGTACTAGTGACAAATACGACAGTCGTACTAACGTGATTCACAACTACTGACAAATACGACAGTCGTACTAACGTGCTTGACAAATACGACAGTCGTACTAACGTGATTGACACATACGACAGTCGTACTAACGTGATTGACAAATACGGCAGTCATACTAACGTGATTGACAAATACGACAGTCGTATTAACGTGATTGACAAATACGACAGTCGTACTAACGTGATTGACAAATACAACTGACGTGCTAAACTGACAAATGCAACTATTGTACTAGACTGACAAAAAGGACTGTCGTACTAGATTGGCAAAAACGACAGTCGTACTAAACTGACAAATACGGCAGTCGTACTAAACAGACAATTACGACTGTCGTACTAAACTGACAATAACGACTGTCGTACTAAACTGACAATAACGACTGTCGTATTAAACTGACAAATACGATATTCGTACTAAACAGACAAACCCGACTGTCGTACTAGACTGAAAAAACCCGACTGTCGTATTAGATTGACAAATACGACTTTTATACTAAACTGACAAATACCACAGTTGTACTAAACAGACAATAACGACTGCCGTACTAGACTGACAATATCGACTGTCGTACTAAACTGACAAATACGACTATCGTACTTAACTGACAAATACCATTTCGTAAAAGACTGACAAATACGACTGTCATATTAAACTGTCGTACTCAACTTACAATTACGAATGTCGTTCTAAACTGACAAATACGAATGTCGTTCTTAACTGACAAATACGACTGTCGTACTAGATTGACAAATACGACTGTCGTACTAGATTGACAAATACGACTGTCGTACTAGATTGACAAATACGACTGTCGTACTAGATTGACAAATACGACTGTCGTACTAGATTGACAAATACGACTGTCGTACTAGATTGACAAATACGACTGTCGTACTAAAGTTAAAATTACAACTGTCGTTATAGACTGATACATACGACTGTCGTACTAGACTGACTGTCATACTAAATTGACAATAACGATCGACTGTCGTAGTAGACTGACAAATACGCCTGGCAAACACGACCGACAAATACGACTGTCGAACACGCATGACAAGTAAAAATATTTAACATGACTGGCAAAAACGACTGTCGAACACGCCTGACATCTACTACGGAAACACGACTGATAAATACGACTGTTGAACACGACATACTTATATGTCTGACAATTATGACTGACATACACGATTGACCAATACGACCAAAAATATGGCGATAGCAGTGATATAAAAACTTCTTTAACCACCAAAGTCCTGGGCCCGTATTCATAAAACCGTTTTCATGGTCAAGCAAGGATTTTGTGCTAGAGCCTAGTTTTTGTTCCGCTTACAAATTATCTAAAAATGTTATTTTGTCGATGATTTAGAAACTTCAACCCGAATACTGTTCTCAATGTTTACAATTGATTGTTTGGTAATTTGACATGATTTAAGTGAGTTACAAGGAAACTGGTTTGAGCACAGAATTCGTGACTGAGCATGAAAATGGCTTCATTAATATGGGGCCCGGTCTGGGCGTATTCACACCTATCACATTTGTTTAGCATGTTTATCCATCCCAGCGCGGTAGATCCTTAGTATCGTAACAGCTGCTCTTGATCGTATTCTTACAAACAAGATATTTGATACAAAATCAATAATGGTGTAAAGGCTTGTGTACCTCGACACTCAAACGTGTTTATTCTGACAAATTGAACAGTTGACGATAAAGTATTCGGCTTTATCTTGGATTAGATAAATAACAGATGATACAAGTATGAAAGTTTTATCGCGTGAGTAATTTACAAGCTGACATTAGATAATACTTTTGCCATTTCAAATGTGTTTTGTACGTACACATTTAAAAGGTGAGGGAAGGTCACCTCTAGTGTCCAATTCACTTTTCTGTATATATTTTATGTTTGAAGGGAGAACGCTCTTGCGGCTAATATATTTAACGCATAGTGGAAAAGAGGTCATGATTATGACAACATATCATATGTTTATTGGATAAGGAGATTTTGCATTCAAAGGATTTTTTTGTGTTAGAAAATACATAGAGATGGAGTTAAAATAGTAATAAGGACTAGGTATTTATAATGCTGGCCTTATTGTTAACAAAGATCGGTTAAATGACCAAGAAGCATGCACAATCATGGTGATAAAAACCGACCACTGGCTTGTTGTGTTTCGATTGCAAGCTCGTCGTCCATTGAATGAGGTTTAGACAGGACAAACTATGTATAATTTATTTAATTTGATTAATTCGATATATAAAAAATAAATCTTGATAATAATAGTTTACATATAATATGACATTATGAAGATAGTAAAATGCTGCTTATCACTTGTGTTGGAACTTACTTTCAATAATAATGTTTGGTAAAACACAAACAGTAACTTTTGCGTTACTCCAAAAACAAGATAACTAATATGTGTGTTGATATTTGACAGCTCAAGCCATGTCAACGGTTTCTTTCATTACAAGTCTGATCACAATTACGGTATAAGGGAATATTTTATTTATTTCATCCGTTCATTTACTTTTTTCCCCAGTAAATATCACTTAGTTTAAGTACTGCTTAAACGCGGTGCTTTGTCATAAAAACATTGAACAGTGTGACTGTCTTCAAAGTATTATTATAATTAAACATGATCTTACGTAATACATAGATATAATAAGCTCTTATTTCGATCAATTTCTAAATGGAAAACATTTTCTGAATGCAACATGTACATATACATTGTAAAAAAACACGTTTATCCATTGTGTTATATAATTACAAAGTTATTTCGAATTGTGTTGATTTGTATACAGATACTGAATAATACTTAAGAAGTTACATCACAATTATTCATTCTCTTTATGGTGTTTTATACAGAAATGTATAAGAATTTATTATAGCTTAGTTTTTTGTTAAAATAAAAAAAAAACAGCTGAGTCAGACTATGACAGCAAACTACCTGTGATATATGTCGCTGTTATCGTCTTTGCACTGTCCCAGATAACATTTGTTTACACAAGGACATCACTCAGCGTTGTATGTTTAGTTTTTATGAGTTATCTGTTGTAGATCGTTTATAAATCTAATTCTTGTTTTACCACGTTCCTGCTTACATACGTTCATACCTCAATATGATACACCTCTTTTCATATGCCACCTAGCTTACTGTCAACATAGTTCAAGGTACCTTTTCCTTTTTTAACATAGAATGTATCGCAACAATAACGCGAAAATATCGCAGGATAGTAAGTGGCATTATAACGAATTTGTACTGTATATACGGAAAAAATAATACACCTTTTTCTCAAGGCTGATGCATTAGAGTTGTACATCGATACATACAGAATATCACATTTGGAAACGATCAGAGACCGGCGCTCGATGTAGCATATACATTGTAAGGGATTGATGTATGTCAGGATATATTTCATTCTATGATTAATGAGGTTTTTTTTATTTGCATGTTAGGATTAAACAGTGTGTGTTTATTATTCTACATGAACTTCCTTAATATAAATGAATTGTCCATTACTGATCTCGCTTATGTAAACAAATGCATTTCTATCGATATGACGATATAAAATACCATTAATGCAGTCACTCTAAAATTCATTGTAGCTTTTGTAATGTTGATACCTATCCAAAGGCATGCAACACTTTTTTAATTGTTATTTGGCATATTGACAAGTAATCAAAATCAGTCATTGATTAAATGTTAATCTCTTCTGGCTGAAGCAATTTCTAAATCCAAGGGTAACGTTATCGGTATACAGATATTCTCTGTCCTCATTGGAAAATGTCTTGACAAAATAGAAGGCTCTATGCCTACCGCCTTGCGCATGACACAGGTTGGTTTATTTCGGCATTATAAACCATGTATTACCCTTGAGGTAGGGAAACACGATTATTTGTTTCTCCTCGATTAATCGTATTTAACTGGTGAAACATGATTAATCTTATAGAAACAAAGAACCATATTCCGTACCACAAGGGCAATTTGTGTATGCAGTAGTATATATAAGTCAACAGTATTATGATTTTAATTGAGACCATGATTCAAAGTCCAACACAGGTGTCTCCGTTGCCTGAACTTGTTCTGACGCCTCCCATTAAAAACGATTTTAATAATTCTATCCCTCCAAGCTTACACAGGTTTATGTAATATTTTTATTTACCTGATCACCCAGACAGTTGGCCACTGATACGTATGAGGTAGGATAGGTGGACCATATCCCAGCGGTTCCATTCTCACCCAGCAACGCTCTTACGCCACCATCATAATTGTTGATTGCATCTAAAAGTATTTATAAACAATTCACACGCTCTAATTAGATACTCTAGTACAAAGAAATACAACTATATTACTCAATTAGTAAATAATAAATATATATTTATCTAATTTTACACAAAAAAATGAAGCAAGTTATTTCAGCATAAATAGATTACTGCAGTTGGCCCGGTTACGGGATCTTAAAGTGGGAAGAAACCGGAGTACCCAGAGAAAACCCACGTTTTCACGTCCGATCGGGAATCGAACAGCGGCCGCCTTGGTGAATGGCGAGTGCGTTGTTTATTGCGCCAGTTGACCAACTATATAGTTTAGATATTTTTACTAAATATATTGTCTAGTCAGATATTCTGTTATAAACTCATAAAACTGTTAACATCCTTAGTATAGCACGCACACAGTTTAGTGTATTATTGCATTTTAACATATTTGCGCATTGAAGTATTGACGCACCCAAAACATATGCAAAAGAAGACAATATACACGAACTTCAATAAGTGCATTCATAATTAAGCGCAAAAAAACCCCGCTAATATAAGACTACCGCTAAAATATGTATGCTTGCAGTATCTTATACATTTGTACACTGTCAGTTACTCGTAAAACTGTAACAAAATTTAACAATCTAGCTTGAACTCACATATCCATCCTTTAGTGAGATACCACTTTAGTTAAATAATATACAGTCCATGTAGCTACTATAGTTTAGACACATATATTGCATACCTATTATCCGATGAGAAACTTTATTGTTACTCCAGTAGCTCTCGAGGTCTTATAATTATCATATATAATCAAAGTTATGAAATCCAAAAACGTATATATATACATATTCCAAAATATAAGCATACATGCTATCTGATAGCGATTTCCAGCCTTCTAAAATAATTCCAGCTATGGGAGATACTATAGCTTCTTCACGGGTTGGGATAATAGAGCTAAACAAAGCCATGTCAACTTTTGCTAAGGAAGAAGAAGCTTTTTGTTACGTATATATCTTATTAACAGGTAAATATTGCACTGTACAACGATACGTCAAATACGACATTTCTACAGCATCAACAAACATTGCCTTTCATCACTTTTCTTTTTCGTTTAAGGGAAAAGAATTCAATAACTTAAAGTGCTTTGATGCTTACACGACACGTTCATAGTAACAACGGTATGTATTGTTATCTCTCAGTCTTATTATCAATTTAGCATCTGTAATTTATTGACAGTTTGAAGTAATATACATATACATTATTATATAATTGAACATGTAACTGACGTGTCTCTGGTAAGTTCATAAAAATTAGCGGTCGGTATTTATATTTGCAGGATTCATTTTAATTGCTTTTGTGACTTTAACGTGTGATTTTGCATACATACCATAACAACAACTAGAGTCGTTCTTGACCAGGGCACTGCCGTTGAGCAGGTAGCTCAGTAGCACAGATCGACCAAATTGTAATAAACTGGCTGCGATGTGTTTACGTTCTAAGGACACTGTTGTTGATGTCTTATTTATTGCATCTTTACATGTTTAATCTTCAATAAAGTTACGTAATGTATGAGTTTCCTTTCAGAAACGATTTGTTTATGTTATACAGGCTAAAAAAACCTAAATCATAGTCACAGTTTTGAAAGTGGTACAAGTATCCTTAAGTAATATTGAGTATTCGATGTAAAAACAATCCATATTGGTTAAAGTTGCCTCATATTCAAAAAAACTTTTTGTTTTTGTATTGTTTTGTAATTTGTCTTTATCCAGCGACCGGATACGTATATTAGAATGTATTAAACAGTTTATATGTATTGTCTTAAACTGTGTGTTTTTGTTCATCCTCGATATCCAGGGGTTACTCTCACTTTCGCTCTCTACATCCCTTACATATGTCATAGCAAAATCGAAGGCTCTATGTGCAGCACCTTGTGCATGAGACGAGAAGACTAGTTTGGTCCTTTGTTGTACAACAAAAGCATATCGCGGTCGCGTAACGGTAAAGATTGACAGGTTTTGAAGTCGGTCGTCTCTCCGTTGTAATCGTCAAAGGACAAGAAGTATCAGCCTAGTGATTGGTCAGGTTTATTTACCTGACACCAATCAAATAGCTGGCCGCGTGCCTTCAATTTTGCTATGACATATTCATGGGGAGTAGAGAGCGAAAGTAAGCGTAACCCCTGGATATCGAGGATGGCTTTTGTTAGGCATTAACTTAAACCAACGGTATTATAGGCCAAACTACTTATCATCTAATAAAGATAAAGTTGTCAAGTTATATTTCAATGTGCAATGTGAATCCACATATATTTGTGAAACCTCTAAATTATCGAGAGACTTCTTAATAGAAAAAGGAAATCTAATCACAGGAAACACTGGATGGATTATGTAGCGGAAAAACTGGATTAGTGGTAGATTGAATAACCAGATTTGACAGTACACAACAAAGCCAGGTGTTGTTTCATGGCTCATAATACTTACCGAAATAGACTAGAAATACCAGGACAGACGCCACGAAACTTCCACAATACTGAGCTACGGCGTACAGTGGCACTTTCTTCCAGGGAAACCTTCCAAGACATGCTTGAGCTACACTCACTGCCGGGTTTAAGTGTCCACCTTGGTTTGAATATATCACAAACATGACGTTAACATTGTATTCCTCCCGGCTGAAGAGGATGATCACAGACTCTAAACATACTCACCTTATCGCAATAAAATTATAACGTTATATCAAACATACGTTTTACATACGGGTCATTGATGAATTTGCGTAACCACAATATATGCAAACGAACACAATATACAGAAAGTTCAATTGGCACAATCATAGTTTTACGCCATATTTTATGCTTAAAAACGTTTAAATGAGATCTCTGCTAAAACATGCAGTAACTCCCGTGTTGTATAGAGAATATATAGAGATGGTCAATATCAATTATATATACCATCTACTTAATATTGAATTTCATTGTTGATATCTGAGATGATTTAGCCATGACGTCACAATTATCGTTATAGTTGGGAAGTCAAATGCTTCAAAATTGCGTCATTAAAATAAGGAAAAAACATTCAGTGAAAACGATTAAAATATGTCAATATTCGTATTCATTCTTGTTATGTAAAAAAACTATTGTGATTTCGTTTGTTTTCTATTTGAAATTGGTGAAAGGGGTCAAGCTGAAAAGAAGAAGAGGAGGAGGAAGAAGAAACAAATGGCACGACCATTTTCCTTTTGATGAAATGAGTTAATCGAAAAAACAATTATCGGGACTTCTTTTCATTACAGATAAGATTTATGAAATATAAACCCGTACATTTAAGGTCCCTTATATACAAATCATGATACTGCCATCAATGAGTTTGTGGTAGTAATAATTACATGTTTACATATGATTCCGTCGGCGCTAATTGCACCATTAGGCCAAGTAAATATGTACCTGCATACAGTCATGCTATTGATATTATCGTTTCTAACCACATAAACACTTAACAGTGAATCATTGATCTCACGCCAGCTGTACAGATTCGCATTAATTCGTGAAAGCAGTCGTTATTTATAACTGTGAAGGAACACATCATCAAATTACATGTTATCTCTAGACATTTTCTATATATTTGTAAGTATGACTAGTAGAAAGGTTTTCTATATCAACTGTAAGAGTGTATGTGTGACAGGGTACGTGTCTGATAAAGGTGACAGGGTATGTTTCTGATTAATGTGACAGGGTACGTGTCTGATTAACGTGACAGGGCACGTGTCTGATGAAGGTGACAGGGTACGTGTCTGATTACATGACAGAGTACGTGTCTGATGAAGGTGACAGGGTACGTGTCTGATTAACGTGACAGGGCACGTGTCTGATTACATGACAGAGTACGGGTCTGATGAAGGTGACAGGGTACGTGTCTGATTACATGACAGAGTACGTGTCTAATGAAGGTGACAGGGTACGTGTCTGATTAACGTGACATAGTACGTGTCTGATAAAGGTGACAAAGTACGTGTCTGATGAAGGTGACAGAGTACGTGTCTGATTAACGTGACAGGGTACGGGTCTGATGAAGGTGATAGGGTACGTGTCTGATTACATGACAGAGTACGTGTCTAATGAAGGTGACAGGGTACGTGTCTGATTAACGTGACAAGGTACGTGTCTGATTAACGTGACAGGGCACGTGTCTGATTACATGACAGAGTACGTTTCTGATGAAGGTGACAGGGTACGTGTCTAATTAACGTGACAGGGTACGGGTCTGATGAAGGTGACAGGGTACGTGTCTGATTAACGTGACAGGGCGCGTGTCTGATTACATGACAGAGTACGTGTCTGATGAAGGTGACAGGTACGTGTCTGATTAACGTGACAGGGTACTTGTCTTATTAACGTGACACAGTACGTGTCTGATGAAGGTGACAGAGTACGTGTCTGATTACATGACAGAGTACGTGTCTGATGAAGGTGACAGGGTACGTGTCTGATGAAGGTGACAAGAAACGTGTCTAATGAAAGTGTCTGGGTACGTGTCTGATGGAGGTGACAAGGTACGTGTCTGATAAGCGTGACAGGGTACGTGTCTGATGAAGGTGACGGAGTACGTGTCTGATGAAGGTGACAGAGTACGTGTCTGATGAAAGTGACAGAATACGTGTCTGATGAAGGTGACCGGGTACGTGTCTGATGAAGGTGACAGAGTACGTGTCTGATGAAGGTGACAAGAAACGTGTCTAATGAAAGTGTCTGGGTATGTGTCTGATGAAGGTGACAGAGTACGTGTCTGATGAAGGTTACAGGGTACGGGTCTGATGAAGGTGACGGAGTACGTGTCTGATGAAGGTGACAGGGTACGTGTCTAATGAAGGTGACAGAGTACGTGTCTGATGAAGGTGACAGGGTACGGGTCTGATGAAGGTGACAAGGTACGTGTCTAATGAAGGTGACAGGGTACGTGTCTGATGAAGGTGACAGGGTACGCACGTACTAGTTAACAAAACGTCACACATAAACACTAACTGATCTTGATATGTTTACTTTACAAAATACATGTCAGCTTATGTGCAGGCACATCTTGAAAACTAATCAACGTTCGGGACTGAAAATTGAAACATAACAATCTCAGTTATTGTAATGAAATGGTTGAATTTTTTTGTTTTTTTCCTTTTTTTCTTCAGGAGTGAAGCTGTTGAGCAGACGTTAAACCCCGATTAAAAGTAGAAATATTAACAAAATAGTGTTTACTAAAAAATGGAACTTGTATGTATGATTACCCGATACTCCTCCGGCCACGTAGATCCCCATCATGACTCCGATCCCCCATGACCAGTGGATGGACATGTGGTTCCCCACTGATTCCTTACTTAACACTGCCTGAGCCACTGAACCATCGCCAAAAATCTGAAGGAAAAAAAAGTGTTTTTGATTGAAACAGAAAATAAACCTACACTAAACTGATGTAATATCTAGAGCAATCGAAACGTTTACTTACTTTACCTAATTATCGGAATCTTACCATCATGGGAAATATTACACTGAAATAAGCAACGGTTACCAAATAACAAAATGGCGAAAATAAAAATAATACTAAAATGACAAGAAAGGGTAAACAATAGTTCCAAATTATGAATATTCTGTAGTCTCAGGGCAATTTCCATAGAATTTCATTATCGGAATTCGTGTAAAGTTTTTATCAGAACAACAATGAATGAATAAAAAAGCCTGTATTTATTTTACAACAACTGCGGAACAAGTTCTAACAACTTATATTCATCATTCTTGCTGGTCCATATGGTAGCGCACAAGGGTTCTTAAGGTGGAGAAATCCGGAGTACACAGAGAAAAACCTACGAGGTCGGACAGGTAATCATACCATTTCATGCCTGATCAATCGAATCCTGGTTGTCTTGGTAAAAGGTGATTGCACTATGTAACGCACCACGTGCACCCGACAATCCATATTAGAACAACATATGGGCAATCATTATGACAAGGAGTGTCAAGAGTGACATCAACACTTGGGGAAGATTAGGAACACGGTTAATAATACTTAAACAAAACCACTAAAATACTACCATTTAGCTAAAGGATCAATTTTATATTTACAGCCGAATACAGCTTGTGAAGGAATCCCCTTTTACCTACAGGAAAGCCTAGTCAATGCATTCACGAAACTTTATCGGTGAGTTTATACCCTTTGCGCATTAACCCCTGAAATTTCGTAATGAACTATTCCAACCTTTGAATTGGAAGAGTTCAAATGCGTTTTCAGGGGTGAATGAGTTAACGATAGTTTCTAATCAATAAAACTTTAACATCAGATGCATCAGCCTGAAAATGGACCAATTGATTCATAATGGCCCTCACTCCAAATGACACTAAATATAGAACCGTCGTTGTCGTATTATAGTCGTGCATCGTGTTAAGTGGATGTGTTACTGACGATCAATTCGTGTCCTATTGTCTTAGCGTCATTTCTGGTTCGGAGAAATATTATCCGTTAGTGACTTTGCTATCTATCACGTGGAGGAGAGGCAGCGAATAATGACATTTTCGTTGCGTCAGCGCGTATTGCTGTACATTAGAGCTGTACTGTGATGTACATGCATATTTTCGTATCAAAGATAATTCAAAATAGTGAAACAATCCAGTATATGATCGGTATAAGAAGAAAAATAAAAAAGTGAACACTTCAATGTTAACACACAACAATATCACCAAAGGAATATGCATAACAAACTCCAACAAAAAACAAACTGGAGGGAAAGCCGATAAGTCTTGAAGGATAATCGTTTTGTATATCATGTGTGTGTATCCTGTTATGAAAGGTGAGCGGCTTGTGTATCATGTGTGTATATCCTGTTATGAAAGGTGAGCGGCTTGTGTATCATGTGTGTATATCCTGGTATGAAAGGTGAGCGGCTTGTGTATCATGTGTGTATATCCTGGTATGAAAGGTGAGCGGCTTGTGTATCATGTGTGTATATCCTGGTATGAAAGGTGAGCGGCTTGTGTATCATGTGTGTATATCCTGGTATGAAAGGTGAGCGGCTTGTGTATCATGTGTGTATATCCTGGTATGAAAGGTGAGCGGCTTGTGTATCATGTGTGTATATCCTGGTATGAAAGGTGAGCGGCTTGTGTATCATGTGTGTATATCCTGGTATGAAAGGTGAGCGGCTTGTGTATCATGTGTGTATATCCTGGTATGAAAGGTGAGCGGCTTGTGTATCATGTGTGTATATCCTGTTATGAAAGGTGAGCGTCTTGTGTATCATGTGTGTATATCCTGGTATGAAAGGTGAGCGGCTTGTGTATCATGTGTGTATATCCTGTTATGAAAGGTGAGCGGCTTGTGTATCATATGTGTGTATCCTGTTATGAAAGGTGAGCGTCTTGTGTATCATGTGTGTATCCTGGTATGAAAGGTGAGCGTCTTGTGTATCATGTGTGTATCCTGGTATGAAAGGTGAGCGTCTTGTGTATCATGTGTGTATATCCTGGTATGAAAGGTGAGCGGCTTGTGTATCATGTGTGTATATCCTGTTATGAAAGGTGAGCGGCTTGTGTATCATATGTGTGTATCCTGTTATGAAAGGTGAGCGTCTTGTGTATCATGTGTGTATCCTGGTATGAAAGGTGAGCGTCTTGTGTATCATGTGTGTATCCTGGTATGAAAGGTGAGCGTCTTGTGTATCATGTGTGTATATCCTGGTATGAAAGGTGAGCGGCTTGTGTATCATGTGTGTATATCCTGTTATGAAAGGTGAGCGGCTTGTGTATCATATGTGTGTATCCTGTTATGAAAGGTGAGCGTCTTGTGTATCATGTGTGTATCCTGGTATGAAAGGTGAGCGTCTTGTGTATCATGTGTGTATCCTGGTATGAAAGGTGAGCGTCTTGTGTATCATGTGTGTATATCCTGGTATGAAAGGTGAGCGGCTTGTGTATCATGTGTGTATATCCTGTTATGAAAGGTGAGCGGCTTGTGTATCATATGTGTGTATCCTGTTATGAAAGGTGAGCGTCTTGTGTATCATGTGTGTATCCTGGTATGAAAGGTGAGCGTCTTGTGTATCATGTGTGTATCCTGGTATGAAAGGTGAGCGTCTTGTGTATCATGTGTGTATATCCTGGTATGAAAGGTGAGCGGCTTGTGTATCATGTGTGTATATCCTGTTATGAAAGGTGAGCGGCTTGTGTATCATGTGTGTATATCCGGTTATGAAGGGTAAGCTTTTTGTGTATCATATGTGTGTATCCTGTTATGATGTCACATGTTAATTTATTGAAATTATAGATAGGTCACCAACGATTCATGGCAAAATGGAGGATCCGTAAAAATGGTTGAAAAATACACAACCTGGTAAAGTAGTTTACTGGTCAACTGGATGTAGTCGAGTATGTACGGTACATAAAAGATAACCACTGTCCCCCTGCAGTCAAAGATAACACTATTTCACTGTAGTTGTTCAATCGTGCAAGTAAATTAATTTGTTTTGTTTATAAAAGTAGTTGGACTAGGACGGGTGACTGTCTAGAACCATCGTTGTAGCCAGGCAGTAAGAGGAACAGTACTATGATCAAAAGTCCAAGGCTCGAATCCCTGAGTCGCCTAGTTTCATTTTTACTCTAAAAACAATTTCGTAGATTTTTTTCGCAGGAATTCCATTTTTGTTACATTTGTTTGTTATAAAAGTTCCACTAGACATTTTTGTCTGAAATATTTTGAGATCTGTTTTGAGATGTTGCAGATTTATTATGTGACCCAAATCTGTCATATCTTTAACATATGACCCTTATCTGGTCGTATTTTCTTGGTCAGGAGCTCGGTCAACGTTTCAGACAATTTATTAGCCTGCTAATAGGTTCATAAATCTTATTGTCGTTGTAAAAGTTAAGTATTTTTCCCCATGCCTCATCAACTTAACGAAAACAAAATTAAACTTTTCTGTCATCTACTTTGTTAAAAATATTAATTTAAGAATTAAATAGTAGGTATAGGACTTTAGAAATATCATTTGAAGACTGATAATTTTAAAGATTGCCCTAAAATCATATTTTGAATAAGTGATTAACAGCACACTGAGATAAAATAGTATTGACTCAACAGTATGTGCGAATGTATCCATTGTCATGACATTGTAATCTAAACCTGTAATATCTGTCAGAGAACACTTTCCTTTGTGTTTAAGTAATCACTAGATAAATTAAGGAAGCATCCATAAAAAAACATTGAATTTACAGGAAGCAGAACTAAGAACATATTTACTTCACCTCTTTGTCATTTTGCTCATTTCGGAATCTTCAGTGGCGGTGGCACTTAATTAAAACAAGTTAACACTCATGTTTAAATTTATAGAAAAACGGCAGAGAATATGGAAATATACCTCTTTGTAACTCTATAACTATGGGCAGCCAACGGGTAATTTGTTTCAAAACTAGTATTTCTTTTAAACCGTGCAAAAAGCAAAAAATCCCAACTATAAGATAACGACCAACCTTGGGATTGTTTGTCAACCAGTAGAGTCAATATAAATGCGATTTATAGAGGCATTTACATTTACACAAGCTCTGACTGTGTCGCTTTGCAGTACATGTATATAAAAGATAGTTAATGGAAATTGATTCATATTCATATATGCATTAATTACAGTTGTTTAGAGGCGGTTCCTTCTAAACCTTTTAAAACCAATCACAAAGTGATATTAAGTAAGTTACGTTCACAAACTAAATGCAAGAGATATACAGGCATTGTATGCAATACGGTGCTCCGTTTGTTGTCATTCGTTCCGAATAACATGAAAATGTACCAAATGGTCAACATGCATGAGAACGCTATCCGATCAAGAAGTACATATCGAAAAGCAAAATGAACTGATGATACTTCAAAACAAACAGAAAGCCAGCATTTATCCCAAAAACCTGTTTCATTGAATTGCATATAGGAAATGCCGTGAATAAATATAACCGTGTATTGTAGTGAAACAAACTTTTTTCATGTATTTTCATATTTATAGATGCAATTTATTGAAAATTATATCCTAATATTAATTCGATCATTTTGTGATAATATAATGACGTACAACGCACAGGTAGTCTATCACGGCCAACAGTTTGCCATATAGATAGGTTACTCGGTGTGCAATTCAATAAGGGATTTATATTGTAACATTATGCAGTTAAATGTGATGGTTCCTGAGTTTAAAACAAGTTACTTATTTCATATTCGGAATATAAGTGTATAATAGTGTCATATAATTTGTACAATAGTGTCCTTGCGACTAGTTTCATACCGTTCTGGTGACTTTTTTTGTAAACAATAAAAATAATGCATATAAGTATGCTCTGTTACATAGAGCTACAGACAATTAATGCACAACGTGGTACGAGAACTATTTGTGATTAAGGTTTCCTTTGAGCAGTTAGCATGCGCAAAATTGCATACTCCCAATGTCATGTGTTGCACATAGATTGTAATCAATGCTTTGGGCGATAGTCAAAAACATTGTGCGAACGTGTAGTGTAAGAATGTAATCATGACTAGAGATTTTGTTCGTCTGCCGCAGAAATGCGGCTCTAAGCTATACACCACATTGTCACTGAAAGATATAATATTATACCCCTCTGACCTTGTTATATTTAATGAGCACCAAGAACATGGTTTCAAATGTAGTATTTAAAAACACATTTGGGAAACATTTACTTGGAAGGAGTCAAGTGTTTGTGTGCAGAGGATTCGATACAAAAATGAATGTTAAATCTAGACTTGGATCTATTTCATGCCAAACAACCACGAAATGAGAACAAGTGCAAGCACAATTAAGTCTGTAACCCAAGACAAGTTCAGAAATAAGGGAAACCATTAAATGACCTTGAATTTGTGTAAGGAATGTTCAGACCACATGAATAGGCAGTTACACTATATGACCATTTCAAGCGCCAATGTAGCACTTTATGATTCGCATACTCACTATATGTAAATATCATCGACAAGGTCAGTGTATGGAATTGGACTATTAGGACTAATTCAGTTAATTAAAACTGTTAATGGAATCTCAGCGAACAGTGTACTCGGTACGAACCCTCAATAAGTACATACGAACGTATGCTTCGAGATTATATCATAATTGTACTATACACAATCTTCATTTCAACATGTGACAATAACAAAGAACAAGATACACAAACTATGTAAGTTACAAGTTGTGAATTAAGTGTTTAGGACATGGAATCGTAAAAATTCAATCGTTCGAGTAATTTACTTATACAGTTGGGTGTTGTTGATAGTTTTATGAACTATGCATACTTACAATACTTGTTATTTATTATCATTTTACAGTAGGTTTGTACACATAAATTATGGCAAAAGCAGACGACAGTAGCCAACACAAATATATTCTATCAATAGTTCTAAAATGAAACATAGGTCACCAAAGAGTCACACTACAGCGTTCATAATATATAATATTGTATAATTTACGCCGAGAACAAACCCACATTAATATTAATTTCATGTAATTATTTCAAGTATGTAAAAAACACAATTTAATTGGAACATTTTAGACTCATTAAAACCGCCGGAGATAAAAGTAATTTGAATTTGTTTTTATTTAATTATATAACATGTGTAATACATACATATAGTTTTAAATTGAAAACAATATAATTTTATCAATTTCAATCAATATAAATAAACATACTTTAACTGGAACATTTAAGGCTCATGAAAACTACCATAAGTAAAGTTAATTTTAACAAGATTTTATTAAAATTAAATAAAATGTATAGTTTTGAATTTCATATTATATGTAATCTGACCTATGAGTAGTTGACATTTAAACTTCAAGTAAACCATCCCTGCAGCACTATAACCACATCAGCCAGGTTGCTATGTTGACAGTAGCTACACTTTGATATACGATAAACTTGAGTGTGTGGTCCTACATTGATAATGTACCGAAAGGATATTCAGTTAACACATTTTGTAAAATTTATGGAACTTCCCACAAAGATTTATCTAAAATTTGAATTAAAATAAAAAAAATTAGTACCAGCCATTTTAAACTAGCAAATCATCAGTATTACTAATGATCACCGGTAACGGGTAAATAAACCAACCAACACGTGCTGTCTGCCACACTTTGTTTAGGGTTTTTAAACCGTCCTATTCCCCCAATGTATACACATTGTTGTGTCGCCCTCATTTCAATGAACGTCAATAGTCTGAATGACCCAAACATTTAAACCGTTAGATTTACCGACCTCAGAGTTCACATAACTCTTGTAGGGCAATGTCGAAAACAAATTTGATAGTTTGTGTTGTGTTCCAGACTTACACGCACACTCATTAGCATTGCAAATTGCTAATTTAAAATAATAATAAGTAAATAAATAATTAAATAAATAAATAATTACTTTAACAAAACAAAAAAAAGTAAAAAAAGAATATTTGGAAATGCACAAAACTTCAGCTGAACTTTGAAATGGTATTCTGGGTATACAGCTACATGTTAATAGATTTTCGAAAATATTTCTATCAAATTGCATAAGGTAAGCTAAGATCAATAATGTAAACATTATAAGAGCTGATACATTACTACTGTAGCAGATTATCATAAAGCTAAGCGAGCAGTTTGCATGTGTGTGTAGCGCACATGTTATACACACAGACATACACAATTGCCTGCTGCATATTTCTTCTTTGATTGATATACCAGGCAAGCGCACTCTATATGGAGCAGCATCTGCATCCGAAACTGGACATCAAACAGACGAAGCAACATGGAAGCTACACATACACACACTGCACTTACCATTAAAATGAAAGTACCGAGGAACTCCGCTAGGAATTCTCGTACTAGTGAATTTCTGATTTTCAGCTTCCTTCCAAGCCATTCTGTCATTCTGTTTAGATTGATCTTCTCTTTCTATCCAACACGTGGACGCACATAGCTCTGCTACGTCAGCGGTAGCTGTTGTTGTTACCAGTGGCTGAGGTTAAGAACGACACTACGTCTCAACGGACGGTGTGTGTGTGCTGCTCAGTGACAAGTAGTGGAACAGTGTGTTTATAAAGTAGACAAGGTCAGCACAGTGTGGTCTATATATCTGCTCTGCGATTACCTGAACAAATAGTCAGCTGTTTTACCTTATATACCGTTTGCTTGCGACAGGTTTATGTAGTTTAATACGCTGATTAAGTGTGGCTTGGTAGTAGCTGGAACTACGTAAACAGTAACTTACACATTTAGTTTGTACATTCACAACATGCAGCTCATGAGGGGCGCAAAAGGGTACATAGCTATTTGTCTTCTTAAAATAAGATATAAATACACATGGTCTGAACAGGTTGTTGTTAATCCTTGCACCGACGTAGATATTCTAAGGACGGCTATTTATAAACATAACACATATTCCTGAGCGCAGAATACACATTCGACCAACGGTCTGTCAGCGGAATCCTATGTAAATACACTCTTCTACGCAACAGTGCGTATGATGGCTAATGTAAATAGTTAATTAGGTCTGTCATGGAACATTTATATATTCTATGCGGAGTAACCTCGCACCCTTAGTATATGCTGACGATGTTAGACAGAGGTCTTATCTCCGAAAGCAATACTTCCGGTCTAAACCTTTTATATGTTATCTACGGATTGTTCTTAATTGTCAGAGAGGGGATTCCGAAAGGAACCGTGGTATCTAGATTAAGAGCTGACAGTTTCTTCCCGCTATATCCAGCGGATAGAGATAACAATAAATGAATCAATTGTTTGTATCGATAAACATTATTATAGAAAAACACTTCTTCTTTTACTGTTTTCAAAACAGTATCTAAAGAGTGACGAATCATGTTGCAAAACACATAGGAGTACGTTAATATTTGCCCATAAATGACATTTACGTAAACGGTAAAGCATAAGAAAAGAATAGCAAACATGTGACAGTTATTAATTACACGATGGAATCTAACAACTTACATATATTTTAATAGACATTGATGACTTGCGCAGTATGCAACTAATGTAATATATTCCTTTTATCAAACTACACATTGTCGCGAATTTGTTCTTTGAATTCAAATAGCAGAATAAGGAATCGCGATAATAATGAGATTTCAGTAAGATTACAACAGTCAAAAATTCGCATACATGAGAATTCCAAATACCTGATAAATATTGTTCCATTTACGTCATTATAGACGAAAACAAAGTATAAGGTTCCATCGAAATGAGAACGCAGGTCGTTAAAAGAATGTAATGCGTCAATAAAAAGCATGAGTTACGAAAACAGTTTATCCATATAAAAGAAAAACAAGGAAGAGAAAATAAAAATTAAGATAAATAGCCAATCGTTAAAGCCCCATCCCCTCAACCCCNACACACACACACAAAACCCCAAACAAAAGCAAACGAATGAACAAACATACAAAGTAGGATCGTCAGGTCAATATGTTTATTTCTTAGGTGGATTCATGTAACTTTCATTTTGCTCAAAACATGTTCTGTGTATATTTACCAAGATAACAAAATATATAAATTTAAAAAGCAAAAATGGCCCCATATATTGCACGATTTTTGGGATATCAAAAGTAGGTTTTCAAATTCAACCCTTATTACAACAATATCACATGTATAAAGTTAGGTGGATGAAAGCAGTAAAATAACTGTTAACCAAAGTATTATTACATGTAAACTTAAAGTGTATGACCAAATATCATACTGTTGTTGGAAATTGATCCACAATATAGTCTGTATCATATACTGTAATCAACTATATCATCTTTATAATGTTCTGTAATCCACAATATAATCTGTATCGTATTTTGAAATCAACTACATAATTTGTTTCATATATTGTAATCCACTTAGTCATCTGTATCATTATCTTTAATCTGCAATAGAGTCTGTATTATAATCTGTAATCTATAATTAAGTTTGTATTAACTTATGTAATCCACAATAGAGTCTGTATTATAATCTGTAATCTATAATTAAGTTTGTATTAACTTATATAATCCACAATAGAGAGAGTGTAATAATTTTGTAAACCACAATATGGTAAGTGTATTGTTCTGTAAGTATATTCCACATTAAACATTCTGTTTTATACTTTTAAAATACATTTACTAATCAGTTTGTCTTGTAGTTTGTATTCAACAACATATTGTTTTCAATATAACGCTGTAAGGGATGTAGACAACAACAATCGGTGAAGTGTGCTGTGTATTGTACGTTACAGAATTTGCTACATTTACAATGCAGTCAGAGTTGAACTTACGGTACTTCAAACTCAAAATCAATGATATAAAAATAAAATAACAAAACATTACAGAGGTAAACCGGAGTCCATCAATAAAAATGTACAAGAACAATAGGAGATTGTTACGGATGGGTAAGTGTCTTATGCTTCATCTTTAACACACTTTCTGTAACACAGAGCAAGGATATCACATGCACTACAATATAAAGTATGACATTAAGTTATGACTCATTTGCATATACTATTGCTCTATCATACCAGGCATACAACCTCCGTTAAACGCTATGACGGCTAATGGAGAATCAGGTTTGCTCCTGTAGACTGTATCTATCACCTGCAGACAGTACATAAATGCAGTATACTTTATCTAGCTGCTGTACACTTAATCCATCTGATGTATACTTTATCCATCTGCTGTATACTTTATCCATCTGCTGCACACTTTATCCATCTGCTGTATACTTTATCTAGCTGCTGTACACTTTATCCATCTGCTGTACACTTTATCCATACTTTATCCATCTGCTGTATACTTTATCCATCTGCTGTACACTTTATCCATCTGCTGTATACTTTATCCATCTGCTGTACACTTTATCCATCTGCTGTATACTTTATCTAGCTGCTGTACACTTTATCCATCTGCTGTACACTTTATCCATACTTTATCCATCTGCTGTATACTTTATCCATCTGATGTACACTTTATCCATCTGCTGTATACTTTATCCATCTGCTGTACACTTTATCCATCTGCTGTATACTTTATCCATCTGCTGTACACTTTATCCATCTGCTGTATACTTTATCTATCTGCTGTACACTTTATCCATCTGCTGTATACTTTATCCATCTGCTGTACACTTTATCCATCTGTTGTATACTTTATCTATCTGTTGTACTCTAATGTAACTGATGTGTACTATATGTATATGCTGTTTATTTTATCCATCTGTTGTATACTTTATCCATCTGATGTACACTTTATCCATCTGCTGTATACTTTATCTAGCTGCTGTACACTTTATCCATCTGCTGTATACTTTATCCATCTGCTGTACACTTTATCCATCTGCTGTATACTTTATGTATCTACTGTATACTTTATCCATCTGCTGTACACTGTATCTATCTGTTGTACACTAATGTAACTGATGTGTACTATATGTATATGCTGTTTATTTTATCCATCTGTTGTACACTAATGTAACTGCTGTATACTTTATACATCTGCGGTATACTTTATCCATCTGCGGTATACTTTATCCATCTGCGGTATACTTTATCCATCTGCTGTATACTTTATGTATCTGCTGTATACTGTATCTATCTGTTGTACACTAATGTATCTGGTGTATATTTTATCTCTGTTGTAATCCTATACCTTATGTATCTGCTGTATACTTTATCTAACTGCTGTTTCCTTTTTCTCTCTGCTTTATACTTTGGGTGTCTGCTGTATAGTTTATCTCTGTTGTAGGCCTACATTTTATGTATCTGCTGTATACTTTATCTCTGTTGTAGGCCTATACTTTATGTATCTTATGTATACTTCTTTTCTAACTGCTGTACACTTTATATAGGTGCTGTAGTCTTTATGTATCTGTTGTATTCTTTATTTATTTATGCATTTATATGTATACTTCGGTAAAGTATTTAAACCTATAAGATATTTTTGTTTTTCAAACGGAGGTTTCCAAAAGATGGTCAAATTCCTCACTTTTGTTTTTGCAGTATTCTGAAAATAACAATATAAGTATGTTCAATAAATTAAAATCACAAATGACAACAAAATCTTACAAGAGTAAACTAATATGATTCAAGCTTTTGAAAATCGTTCCATGAACTTGTACTCAAATTTACAAAGAGTTATAATAACTAAGTAATACGTATATGCTTTGAATTCACACCAGTTATTTCGGACCAAACTTTGCTTAAATTGTTTCTTTTCATAAAAAACATTTGAGTAAATAGCAATGGTTTCAATTAATTTGATAAATACACTAGAATTAATGATTAATTGATAGTCACATACGTTTTTGTTTGAACTTGTGAAATGTCCGTGGAATCCAAACAGGCTGGTCGACATTGACCTTTTCATTGTCATCTGGCCAATGAAAACCAATACAGAGATCGTACACAAGGGTGCCAAGGACTGCTCCTATGTGTGGCCCGAGCACTGGTACCCAAAAATACGAGTATCTGTTGTAACTAAAACAGGTAAATTACTAATAAAATCTGTAGATACGGGTAAATTACGAATAAAATATGTAGTTACAGGTAAATTACGCATTAAATTTGTATTTACAGGTAAATTACGAATTAAATTTGTAGTAACAGGTAAATTACGACTTAAAAGTTACATGTCAATTACGAAATAAATCTGGAACTATGAAATATTAAATAAAAAAACCTCATAAAGTTCTCTGAAATATATTGTTAAGCTTTTGACATTTAATAAGTAAATTAAATGTTTCGAGCCATTATTTCTGAATTTTAATATATAAGTGTGTGATCAAACTCTTCTGATGAAGATTAGCAATAAGATAGGGTATTCTAATCACATTGCTCTGCTTATACACTGTAGCTGCACACAAAGGGGTTTATACCTTGGTGGACATCGAACCGTCTTATGATAAACAGAATAAGACGTTTCTGCAATCCAACTTATCAATATTTCCCTGATGATAAAACACGAAAGAAAGGAAAATTTACGTCATGTGCAAAATGCGGACATTGATTACAATATTACAAAAACAAGAGGAAGGCCAATCATAATAGGCACAAAATTAATTATCATCATTTGATAACCGTAAATTTCCCTGATTTGATAACCAATTTTCCTGCATTTTCATTGACGGCTCTATTAGTCCCAATTAACTCAGTTAAGGACGTTTGTATGTTTTTTAATACAAGATAAAAGTATTTTGTTGATGTTTTCTCAGCATGCGTTAAATGTAAACTCCTGTCGAGGGTCATTTATGTTTAAAATACTTCATTAAAGTACTGTGAAAAGTGGGCCTTACTGTAGACTACCATGTCAAAACAGGATATCCTTCATTTTGTTTACTTTTTGTAGGCACTTGTAAATTGCTCATAAAGTTTAGGATATTTCAATATTCAAATTATTCTCGATTTAAATGCATAAAGTCGAATGTTTTTTAGACCTCACTGATATATTGTATAATGTGTTGACAGCTGATTGCTTACTACTTGGCGCACTTAATACTTACAAACAAAACGTTTCTTAATTAATTGACATACAAATATAAAATGAGACTCTGGAATTTCTGAAGAGATACATAAGTGTAATACATTTTGAAACAACCGCTTGTCCGTTTATGAAATACAAGATGCTCCAAATAAAGTCTTTGCATTGTTCCTGATTTATTGATTTAATTAAAAGTGGTTCAGACTTTCACCGCAGGTAATGTTTGCAGCAAACTATAGATGCAATACAATGAGACTATTTTAATGAGGTTCTTTATAATCCAGACTCCTATTTTCAGACTATAAGGATCCGGACCACAATATTCTAAACTCTAGTATTCCTGAATCTATAATAGGGTAAGCTTGCTTGTTTCGGTTCCAAAAAAGAATAATACCTGTAGTTTAACATTCTGCACAAATTGTTAATTGTTTGTTTATCATGGACACGTCGTTTGTATGGTTATCATCGTAATCTTATTGGTAAATAAGTTATTTTCTTGTGTTATGTGAAGGTTGACATTTTCTATTTTGCTTATTAGTGAACCTGGTAACGTTGTTACTTTCCTAGTTTTCGCTTTGAGGACGTGGTATTAATTGGATTTAAGTAAATCTTTACTTTGACAGTAATTTACAATAGTATTTTTTTTCGATTTTCATTTTTTTTCGAGTTTTGTTATGATATCCTTTATATCCTAAATAAAGATAATAAAATCGTTTACGGTACAAACTTGCGGAAATATTTGAATTAGAATAAAACAAAGTTATCATAATCTAATCAAACTCCAGTTACCTGAAAGGTTGGCTTCCCCATCCAGCCATTGCAGTAAATAATCTTGGTGATAAATCACGTGCTGGGTTGTTTGCGCAGCCGCAATTGAAACAGAATGTAGTGTTTATAACAAAGACGAGAAGTCCAGTACACACAGGTATGAGTCCAGAAGACGGATTCATGTTCCTCTTGTCTGACAGCGCCGACACACATATTAGCAAGACTGCAGCCCCAAATATCTACAACGGGACGTATATGAATGCTTTTAATGCAGTAGTATGTTCTTTTATTTAGGCAATTAATTGAAAAGGATTATATGAAATATGTAGAGAATTAAATGACTATGCGAAATTATAATATTTATTAGAAATTGAAAAAAAATACGGGGTGAAATGAAGTTCTTTATTATTAGAGTAGTTTTGTTTGAGAACGTTAATCATATTGTTGATTAATTTAAAGGAATTTCAAGGAATATTTTTACAGGTTATAATTTGACGCATTCGAATTATTTTCTGTAAGGGTTCTTAAGCTATGCTATACACTGCTAGGGAATTTAAGATGACGGTACGTTTATTTGTGGGGGGTTTTCAGTTACCCCTTTTTTATTTGATAAGGTCAATATTAACAAAAATATATTGCCTTAGCTGGTTACCATAGAGAAGGGAGACAATTTGGAGATACAAGAAAAGGTTATTTAAAATATTTTGACTAAAAATAAATAAATAAGTTCAACCACTTTAGATAAAACAATCTTTAAATTGAGAAAGGTTAGCATAGGGCCAACTAACCTGGTCCACTATACTGTTGGTGACGGAGAGAAAAGTTTGAGGATATGTGGCCCATATTCCAGCGGTACTTGTTGGTCCAATGGTGGAACGAACGCCGCCATCATAGTGATATAGAGCATCTACAGGTAAGAAAAAAAATTAGTTTAATACAACAGATAAATATATATACACGATCTTACATGATTTTCCATTTCATATGAGATTTATAAAAAGAAATTTTCGATTTAGCGAGTCTCTGGCGAGCAGAAATGAAAAGTTCGTGACGAGTTTCATAAATTTCATATGAAATGAAAACGAGTGTAAGATCCTTTGTATCACATAAATAAGCTTAAGGTTTGTGGCATTTATGCGTGTAAAACGATAATTTTCATACAACCTTGAAATGTAAAAAGCCGCCATTTTGACTCCAGTGCATAAGTCTGTGACGTCATGTACTTATCCTAGGCCTGATGTCACAATTGAAACAACTGAAACTTACACCCAATCACAGGGCTGATAGGTCATCTTAAATTGGTTAATACGCAAACAAATATGACATGGGTATATTCACTGGATAACACATTACATATTTTGATAAATAATGATATAGGCCATGCGATACAAAATTTTGAATTTCACAACATGACAATATAATATGCTATTTTATTCTAGTTACCAGAAATCCTTTTTGACTGGACCCATCGGTTGCTATCCACTGAAACTATCGACGAATTGATAATAGGTACTGAATAATTCAGTGCCATTTTCACAACACAAACGTGACTTTTATCATTCCATTGTCGACGTCATTTTGCTCACCATTGTTGTTCGTGTCAAGTTTTCGGGAAGCAATTTGATTGATAATACAGGACAAGGACGAGCAACATTTACAAGAAATGTAACATGCATATTAAGAACTATTGTACGTATGCGATGTATGCATGGACACTTGTTATAAATGACGTTATTATACTCGTGTATTTCGCATACGCACACGTTTAATCGTGTGCTACAATACGCTTGATACAGTATTACTTATCCATTATATTTTACCCCTTACCAGTGAACCATGAGGTTGTGATTTAACCATTTGGCGACGTCCAAAAACGAAAAATAATTAAAAGTAAATATTTGTACACGGAGTTCCTTAAAAATACAAGGAAGTAAGACAAGTGTTCAGGAAGAGTAAGCGTTTTCTTCATTTAAAACACACACCATGTAAAGAAACGTGAAATCCAAGTCACATTCTCAACGAGAAATAACTGCATTACCATATTACTTGACAGTTGGTTAAGTTGTTGTTTTTCCTAGAGTGAAAAAAAAACATGCTTAACTAAACTTTTTTTTCCTAAAGTGAGAATATTAACGAGCGTTTACCATATTGTGACCGTTTTCATGCGTGGCAGCTATTTGACAGATGACATGGCCTAACTTCAACTTACACCACTAGGTCAGAGCTCTAGCGATGTTTGCTGTACCTTTCGGCATATAACAAAAGGAGGTAGTTTGTCATTACGATTAAATACGTTTACTCCGACACTAAATGGGACATATCTTAGCGGAATGCATATTCAGCATAATTTCTGGATTAATTTAACAACACAGCCTTTCTATTCAATTACTATTCATCACAAACTGTATTCTTTAATCGTTTAGATCCATAATTGATAGGATGAAATGGTTCAAACGACATTTTGTTTTTATATATATTATATGAAATATCAAATAATAATTAGACTTTAGATGAGGTCCTTTTCCAATTGAAGCTGTGTAGCATTTCGTCAAATAAGCCCTGCCATGCCCATAGGCACACGACGGGGAAATGTACGAGAACAATGATATCAATCAATATTCATCACTCTTGATGGCATGCACATCTGCACAGAGTAAAAGAATACATGAAGTGGTATTGTTCATTTCTCAGCAAGCATAGGTAAAATCATTTTTTACCCACGTCTCAGTTGGTGTCATATGTTTGTATGTAAAATAAACAAACAGTCTAAAGAATCTCCTAGAAGAGATGAAAGTACTAAAGACTCGTTGTTGAGAATTTTTCTTTTTATAATAACACTTTATTTTCTGCTTTTATAATATATAAATACCCATATTCATTTGGCGTGATCAACATACGAACCCCAATTTAATAGCCATCTACATTCTGACCATTGTTAACCAAATAAATAGCTAAATGATTAATGCACATGTATATTCCCTATTTGGCATGATTAACTAACAAACCACAATATAACAACCATCTACATACTGGCCATTTCAAACCAAATAAATAGATATATCAATAAATCAATACGCCCTATTTGACACCATTAAAGACTGAACTACAATATAGCAACCACCAACGTACTTACCATTGTAGACCAGATATAGTAATAGAGAGGCGAGGAAGCTTCCTCCGTATTGCCCTGCCAAGTAGAACGGTACTTTTTTCCAGGGTAGACGTCCTCGGAAAGCCTGTGCTACAGTCACTGCTGGGTTAATGTGGCCTCCTATCAACAAAGACAATACAGCTATTCAGAGAACATATGTGCCGTGTCCTAGCCTATACCATTACACAATATTCCCCGAGATCTTCTTCTTTCGAACTATACATTTTCATGGATCATATACTTTTCATGGACATGTGAAATTTCAGTTAACTGTCGAAAATAGTTCATTACATTATAGAGATAAAGATTTATGGTTATTAAGAGCACAAGTGAAAGAAAAATTATAAAGATAAATAAAGGCCTGAATAATAAAACTTTCTTTTGATCCAATATATTCAGGTGTATTTAGTTGGACTATTATCCCTTTGTTATTTTATGCATGCGGCTCTTTCAATTAACAAAATTGGTAAAGGTATGGTTATATCGACTGTGAGCCATATTTAGTAGTATGAGGTTGGTTATGGTGTTGTGAATTTTACACAAGATGATCTTATGAAACCCGTATTATTTCACCAAATATCATTTGTATCTCATCAACAAACTAAATCTGAAACCGATTGGTATTATTTTCCTCTTAAATGGTGTTTAGCTACAATGTACGATACCTGAAATCCATGTATACCCAGTAATATGACTGAACGCCACTAAGTCAGTGTTTGTAGATAAGTCTGAAAACTGTCAGATTTCAGTCGAAAGCTAACCATTAGTCAATAGATACAACCATATCTTATTTACATACCTGATACCCCTCCAGATATGTATACGCCCATCATCACACCGATTCCCTGTGAGATATGAATAGACAGAGCAGACCCCCGAGACCCAGCACTTAAGAGCCACTGGGCTACTGCACCGTCACTGAAAGTCTGAAAAAAAAGTTGAAAAAGTAAAATAGAAAATAGAAAAAATATCACAAAGAGTAGTGCTACGGCACCCTTTTTTATTTGTCGATGAAAGTCGCAACTCTAATGAATGCCTTTTACGTTACTTTACTTTCGATCGCAAGATGTTAACGTTGTCGATTCAATAGTTCAGGTGAATGGCTAACGTCAATCATAACATGCTGTTATACAAGGAAGAAATGAGTCTAAACAATTCGTATGATTTTTCCTTTTGTCTTATAAAGCATATCAATGTTAATGCTTTATTTTTGCATGCTCTCAAAATTTCCGGAAATTCATTTTAAGCCCCTTTTTGACAGAAGTTCTGCTCTGCATTCTCAATGATGTGTGCCAAGTTAGAAATCCACATACGCATTTCTTCAAATGAAGACTCTATCTCCCATTAAATGGACGATCTACTTATCATACGACCAAGACAGTATTACCGTGCAAGCTTAAGGTTTCATTTTTAAAGTAACTCGCGTCTAGTTGATCAATAATTTGCTAAAACAGCGTCTTTTTCTAATACGTGAATAGAAATGATCCGAAATTGAAATCGTCTCCACCCAGGTCATTTTATGTGATACATTATGAAATGAAATATTAGCTAAAATCTCGTTTTATTTGTTTGAGATTATTCGGATATGATAGAGGGCCGCAGGTGCCGGGTAGGTTAAGGCATCTGACCGTCTACGAGCACTAGCCGTCCACCACTGGGTCGTGGCTTCGAGGGGCATACGTGGGACAGTCGCAAGGTACTGGCAGCAGGTCGGTGTTTTTCTTCCTGGTGCTCCTGCTTTCCTCCACCACCAACCTCTTACATGTCCTTAAATGACCATAGCTGTAAATAGGACGTAAAACACAAACACACCCAACCCAAATCGGTTATACTAGATCTGTGGTTATGTCAAAGATGTCTAAGCATTAAATGCATACGGCCACTGTTCTAAAACAATACGAATGTCGGCTGCATGCTGCATTCCAAATCATGCGAAAACTATTATAGTTTATCAAGGCTTTTTCACATTTGAAGATTGTTGTTCATACAATAAATTTCGGACACATTAAACAGTCTGCCCGCAGACAGAAGTGATCAAGAAACCAACAATCAGATGTTTTGATAAAAACATGATGAATACTTCGAGAAACGAAAGTAAAAACACTCGTTTTATAAAACGTATCAACTCGTGCATCTATTCTGATATAGTTGACAATCATGATCAGAGGACTGTCAAATCGTATAAGTCAGAACCAATATACTTAGTATAAGATAAACAACAAATACATCTCCATTCCACAGTTGATGTGCATTCTATTACCATCATTGCGACACCTTTTGTATTTAAATAAACTTAAACATAAGCTTACATTATCAATAAATTACCGTTTAATCAAATAACATATAATAAGCATTACGTTCTGTGTATATATAATATAAAACGTAAATTTCATATTATCCAGGGCAGGCAATTTCTCCCCATTCTGATTGGTAAATACATGCATAAAAAACAATATTATGTAAAAAATAAATGTCTAAAAATAGAACAACATACCATAAAAACGAACGTTCCCAGGAACTCGGCCATGGCTTCTCTTCTCATTGATTTTGTCAACATGGTTGTTTCGATCAAGGTGTTTCATCTGTCCCAAATAACATATTTAGGTTGGCAACACCGGATGTTGTGAAAGTTTACAATTTCGTGGGTAATTCGTTTATTTTAACTCTAAAATAAAATCTAACCTGAACTTGAAGCGAAAACAAGACTTGAAAGTTGAAAATTTAAATGTTCAAACAAACGATAAAATTTACCTTTTTATCATATCATATAGAATTTAAATGGCTTATTTGACAAATATAGAACTCAAATTGACAATGCAATAAAAAGGGAAGCGCGCCACCCTGAAGATAGCAGAGGTCACAAATGTTATCTCTATCTATCCGATAGTAATATACCCTTGAAAGACCACCCTGTGTATTTACCATGTAACATCTCAACATTGCTGTGTATCCGACACTTCTCTGAACATAACAGAAATCGATTGTTTTAATTCATTGTTCTACGTATTACTACGGATACGTTAACACACGTGTTATAGTTGTAATATATAACTGTAATATCCGAGCATGTTTTCGAAAATTTTTCTTCAAAATCATATTAAAGGGGCTGGTCGGGGAAAAAATGTCATATTTGCTAAAATGGCATACACATGTTTAAAATACCTTCTTATGAAATATACCGATACAAATTTTGCTGAAATTCACTCCCTAAGAGTAAAAATTATAATTATATTAAAGAAATCCTCAATCGTCACCTGACAGTCTAAAACTCTCAATTGACACAGATAAGTGATGTAATTTTACTGCACGTGCGTCATCAACAAGGCCAAATGTAAACATCGCTAGTTGAATCCGACATGGCACATGACGGCGTGCTATTGTTGTTATCTTCACTGCCTCACTTTCGAAACAACCACGTGACATATATAAATAGATCTGCGCTAAATTTACGCGGGGCTTCCCCGAGATTTCAGTGGTCAAAACTGGACATTGCAAGCAGAACTCGACCATCATATTGCCGTGGTATAACTTTCGGAAGGCCAGAGAACGCATTTAGACCCATTTGTTTTGTATTTTTTTCCCCGACCAGCCCCATTAATGCTATTAATAGGATTAAAAGGATTTGCGCGACAAGCAAAGCCTATGAACGTGGTTTCCATATAAAAGTTAAGTGTATACACACCATATTGCAGCAAAGATAGGGGATTAAAAGAATACAATATATTTTTGCATTTGTTTTGTAATTCTGATTGCCTACGAATTCTTACAGTTAATAGCATGAAATATATGATACAGAAGAAGACACAAATATCAGCGAATAAGTTAGACATTAGCTGGTGGACAGCATTTATTAATTGTCCATACACAAATACCAAATACTGTTTCAATAAGATCTATGGAAGTAATTTATTTTTCATGTTGGTGTAAAGTGTTTGATAAGTATTCCGTATAGAAAAGTATAAATAGTCAGTGGGATAGTATCGCTTAGAGCTGGGATTGAGTTTAAGAGAAGTTATAAATGTATGTTGTAGAGAGTATAATGAAGAAAGAGCGATTACAATCCTCAAAAGGTTATCATATGCTTGTTCAACTACTGTGGTATAGTTTTTTCTATTGAACTTTCGGTTATGGATGTTTTCGAGATAGATATATTCTAGTCGAATCTAACTCCTTTTTTTACAGTAATTCCCTAAGATGCAAGATGCCGATTCCAGACGCTTTGACAGTCGTTAGACGGTCTGTAAAACTGTTAAATGTCAAAGACTCTGGAAAATCGATATTAGCTCTTTCTACAGTTGATATCAATGAAATAATGTTCGAAACTGAAATGTTTGATAACTCTCAACGTTTGTGACATCCCTCATGCCATTACATAAACGAATTGATATTTTCAAAATATATATAGCGGTGCTGATAAACACCCCAAGTAACGTTACTGTCTTCGTGGGGATAAATACATTAGGACCAATACTCCGATATAGTATAGAAAGGGACTATACAGTAAACACCAGAACGACAGAAGTATTTCATCCGATAATTATCTGGAACCTTCAAATAATTGCCAATCAAAACATTATGAAAGTAACACACACACACACATATTGCACCTTCAAAATTTGGTGATAGAAACAGTATGCCTAAAATGAGTTCCTCTGCAACATACGTTTGTTTCCTCCTTCAAGGACTCATCGGTGAAAGGGGCCTCGGTGGCCAAGTAGTTAAGGCGTCTTACATTTTGCATCCACCACTGGGTCGCGGCCTGCGTGGGGCAGTCACCAGGTACTGGCCGTAGGTCGGTGGTTTTTCTCCGGCTTTCCTCCAACACCAAAACCTGACACGTCCTTAAATGACCAAAGCTGTTAATAGGACGTTAAACGCAAACAATCAAAACCAAACTCATTGGTGATGCTAGGGTCCAAAACATTGGAGATCCAAATTGTCTAAACTAGTGTTGAAACAAAGGGGCAGGTGCGTAAAATCCCTTAGTTATAAATTTAAAAAAATAAGAAGAGTACTGGTTAATTTCAAATTAAATACGGAAACTCCAGCATACTAAAGTTATCAATTGAATCTATCGTGTTACTCCTTTCTTTAAAATCGCAAATAATAATGGAACAAAAATTACGTATTTATATCTCTTTTTAATTGATTATGCAAATTCAACATGTAAACAAGTTAGGCATGTATATATTACACAACAAGGAACAACTTTCCTTTTGGTAAAATGTTTTATACGAAAATAGAAATACAAAACAATTTGATTAAGTCGGTAACGTCATTAACACTAATTATGCATCACTTCTTCGGATTTAGATTCTTTTTGGCATCGTGAACTAACTTCTGTTATGGATTTCAACATGTTTGAGTTTATTCTAGTTGGTTATATTTCTTCACTTCGTTGTGAGTAAAAATATCCTGTGTATAAAATATGTCTTATAAACAATATATTGAAATGATTTACAGCTTCATTTTACATATGCAATGAATCTACCAAGCGGCACAAAGAAATGTGCATATATCACAGCATTTATACCTCCATGACTTTTACACAACTGTCATGGATATGCTATACATGTTATATAAATAACTACATACTTATCTTAATTCTTTTCTTATTTAGCTACTGTTAATCCTGTAATGTTTGCGGCTACTATTTTTTCTGCAAGTTCATTTTCTTACTTTTTCCTCATGAAACACGTTCGCAGGGATTTCGTTGCATATACTAAACTACATGTATAACAAATTATGATCCTTTGTTTGAATGTTTATGAAAACTCATTGCAATATTTCAAAATTCACAAGTCGACTAATCTCGCGAGCAAAGTGAAAATGAAAATTTCGCGCGATACGAATGTATTACAGTATTGTTTATTAAATGGTTTCTATACATCCAAACTCTCTAAGCTAGAGAAGGCTAACTGCTTGTAAACTACATCGTATTATGCTTGAAGGAGTATTATCTAATAAATGCCGATTATTTTACACATTGAACTAAATTATGTAGCCTTCCTAATGGGAAAAAACGAGCAGGTGTAAAAAAGTATATTTGTAGGAATAACACATTATAACTAAGAATGCTTATAAAAATCTCCATTTTGGTGCCGTAACATTTAATGTGATCATGATTACCGTTTTTTAAGGATTACGGTACCACTGCCAAAAACTGTACCTGGCATAACTATAGTTTTGATAAATCACAGAAAAACATACCTTACGGGACTTCTATGATAAATATAGATGAAACAAACAAAACATAATCAACAATAGTGTTCTGAGTGTGAAAGAAAACACCACGGGGCTATACACGGACTCGTACCCCAATTTCAGCCTGCTAAACTATCACTTTAACCGATTGAGCTACCTGGTAGATAGTTCGAATTATTTTGACGTTTTATCGACTTTTTTTTTATATCAGTCTGTCGTCGATTAACGTCAGAACTCCGGCCCTCTATAATATGCGGGAAATAATCGACCCGCGCCCGGGTCGCACTTCAAACTGATATTTTAGAAACAAATCGTCACGTTCACACACATGTCGCACATGGATCGAAAGATCTATTCTTTATGCACAAGATGAACATAAATTACATGCCTCAAACAACAAATACAATCACTAAAAACATTTTTTCAAACTTACTCTGTTTTACTCTAGTTTTTTGATAGCCCCGCCTTATAATGCCACGTGACTAAAATCTCGCCGGCCTACATCATAACGTTGGAAAATACCTTCGGTAATGCGAGATCTCGTCAAGTCATATGACATTGCTCATGCCCTAATTTCCATTAAAACATGGGTTGGTATAGAAAACGTTGGAAAATACTGTTCGTAATGATCTTTGAAACATGTTATTGATACCACCTAGTGCATAAAGAATAGATCTTTCGATCCATGTGCGACATGTGTGTGAAAGTGACGATTTGTTTCTAAAATATCAGTTTGAAGTGCGACCCGGGCGCGGAATTCAGAAGTGTTCTACAGTTGCATCCAAACGGAAGTTAAGGGGAGGTTACTGTATATAGTAAAAACTACAGTTCAGTGGCACAGGGATTCTTAACGGCTGCAATAATACATTTTTTATTTTTATTTTAGATATCAACATCCTACTTTATGAAAATGTGTTCAAGATTACAACACGCAATGACTTTCAAGTGCTCGAAACAAATCCGTTTTGGCGAATTACCGCTTGTAATATATCCAGTAATATGACAAAATCTGCTTTCTGGACGTTTTCAAAAAAAACGACATAATCCAGAAAACTTGTTATTCCGAAAATGTTTTTAGGTAAAATGTCTGTGTTATTGAGGCCAACTGTACAAACAATACGGCTCCAAATTAGCTAGTAACGGCTTATTCGAGTTCGTGATAAAGGCCCGAGTGTTTGATAGATCATATAAAAGTATTACAATAAGAAGTAGAGACATATGATGTGCCTGATAATAATTGATAACTCGTTTTGATTTTGATACTTATGTATATCACAGCAGTGATGAGCTGTTAGTACTGACAATATACAACATCAGTAACAGTATATGTTTTTAAAAATATGTTATCTTAAAGACGCAGTTCTAAACATTAGGAGAAAAAAAGACAAAACAACTGTGACGACACATGCAGGTTTGAATTTTAAACTCTTTTACACCATTAAGTCATATGCAAAATTATCACCATTTAACGCGTGTTATAAGAATAATTAAAAATAATAATTATAAGAATTATTAAAGTAACATGTTTTTTCATGGGAAAACACGCTTGAGATGATTCATTTCCAAAAAGAAATTTGAATCATTCTTTCAAATAATTATATTCTAAAGTTGGAGTTTCAAAGTTATCTAAATAAAAAAAAAATGAAATTGCACAACAACAACGAGCTATCCATAGAGCTCAGATCAGTATATGTACTATACATATTAAAAATGTATGCATAAAGGTATAATACATTAAAATATTTAATTGTTAAGATATTGTGAATACATAATGGAAAATCGTACGCCTATATATAAATACATAATTGCAACAAAGTCAACAGACAGGCAAAAAAAGCATAGAAAATATACATTAACAAATTTCATACTGAAAACAAGAGAGTGACAATGAAGTTGTATGATTTCAGATATTGTAAACGTACATATTTTAGCGGTATTCTAATTTCACCGCTTTTCGAAATTCAATATTGCACTATATTATGACTGCCCTAATTGAAGTTTCTGTACATAGTTTCCAATTGCATTTGCATATCGGGTGCAAGTGCGCCAATTCATCAACGCGCTAATGATTTAAGAAACCATAATACGCTGAAATTTGAGTTCGATAAGATAAGACTTTTACAGTATGTTACTAAATGAATATATTTTGTTATAACAGATAAATTTAAACGATATCGTATATCACGCATGTTTGTTTTACATAGAAATGCACTATACAATGTGATATAAATTTGTGCTTATATATGTGTTTCTTTTAAGTGAATTGTAATACAGCAACATGAGACATCCTTGAAAGTATACAGTTCCAGACAATACAATGAGATAACCCGGAATTATGAATATGAATACAAGTTGATAGTCCAGTGAAGTATTAAAAGAAATCATAGTGTATATTTTAAACATCACATTACCTTGCGTTGGGTTTGAAAGTGAAAATGGGTCGTTTCCTTAGTTTTATGTAAATGGAAAGAGTAAGTGATGATAGGGTACCATAAATGTTTTAATCAAGCAACTGAGTATATATGCACTTTTCGTATATTAACTGTTTGCACACTAACAAAGCAAATATATAACATCACCGAAATTGGACAAAGTTTCTTCAACTAAGCAGTCAGACTTAATCTGATAACAGAAGGTTTCGTCACTGATGTAGAACGAATCGTGAGTATGATGCTACATTTTAGTTCAGCACTAACTTCCATAGTTGCAACTCCCATCAATAGTCGAACTGGGTCCGCTACAAAATAAGATAACTTTGGTTTATACACAAGTTATTATCTTATATAAACAAATGGATCGGATACAAGTTATAGCAACATTACGAACGCCCTCTCCAGAGAATATGAAGTTTAATTATTAACATAATTAACGAGCATTTGATATGTCAAAATATGTTTTCGAAGGATCACTTCTTACGTCTGTTTAAAAATATAGCAATTTTGTCTTTTTCTTATGAACGAGACAGAATGCCATTGTCTCATGGTTTGTAATGTCTGTGTACTTATAGGATTACTAATTACGTAATAATTTCACACAAACATGAAGATTATTACGGCTGGCTGCTCTTCCACAGAATGTACAGACAATGTACAGATATTGAGCCTTGTTAATAAATCTGCTTGGCCAATCATTTACTTTTCGGAACATTGTTTTCTTTAATGATAATAACCAGAATACCAGTTATCACTCGTTTTAGAATCCAGCCATTTCAGTTTTTACAAATGTGGATGGAGTTGAAGAAACAAAATAGTTACTGCAATTGTAAAATAAAAATGCTTCTTTAAGTTATATTTACAGTAAACATTATGTGTGGTTCTGATATGGCAAAATATAATTAACATCGTGCATTAAAAATGTGGGAATTGTCTATATGGATATATATGGATATATATAAATATAAATACATTCTGTATGAGATGTGTAAGGAGATTAATCATATATAATACACTAAATTCTGCACATTGCCAAACTGTTGCATTTTCAACACTGGCAATACTGTCAAAGGACAGTAATATAACAACCTTCTGAAATAAAGCGTCCGGAATGATATAGTAAGACAAGTGAACTACAATTAATCAAACATATAATATTTTTATTTTGGATAATATTTCATACGACTTATTTTACTATAATTAATTGCGTATAATATTACTGACTTAATTAAACGTTTGATCAGAAACATATCGGCCTGATGATGTGCTGCTTAGTCAAAGGGGAATATCAAAGACACCAAATCTAGCAATCTAGACAGCAAAGAGTTTGAAATGTTTCATGATGAGCAAAACGTCTTGACAATCAGGTGTACGTGCCACAGTTCATGCATGAGATACAGAAGAGCGGTGTTGGTGTTCAGGTCTGAAAGTCATACAAAACATGCATATTCATTAAGTGGAAAGGAAGTCAGATAATAAAATAATGTAAGCCTTAGTACCCAGAGAATAAGTAACAAGCAATAGAATGGGGAAGTGATAACACATTCATTAACATAAGCGAAAATTGTATACGTATATATAAGTGAAAATTGCATATGTATACATGAACAAAATATATCATTCACGTATGCATTCTCACTTTTCTCTACAAGCTGAAGCTTGTGTTCTTCTTGAAATCAAGATGACTGAATTAATGCATTCTTAGTTTCATTAACCGGGAATGTCAAGAATACAAATATGGTAAAAGAAAATTTATCAAACAGTTCCGAAAATCGCAAAACTTTCTTTATATAATTTGAATAATGTAAGCAAACGATTGAAATATTATATTTATTGTATTATTTCTCCAATATTTCCTTATATCGTCCATAGTTAACCTAAAAAGTTAACTAGTCATGAGTAACTTGTTCCAGATCATTTGTGCTACACTTATTGTAAAAAAATAGTGAATACAAACATTTCGAAAGCAGAGGCGATACAGGTAATTCTCTCTCGCTGCAGGTTGCACGGCAATTACTTCACACGCGAAAGGAAAAACAAACTTAAAATACTTTGATTTCAACATACCCTAACTTAATTTGTTTTTAAAATTTTGGATTGCCACTGAAAATATCTCATCTACTTTTGCTATTCTTATCTAATGTCATTGTGCTTAACAAATCGTTCCAAAACACAAAAGTCCTTTTTAAATCTTCCACATTTACAAATACAAAATCACAAACGACGTCCGCATTACTAACATATGTGACGTTCTATTTGAAAAGTTTTTAGCAGGTGTTAACATAATCCTTAACAAATTCGTTAAATAACTAAACGAACACTGAAGCATAGACAAAACCGTTTTCAACTCAAAATCGAAGGAAGTTGGAAAAATTGGAGGCACGGCAGTCTAGTGGTAGGACGCCGGGCTCGTGACTGAAGGGTTGCGGGTTCGAGCCACGGCACGGCCATGTGTTGTATCTTTGAGCAAGATACTTCACTCCGCTTGTTCCAGTCTACTTAGGTGTAAATGAGTTCGTGGTTGGGCATTGCTAGAATTGCTGAATGCTAGCTATTAGCGCCGAAATGCCAGCTCGGGCTGTATGCTCCCCAGGGAGTTGAGAAAGGTATAGGCTGGTTGCAAAGGCCCTATAACCACGGATGATAACTTGTGAACCGCTTTGAGACGACATACGAACTAGGTTGTGATAAAGCGGTATATAAGAACCTAAAATTATTATTATTTATAATCAATATGAAAAGAAAGTACGGAGAAGCTCGACAAAGTTAAAGGAAAATGAGACCATGGGTTCCGTACGGCAATTCTGCCTTTTAAAGTTTTGGGTGCTTTCTGGAACGACTTGGCGAATTGAGTATCATGACTTGGCGAATCGAGTAACATGAAATAAGATCGTAAAAGTGGATCAGTGTAAAAATAAATAAATGAATAAACAAAGTGGGGTAGATTGAAAATCCCGACAAGTGTCCATATTTATCTAATCCTACATTTTGATGGAACATTTACCTGTCGTTCCAGCTAACTTATGACCGTTGACCCTAAATCGTAAATAAAGTTTTGCAAAGTTAGTATCACAATTAATAGAATTAAAATACTTCATATCGGAATACATACATTACATATTAGGGTCATTCAGTCAATTTTGTCGCCACACAGCTGCCGTACGAACGGCCAATAGAACAGCCTTGGCAGGCTGCAAACACATTTAAAGAACTAAAGATTTAAAAAGTTATTTTCAGGAAAGGAAACGATAAATACGATGTTTTACGAAGACAAAGTCCTGCAGCCTGTTAAAAGATTCTACATGAAAAAATGTCCAATAAAGGGTTGAATTTCATCCAGCTTATTCAAGACAGTGCTTCATCCCACAAAAGCAATATTGTACAGGCGTTTTTGAGGAAAGAGAAGGAAGTACAGAATGACCAACCCCCTATGCATCAGATCCAGGTCACTGTTACTTCTTCCTGTTTCCTTAACTAAAGAAAATACTCTCTGGGAAACGGTATGCCTCTAGGAGTGCTTTGGATAGTGCAATCTTCCAGTGTCTCGCAAGTATAGCAAGTGGAGACGCGACTACATCGCTGCGTTTACGTCATGGATAGTGCGACTGTGAGGTGCATTTCTGCTAAGAAGGAATACTTCGAAGGATTACAATAAAAAGGTCTAACTATATACATCATACATGTGATTCCTGACACTTGTGACAGAATTGATTGAATGGCCCTCGTATAATAAGATGCAACCGGATCTAATGAAAACACGGGCATCCTGTTCCAGACATTGCATATTGTACATATGCGTTAAAACCGCTAAAGATTCGTGCAGAAACATCTTGGTTGAAAACGTTCTGCTGCTATAGTGGCATTATGGTATATGATTACTTATTATGTTACAAAAAAAAGTTTCAAACTATCCAAGTCCTTTATTTTCTATTCAGCGCATATAGTGTCTCATTCTGCTGTTAACTGAAATGCTAATGAACGGGACTGATAAATCATGCATTTAAATTACACTTGAATTTCTATGGTTTATTGGAAAATCCGTTTTTAACATGATACATGTATTTAAAAATATGTCATAGGCATGAATATTAAAGGTCATTCATCTTAATGTAAGTAAGACGAACACAATTGTACTACATAGTGGAGAAAAATGTTTTCTTTTTGTGATTTCACAATTTAACGTTATCTATAACTAAACTGAATGTGATATCATTATAATTTTAGTGTACTATATAAGTAAGTGCACTAATTATTAATACAGGATATACCAGTGTACGGTGTTCTTACGTCTATAATTGGTTATTGAGTGCAGTGTAGCTCACGGGTCTATTTATATTGAAATCCTATTGGTGAAGCATAAAGCTAATGTCTATTGCGTACCTCACATTTGAGACGTTGGTTACCTCTGCCAATATAAGTCAAAATGTCTTAAAACTCTCACGATTTCACTTTACATGATACAACTTTTGTACGATGTTGGATTGGAAATCTTTGCAAATAAATGTGAGGTGAGTAATTTCAAGGAAACTGATGCATTATAAAACAATCTGCATGATGACATTACGTTAATTGACAAGTCCATTGAGGACATTTAGCTTATAGACAGCACTTCAGTTTCAACCTTTATGAATTATATAGAACGGAATTTTCATCAACTCATACCTCATTATCCTCAATTTGTTTGTTTCAGGAAAAAATAATATATTCTCATTTTTGATGAAACCTATTTCAAGTAAAATAGTTCTTATTTATTTGTGTCGCAAGTTTGATAAATGGCTTGGAAAACTCTATTTGATTTCATTTGATATGTAATCTCAAAGAACCTGCCTTACGAGAAACGCAGTAATCTCCAATCATAAACGGTTGACAGGTTTCAATACGTATAGACCAATGAGCTGTAAGTATCCAGAATCCACTCTGTGGGGCTACTAACTTACAAGTTCAACATCCAAATATAGAATGGACGCCATCGGCACTAGTCTTCTTGCTGGTCATTGAACTAAATATTATCGTGATTAAAATGATGACTGAAGTCGATGTTACGTTTATACTCTGTCATTTATGCTATAATAACTTAATTAAAGCATTTTTAATAAAAAGCATTCACTTTTTGCAAATGCTGATATGCCAAAAAATCTATATCAGACTGAATTTTAAATACTGCAATATAATATACTAGATGAAAACTGAAATAAGGCACCACTAGTTTCACTTATTGACCTGATTAACGTACCTGTCATAAATAATGCACAATTGTTCCATATGCAATCATATATATGTCCCCCCTACATTCTCGAGTACCAATATAAGTTTCTTTATTTTTCTCCCTTAATACGTAACTTTAACGTGTTTCTCATATGAAGTTCATTTTAACTTATTTACTTATTTTTGCGTGACTTGTTTTCTAAAAATGCAATAACTCCACTTTTACTTTTGACAAAATACATCACTTCACTGGTTGTGCTGTAAGAACTTGTATGCAATTCATACTAACAAACTTGATAGAAATATCCAATTTTTCATATTCATAACAAAGACTTACTATCATTAATCAATTTACCTGATTTTGGAGAAGCCTCTTGTGGGCTTCGTCAGGTCGTTTTGGGAGAGGTCTTCCGCTCATTGCCGTAGACGAGCGCACACCGCTCTTGCCAGCCGAATTGTTTGGCATGGTGTACTTACGGTCCGGAATTGGGGGTCCTGACACAGTAGAGTCTCTCTGGGGTGGAACACCGGGGATATAACTTCCCCTTACTCTACTGGCCTGTTGCTAAAAAAATAACAATTTAGGTTTCAAAAATTCTAAAAAAAAAAACATCCACAAAAAAAATATAAAAAAAATGATTTGATTTTCAGCAAATGATCTTATAGAACTATACTTGAAGAAAGAGCTTGAAGTAGTACTAAATATTTGCATACAATTGGCATGTAATATTTTTCTTGTTTAAACGAACATGGGATACGTATAATGTTGTCCAATTTCAGATTTTAGCTCGTCACAATCTGACATGTTTAATAACATCTAATTTAATAAATCAACAGATAATTTCATTAATACAATGAAACAAAATTCAAAATTTAATAGAGTCAGATGGAAATGTGAGAAAAACATGGTCAAAATTTCGCTACATATTTACTTTTTATTTTAAATGTTGACTTAGAAATACATTTTACAACAAAACCTCCAATATGATGGAACCATTAATGGACACAACATAGGCGTATGCAGGCTGTAAAGAACGAAGTCTTCAAATCTACAAGCAAGTTGGGGCTGTACTTAATATTCAAGTTACGCTGTCCAAATTGACAAAAGATCAGACAACGGCAAACTATTATATTTCTTCTTTTATAACAGAAAGAAAAAGTATAGGCTTTCTAAAAGTCCATTTAATAGATCGCAACAGATATGTGTTGTGGTTACACATTACGAAAATATATTTCAAATTCAATATTCTATAGCAAACAGTTTATAACAGTTCAAGCTTGTAGTGACGTCCCTGGACAAGAATTTTCTTTTCTTTCGCAGATTTCTTTTGACACTGTTATGAAAAGTACCACCCGTCAAAACAGTTTAAACAAATTTCTAGTCATGCTTTATTTTTGCTGCATTCAAATATGATGAACCACAGTGGACCTCGCTATTATTTGCCTCGTTCCATATGCCACCTCGCTTGCCGCCAATATATTTCAAGGTCTTTTTTCTTTTTCTTTAGAATTATTTTGTACGTCTTCATCAATTTTTCACCAGACCCCTCCAAACCGTCAAAATATAAATAGTGGAATTTTTTTATTTTGTCGTATAAGAGAATCGAAAGCGCTTTTTGAAAGAAAAATACAACGCATAGGGGATTTTGCAAACTGTATGCTGGTTTGTAAACATATATTTGCCGAACTCCAAAGGAAACAAACACAATGTTACAGGTTCACACATCATCATTTGCATAAATATGCATTAAGTTAAACGCTTTATGATATTACGAGTTTACTTAAAATGAATATGTATTAAAGTTCATTGTAACATCAAGCCTGTTTCTATCTCTGTTAGTTACCCTCTTTATTTGTTATTACGATAAGATCTTGTTTAAATAAAAACATTCAAGCCATTCTGTTATCGTTGATTAAAAATGGATTTCGCTTTGAAACATTACTACACAGCAGATAACATTGTTACCAATGTTTGCCCAACTTTTGCTAAATTGTCTTTCTAATAACTAGAACTGCATGCAGACTAATAGAATCGTGTCTGAAGCGTGACGACCTGAAAAACAATTAAATTCTTAAACAGAGAACCTATTCAATAATATCAAGAAAAACAAACAACATATATTTCGATGAGAGGTAAATGTAAAATACAGGCATATTTGCTTTAGTTTAACACAATATCACTATTATTTTAGTTTTTTGAGGAATTCATGCGAAGATGAGCTATTAAAACATGTGGGAATGAGCCTGTGACATCAGTCATTCTAAAACTTCGTGCTTTGTGATAGTTTCGATACCAAAGTTCATAAATGGGGAAAACAAATTCTTATGTGAAATGAAGGTGAATGGTATGCGTATGAGTGTGCCTTCTTGCTTCCTTGTTATTACTACCTTGGTTCTCAGGACGTGCCATTATATGGATTTGACCTAGATTTACATTGCGGGAGTTGTCGATGAAAAAGAAGACGCTTATCCTTCTGGAACACCTGGCCGTATTCTCCTAGTTTTTCAAATGGTTACTAAACGGATATTTCATTTGTTCATATTTGGACCTGTTTTAATTGATTTTTAGTTCCTATATGGTTTTGAATCACTTTTCTGTTCTCATGTTGTTTTTACCTTTATTTTTAAAACACCACTTTCTCACTTCATTTAAAAGCATGCAAGTTCAAAACAATAGGCCAATCATAAGTGAGATAATTGGATTCAATATTTATCATCAGCTAGCATATTTTTAAAACATCAGTTTTTTTTTATTTGATCAATTTGTGCTTTCATTCAATTCAGGACGAAATGCACGACCAAAGAACAAAAAGAACAAATAAATGGATCAAGATATATTAAAAATTAAGAAATATATTCGTTGTTTTTTTCATATCAAAAGAGATTTAATTCAAAAGCAAGATAAGAAAACCACCTGAAAATGCAAAAACACAACATTCCATAAGCACATTAAACTGACTAAAAATATTAAACTGCACCGTCATACAGCAGGATTATTGGAAACGTCATTCTTTCACAAACATGGGTCATTTGAAATACAAAAACAAAACCAAAAACATACATTTAAACTTCAATACATTTTCCAAATCAGATCTTTTAAATATCTCCATGTTTTTACTAAAGTGTTTGCCTGGTTCCAAGAACTTTGACAGCACAAAGTTTATTCTGCTAAATAAATTGGTACATGTTTGTGTCAGAAGGATCTTTATCTTGAAAAAAACCCAAACATCAATGAAAACATGAAATCTTTCAGGACAAGCTATGGAAGAAAAGCGGTTTAGAGAGGGCAAAACAACTCTTCTAGGGCCTGAGGAGATCGGCTTCTTGGGAGGTTCCTGCTATGGAAATGTGAGTATAAGTATATAAAGACATACCCTTCTGATACACAGGCTAAGTATCCATGTACTTTTGCAAGGGTTTCTATAGGGACATTTTATTTGTTTATGTTTTGCCCTATTGTAATTGATTTTGAGTTTCTATCTATTTTTACCACTTTATGTTCAGTTGTTGTTTTTACGTTTTATTTTTGAAACACCACTTTCTCAATTCACTTTAAAGCATGCAAATTATAACATGAGATTCTATAAGGGTCATGGCGCCCACTATCGAAGGATCTGTATTAGATTTTCTGGTCAGTCACAAAATTCGATATGCGAAACTAAGGACAACCGGAAACCTTCATGCAAAATTTGAGGAAGATCCTCCATTACTTTCTGAGAAATAGGCCTAACAGCCAAAATTCAAAATGGCCGCCTGTCAATCATTTTCGTGGTCCGATCAATGTCAGAATTCAAAATGGCCGCCTGTCAATCATTTTCGTGGTCTGATCAATGTCAAAATTCAAAATGGTCGCCTGTCAATCATTTTCGTGGTCCGATCAATCTCAAAATTCAAAATGGTCGCCTGTCAATCATTTTCGTGGTCCGATCGATCTCAAAATTCAATATGTATAACTATAGGGACTATGGGGAACCTTCATGTGACATTAGAGACAGATCCCACTTATACTTCTTGAAAAATTGCACTAACAAACTTGAACTCTCAAAATCAAGATGGCCACCTGTTGGCTATCTTGGTTTTTCTGATCAGTCTCAAAATATGATATGCGTAATAAAGCACTATGGGGAAGGTTCATGTGAAATTGGAAAAAGATCCCAAAACACTTTCTGAGAAATATTACTATCAATCTTTAACTCTCAAAATTCAAGATGACACCTGTGGGCCTTCTAGCATGGTTTTCTGATCAATCCTAAAATTATATATGTGTAGCTAGGGACCATGGGGAACCTTCATATGAAATTTTAAAAAGATCTCCAGTACTTTCTGAGAAATAGCGCTCACATTCTTTTATTCACAAAATTCAATATGGCCACCTACCAACCATCTTGATTTTCTGATCAAGCTCAATTTTGATGTGTAACAAGGGACCAATGGAAACCTTTATATGAAATTTTTGAAAGCTAGTACTTTTTGAGAAAAGCACGAAAAAACTTTAACTCTGAAAATACGGACGGCCGCCAATCTGTGTGTTCCGATCAGTCTCAAAATTCGCTATGAATAACTTGAGACCATGGGAAACCTTCATGGAAAATTTGAGAATGGTCCCTCCATTACTTTCTTAGAAATAGCACTGTTTACAATCTTTAACTCTCAAAATTCAAGATGGCCACGTACTGGCCATCTTGGTTTTTTATCACTCACAAAATCGGATATGCAAAACAAAGGACCACTGGGAACGGCAGACAGAAAGACAGACGGACGAACGGACCACGGATGAAGGGTGGTTTGAATAGCGGTGGGATAAAAACAAGGGGAAGCAAGATATTGGTGAGATAATTCGATTCAATATTTATCATCATCTCACATGTTTTTAACTTAAAAATATCAGAGGTTGTGTAATTGGATCATTTTATGCTTAGCATTCAATTCATGACGAAATGTATGTCAAAAGAGCAAACAGTACAAAAAAAACAAAAAACACAAAAAATCAAAAAAAAAATATAAAAAAACAAATAACATATGGGATTTTGTATATCAAAGTTGTTAAAAAATAAGAAAAAAACCTGAAAATCTACACACACAACATTCCATAAGTACATTAAATTGACCACAAAATATTGGACTGCAGTGTCAGACAGCAGGATTATTAGGAATGTCATTCTGTCACAAACATGGGTCATTTTAAAAAAATAACAGATTCATTATGAATTCAACATATTCTCCTGACCATATCTTTTGAATATCTCCCTGTTTTCTTAAAGTTTTAACCAGGTTCCAAGAACTTTGACATCATAAATTGTATTCTGTTAAAGATATTAGCACATGTTTGTGTCAGAAGGATTAACATCTTAAAAAACATTCAAACATCAATGAAAACCTAAAATCTTGGAGGACATGCTACGATAAAAAAAGCGGTTTAGGAAGGGTTAAGTCTAGCAATACGACAAAGTCTTACTCTTCTAGGGCCTGAAGAGATCGGCCTCTTGGGTGGTTCCTGTCATGAAAATGTAGGCATAAGAATACAATGACAAACCTGTTTAGATTACGATAAGGTTTTTTTACATCCTTACTCATAGGATTCATAAGTATAGCAATACGTTTTATGAATGATCTTTTGGCGTCTCAAACCATCACTGTTTTTCTAGTAAGTACTGTTATACATTTCTGAACTACAGACAACAAACAACATTTATCGGCTGACGATAAACTTCGTTCTCATATGTTAAAAAAATCAGCTCTAACCTAATACTAATCTCATACTTTTCTACTTTCATACTTACATTGATAAAAGTAATGTGATACTTAAATGAAAACTATAAAATCTAAAAAATTCTGAAGAAAACAAAATTGTTTTTGGATAAAAAAGTGCACTTTTTATTCACCATTCAAATCAAAACCCTCTTGCCCTGCATTTCTTACAATTTTTTTTTTTCAATTTCTTCTTCTCTGTACATATCCATCTTAATCAACTGTTTAAGCTCAAGTTTGATAAACTCAACAAGAAGCTAGCTTTCAAGTGACATTTTAATTTCTAGTAATGAACATCAAATAAAAATTGAAAACTTTGGAATTTGTTGACTTATTTTTCCTTTCCTTTATCCCCTCATGTTTTAGTTTTCTTTTGGAAAACCTGTAACAACAAATTTAAAAACACAAAAGTTCCACTAAATACTTATCATAATTTTGATACAGAGTCGTACACAATATTGGCCCGATGTACTCGACGACTCACCTGCTGACTCTCAAGCTTAAAATAGTAGTTGTCGGCTATCAGTTCTTGGTAATCACAGTCCCCTTCCTCCTGTGTAAAAAAAGTTACAAAAATTCATATATCAGTATACGAACGTCTAGCTTAGCTCTGGTTAGTTCAGATATTTGCTTCTCCACAACAAGTGAAGATTCTTAGAATGGTGTTTACGTATTATGGAAACAATGAAATTTTAAGGATTCCTGTCTCATTGAAGGCAAAACAACAACAGAACTCCTTTGTAGTTTGACCTTAATACCGTACACTCCACCTAAATTTGGTTAGTATATAGTACTGTAGTCAAGGCTTGGTAAGAAGATACTGCTAATCAGGTTGTTTGTTAGTGAGGACGACAGTATTATGACCAGAGGACCATGGTTCAAATTGCCTGCCCTTATTGCATTTTGATTCTCAGAAAAATTTGCTGTTGAAATCCATTTTGTTTATTTCACCTTGATGGTTTTTTTTCATTCAAGTTTGGCAAGATATGAGTTTCTTTTCAGAAATAATTTCTTGAAACTGTCAAGCTGGAAAAAAAGTTTCAAACTCTATAAGTGGTACAGGGATATGTGGTATGCAGTGGTACAGGGATCCTTAAAAAGCAAACCCATTGAACTGTCTTAACCTGGACATGTTTGTAGGACATCTTAATCCCACAGACTCCAACAACAAGCTAACCAGAGGCGCCTTAAAGTGACATACCACTTATAAGGAGTTCATCTGAGAGAAGAAAACAAAGAGGTCCAAGGTGCTGCAATAAGGGGCATAAGATCATTTTTGGTCTCTTCTCCCCCNTCTGTAGGGAATATTATAAGTGTTACCTCTTAAAATTATGCACTTAGAAGCAGATTCATTTTTTAACCTAAACCTTATTATTTTATACCAAGTACCACAGTATCTGAATGACTGTAATACATACAAACAATGTCCTTATTCTCTCATAGTGGCTACTATGGTAGCCAGGCTTATTATCAAGCTTCTCCCCAAAATGTTAGTCATTAACGTAACATTCACATTCAGGGATGATTCAGTCTTATGCTTAATCCATTATTCAATTTCTTAAGATTTTGACCTTATTTTCAACTTCAGAAAACGAGTATCATAAAACTCATAATGAGAGTAGTTACGTTGTCCTTTTTGTTATGTTAAAAAGTCCTTTTCTATTTACTGTACTAACATACCAAACATTAATATAAAAATAGAAATACGTTACTATCGTAACCTTACCTGTCCACAAGGATTAGACAAAAATCCATCCCAATTAGAGAGATGATTCTGAAAAAAAAGGAACAATTATTGTTAATTAAAGATATTTGAATATTGTCATATATAAAGTATTCCTTTTGCATAGAAAAATATGATTCTAAACATTATGTTAGATAAATAATGCCACTGTTTGTCGAGAAAGGCTTGAGCCTTACAAAGGGGTTTGCTGTAGTAGCATTATGAAACCACTACATATTTTACTGTTGAGTAGTTGTGAATACCACTACATATTTCACTATTGAGTAGTTGTGAATACCACTACATATTTTACTATTGAGTAGTTGTGAATAACACTACATATTTTACTATTGAGTAGTTGTGAATACCACTACATATTTCACTATTGAGTAGTTGTGAATACCACTACATATTTTACTGTTGAGTAATTTTGAATACCACTACATATTTTACTATTGAGTAGTTGTGAATAACACTACATATTTTACTATTGAGTAGTTGTGAATAACACTACATATTTTACTATTGAGTAGTTGTGAATACCACTTCATATTTTACTATTGAGTAGTTGTGAATACCACTATATACTTTACTGTGATGTAGTTGTGAATACCACTACATATTTTACTGTGATGATAAATACCACTAAATGTTTTTTCTTACCGTGCTGTAGTAGTCGGCCAGATCCTTCAGTGTTCGATGCACCTTTTTCTCGCCCACAACCACAAACTTTTTATTGGGTAGTTGATCAATCATGTAATGTCTTACTCTACCCTCACCCCTGAAAACCAGGTATAAATTATCACTGTAGGGTACAGGTAACAATTAATGACATAAGTCATTAATTAAAGAAATGGGTAACAAAGTGAATTAATTAATAAGAGGTGCTATAATAAGGCAATTCATTATAAAAATATCATAATTCAAGGGGTTTTGTCTTTAGACATGATTCCAAGAGAATTATGATAAATGACATTTTAAATTATTGATAGTATTAAGAAAACATTTAATGGGATCATTAATGAAAGAGAGCGTTTGTTAATTAACCGATTGTTAATTAAGTTAGTAGTTAATAATAGTAAGCAGTTTGTTTGAAAACCAGACTATAAAAAAACCCCAATATAATTCAAATGATTATCTAAGTTTTGAAGTATCTGAATTTAGGTATAACCCTAATACAAATTTACAGATCTTTAACTAAATCCTGAATACGGTACAGATGTAGAAATCTTGGTTACTATACATTTTCACCTATAGCATATTTTAAAAATTTATAAATTAATTGAACTTGTGTAATCTATTCTTAATGCAAACAAAATATGGTTTCAACAGTTTGCAATTAAGTCAGTTTGAACTGCAAATGGAGATAAAAATAGAATTATAGTCAATAGGGCTGAAAATTACATTTTTTGTAATCTTCTCGGAGAAAAATTGTAAATTGAAAGTTTGCATTTCACTTATATTAAACAAAAAGAAGGCTGATTTTTTTTCCGTCTTCGTGTATATTTTACTTTTGTTTCGAAAATTTTACAAAATAGGTAGAATATATATAAAGAAATGCTTTTGAAACCTGTATTAAGATTTTATAAAAATTAAATACAAATAAAACAAGATTTACCTGAATGATAAGCTGTACCCAAATCGGCTTTCACTGACTCGTATTAGGAAACAGCCAATCGGTTTGGAGCCCAGAAGGATCTCAGAGGTTCTGGAAGGTAAAAGACAGGATTGATGAAAAATGGTCAGAGATGCAGATTGTGAATACACTACATGTAATTACACTGTGTCCACTGTGATTGACATGGAGCTAAATGCTAAGTCTATGCAGGATAAAGCAAGGTAATCTCCCAACTTCAAAAGTCAAATATGATGAGGGGGGTCCGCAATGAAATAAAATACTGTATTCAACGTATAAATTGCTAGGGTGCTCGGCATTTCAGGAAAATTTAGAATAACTGCAAAACTAAGCTTTCAAAATTCTTAAGAAACAGCCATAAAAGATATTCTTTTTTCAGTAATTTTGCAAATTGTAGTAAGATGGGAAATTTCAACCCGAAAAAAAAAGATAGGGGGCACATATTGCATACTCAAGGATAAGTACAGCCATCGATCACAATTATCTTTCATAAGCATGTTTATTAAAAGTGTGCTGGAATCCTTTCAACAAGGAATAGCATATCTTATGTCCCTGACCTTTTGACCTTGAGTCATATTCAACTTGACATACTGATGCACAATGACCTTGACCTCTTAGTTTTGATTCTGATTTGACCTACCTCCGACTGATGACTCCATGGAACCACTCGGCGATGAAGCTGCTGACTGCTGGGTCGTAAACCTGCTGGGCTTGTGTCTCCTTGAACCATTTCACGGTTGCCTGACGTGTTCCTGGTGTACCAAATTGGGTGGACGATACAGGTTTGAACTCATCGTCAGAAAACTGATCGGAATCGGAATCGTCCGCCTGCAGAGGAAAAAGAAAAACAGAGGATAATGGTGAAGGAGGCCTTTCAATTATATACAGCAATCTAAATTATGGAAATTAAAATAAAATTATAAAAATACTGATATGCTATATAATTTGAGCCAGTAAATCAAGGAAATATTCTTTAAACAAGAATATGAAGCAAAAAACTGAAAAGCCTTGCGGGAAAAAGTCAATCAATGGGACAAAGGACTTAAAAGAAATTGTATTGCTTTCAGTTAGCATATATATGTGCATGTATGAAACTGAGAATTTCATTTCTTATATGAAGGGAAACGAATGATAGAATCTTTTTATCATATGATACAAAGTAAACTTGCAATTGTGATCTGAAACGAATATTTTGCACTTGGCCACCTCTGAAACGATGAAAATGGCGTCCGCTTCACAATGATGTGACGTCACATTGATTGTTCCTATTCGATTGCAACGTCATTTCCGGAGTGATATTACACACGTTCCATAAACAAAATAAATCTCAGTCTTACATACCTGTGTGCCGAATTCACGAGAAGTGGGAGCAACAGGGTCCATGTACTTGTTCCCCGAGCTTCGAGGAGTAAGCACACCATAAAAAGAAGGAACAGGAGGGGGAGGTAACTCATTCTCTCCTCCTGTAAAATAAGCTGGGGAAAAAAATCAGAATCATTTTACAACTTATGATATGAAGATATAAGAATTTGACAATTATTTAAAAAAGAACTTCTCACAAAGTCATATTCTTGTGATTGGTTATCAAACAAATAAATAATAATGAGTTAAATCCATGAAAAACAGTCAACACAGTAAAACCTTTTTATTACTGCCACCATTTGTCCAGAAAAAAAAATGTCGTTTTAAAGGGGTTTGGCAATTAATTGAGGGAAATGTATAAAAGAATTTGTAAGAAAACAAGAAAAAGGGACATTGAAATAGGTCAGCAGTAAAGAGCAGTCTAATGAAATCAGTGGCATTATATGGAGGTTTTAAAGTACACATCATTGAAATAGATATCTAAAAGATATCTGAATATGGCATTAAGGTAATAAGATTGTGTCGCCATTTCTCAGTAGAATTTATTCAAATTTTGTAGTTATATTGCTTTGAAGTAAAAAAAAAAATCTGCCACAAAAAAAAATATAGGTTGTCAGAATTTGAAGGATTTTAAATGGATTTTATGTAAAAAGGATTGAATTTTGAAAAAAAAATTGAAACACATATTTATTTTGCAAAATAATTTCAATAAAAATGATACTAACATAGATTAGTATTGCATTAATGTATACCAATTTCATAAATGCTGAAATTGTATAAAATTAATCATCTATAAACGATTAAAAATTGACATTTCATAATAAAACCATATGCACATAGTAATTGCATGCAAGAGTTATCGTTCTTGAAAAACTTCACAGTAGTGAAATAGATAGCCGGTTTCCTGAAGTACAGAAAAATGGACACATGTGACTCATTGATTAAAAAACAACTGAATTAATACCTGGATTGCTTTGCAATACTTTAATATTGAAAGAACACACCGTTCTGTCAATAATAAGCATACAATATTCATCAGTTTAATATTAAACATTAGAATATGTGGAAATTGTGATACTGTCTCTCTACATTGGATTTTCAACTAGGAATGTACTTCCTATTTCCATTTAGCAATACACTCCTATGACCTTAAGGTACTCTTCAAGAATTAATATGCAAATTTATCTCATGGAAATAAACTTCATACATACAGAATCTCCATTCATTAACCTGAATTTGGATTTACATCACTTTCATTTAAAAAATTATCTTGGAAGAAAAATGTGTCCTCTTTATTGAATTTCGGGTAAGCTTATAAATTTGTGATGAATTTTATACCAAATTAAACAAAATTGAAGTGAAAGTCATAAATGAAATTTTATGTATAGGAAATTCAAAATTTCTGTATTTCATATAAGATTGCAAAATCATACAAATATTAATCAAAGTTTTCTAGATTCAGCATAAAAATAATTAGTAGGCTTGAATATTTTAGCTGGAGGATTTTCACGTGAACAATTTACTGCTTTAATTGGAAAGTTTTTCTTGTGAAAATTATCATCAAAATTAGTGGATACAATGTACATACAAGCAGGGATTGATTCGTCGTGGACCCGGGCACTGTGTTGGTGGTTGCTGAATTCTATAGACAGGTTGTTTATCTGAGCGAGGAAATTGTGCAAACGCTGTGCTTGCTTCTGTGCCTCCTGCTTCTTTACTTTGACATATTGTCGGGCCAGGAAACCTCTCACAACTACAATAGGTGTAAAACATACCTCTAAATCAGTTTAAACATGTCTCTTAATCAGTTTAAACATATCTCTAAATCAGTTTAAATATATCTCTTAATCAGTTTAACATATCTCTAAATTAGTTTAAACATATCTCTAAAACAGTTTAAACATATCTCTAAATCAGTTTAAACATATCTCTAAAACAGTTTAACATATCTTTAAATCAGTTTAAACATATCTCTAAATCATGAACCTGAGCTCTCTGAATTAACTACAACAAATGTATTAACCATACCTCCAAATCAGAAAAAAAATGAGCTCTCCTAATCAACAACAAATGCATAACATCTATTTTATGTGACAGAATTTAGACAAGTCTAATTTGCAATACGGCCCTGCATGTAGTGATGCATTTTTTTTGTAGAACATGTTAAGAAAATTAACATCTCAAAAAAATTCTATAAGTCGATAACTTGAGTTCTCTCAATAAACCACAACAGATGTAAAACATATCTCTAAATCTGAAACCTGAGCTCTAGATTTCAATTAACAACAGATCTGAAACATACCTGTTATCTCTAAATCAGAAAACTGTGCTCTCTTAATTAATTACAGCAGACGCAAAACATATCTCTAAGTCTGAAACCTACATGAGCTCTCTAAATTAACTTACAACAGACTTTCAAAATGCTTCTATATCACTGATTTATCTCACAATGACAACAGATGTAAAACAGACCATTCATGATCAATTAACATCAACCTCTCTCTACTACAACAACGTGTTATCCTGTTAGTATATTGTTATATAAAACTTGTAATGTTACCTCTCTGAAGATGAATAGCAGACTTCCCCATAACCTTGAAGATTTCAGACAACTGTTCAAGGTGATAGTACTTCATAAAAACTCTGGTTTTCCTAAGAAGAAATATTACAGAATTTGTTAATGGTATAACAGAATCAGTAAACGGTATAACAGAATATGTTAATGGTAAAACAGAATATGTAAATGGTAAAACAGAATATGTAAATGGTATAACAGAATATGTTAATAGTATACCAGAATATGTAAATGGTATAACAGAATATGTTAATGGTATAACGGAATATGTTAATAAATCATCGGGTGTAGAGCCAACGCCGTACTTCTGATCTAGGTTCTGTAGGTTCCATTATCCCTTGCTTGAATACCCAGGGGTATGCAGGGCGATTGAGGAACGGGAAACTAAAGGCAATATTCAATCGCAACAAGCTCAGGAAAGGTTGGTTTCTTTATTGTATGTCTACCGGGTTCGCCCTGAAACTTGAAAGGACCCACATGTTCGGGCGAAACCGGTAGACATACAATAAAGAAACCAACCTATCCTGAGCTTGTTGCGATTGAATATTGCCTTTGGAATATGTTAATGGTATAACAGAATTTGTTAATGGTATAACCGATTATGTTAATGGTATAACAGAATCAGTGAATGGTATAACAGAATATGTTAATGGTATAACAGAATTTGTTAATGGTATGACAGATTATGTTAATGGTATAACAGAATCAGTTAATGGTATAACAGAATATGTTAATGGTATAATAGAATTTGTTAATGGTATTAAGATTTCTTGGTGTAGTGGTATTTTTTTTTTTTATTGGAAATGCATTTTCTAGTTACAAAACTATACGATTCTAAAGAAGAGTTCAATCACCCTATTTGGACCATATATATGCCTTGCACCGGTTTAACACTCACTGCTTTCAAATATTTCACATGAACACATTTAAAACACAATGAAATTAAGCCTCTTTCATGGGCACAAATACTGATACTTTATTTGGAAAAGAGCAGGCTTATCAAAGCATTGGCCACATATACATGAGTTCCAAGTTCCAAATGAGAATGAGGCTTTGAATAGTTACAACACATGAAAAATATTTCTTTCACTCAGTTTTAAGATAGAAGATGTTTTTTAAAAATTGCCAAAAACTTTCATACATGTGTATCTTCTACTGTACTGTATGAACAAACTCGTTGTAAATTTTGCTAATACATGTAACAAATCATACATGTCCCATTACTGCAAGACATTATCCCATATAAAGACAAACTCTACCAGACATCAGAATTAAACAAAAACAACTTTATGTTCCCTGAGGTGATGTATATATGTAAAATGTTACTTTCAAATATGAAATTGTATGTACAGATTTAATCATTATCTCTTTTTAATCCTCTATAAAAAAAACATGAATAAGATTGTATAAATAAGTCTATAAAAACAATGAAAATATGAAGACAAACTCACCCGACTTGCCACCCGGTGATTTTACTGGCCTTGAGAATCTGCACACAGTTTTGTTTGTTACCCTCCAGACTCGGTTTACACAGGATAATCTTGTATCTAGGGATTGAATAGTAAAGTAAATGTGGTTTGGTTTGTTTGGATTTATTTATAGCGCTTTGCAACCTATTAACAGATATGTCCATTTAAGGATGAGTCAGGTTTCCATGGTGGGAGAAACTGGAGTACCCGGAGAAGAACCACTGACATGCGACCCATACCTGGCGACTGCCCCATGTAGGCCTTGAACCCGCGACCCAGTGGGGGAGCGCTAGTGATCAGCGATCGCCTTTACAACTCAGCCACCGCAGCCCACAGTAAATGTGTAAAGAACATGTAAATAAGAAAACTTATAGAAATACATTTTTTTCCACTGTTTTTTTGTTGTCATGTTTCACAGTCTATAACAGAACAGAACATTGTCACAGCACATTGGGAAATATGCCTGTACCTTGACCTTGACCTTGCTAAGAGTCCCTCATTGTGAAAAAACATTGGAAAACATACACCTAGATAAGAGTCCCCTCATTGTGAAAAAACATTGGAAAACATTCACCTAGATAAGAGTCCCTAATTGTGAAAAAACATTGGGAAACAAAATTGTGCCCTAAATGTGACTTTGAGTAGAGGTCAGAGGTCAGACATGAAACTGTACATTGGAACACATCTTTGACCTTGACCTGAAGTCATAAATGTGGCAACACACTGTAAAGCAAGAATACAACCTTGACCTTGAACTGTAGTCTTAAAGGGGTAACACAGTGGAAAATATTTCTGTAGCCTTGACCTTGAGCTCAGATTTTCAAAGCGTCACATTGGCTTGTGTAATAATTATATTTGCATGTGTTATCAAAATATTTTTTCTGTGATTAAAAAGTTAATATCTCAACACAAATTAACCATAACAAAAACATACAACTTTTCTAAACCTGTATCAGTTAAAATGACCTTTTAGTGAAAGTCAGGAAAGAGGCATGACATTAATGTTATGATGTAATACACATCAAAACACTGCTTCTCAAATATTTCTAACAATTCATAAATTATGTCAAGTACAAGACATTTGAAATCTAGGTAACCTCACTTTGAAAAACCAAAAATTAAAAAAAAAGATATCAGAAAATTAAAAAAAGTTTTGTGTACACAAAAATGATGGTAGACCTCCTCAGTATTAGATTACTAGAGGTATGTGAAAGGAATAAGATTCATCAGTTTGGTATGAAAAATAAAGGCTAAATTTGTTTTGAACACAAACAATGGTTGGTCGAACTAAGTTTGTTTTGTGTTCAAAACAAACTTAGCCTTTACTAGAGTACAGAATTAAAAAACAAAAAACTGAATTCTAAACATTTCAATCCGTATCAATTTATGCCATTTCAATCCGTATCAATTTATGCTCACTTTTCCACAAATTCCGGGAAGGATGGACGGACTGCGAACCCCTCTCTTCTAATCTTGATTGTCTCCAGCATTCCAGTGTATAACAACTGAAGCAAAAAATACATTGAGAAGTGGTGGTCATTCCTGAGGATATAGAACAACTGCCTGATGGTGACAGATACGAACAACAAACAACATGTCATGAAAATATTGCAGGTTACAAGTTTTTACAATGATTCCATTAGGAAATTCTCTTTTACATTTGACCTCTAACTGTGACCTTGACCATGGGTAACCTTGAGGTATAGATATATCATATTTGGTCTGTGATAACAAAAAAGTGGGTTAAAACGGTAAAATACTGCAATACAGTGTTAAAATCTCCAATGTACTCAATATGCACATAAATATCTTGTACCTTAAATTAACCTTATTTACAAATCCTAAAAAAATAACACAAGAGAATTTGATACGGATGTTACTTTGCCAGATGGACAAATGGTTGAATATCTTAACCCCCATTTCATAATATGCAGATGAGCACATTTTTATTATCTAAATAAAATTTTATTGAAATTTTTAAGATTACCTGATCTCTGATGTACGTTTCGTCAAACTTGCCGGGAACCTTGACATGGTTTGGCTTCAAGCATCGCACAAACACGGGCGAGGAAGACATCATTCTCTCCATGAGTATTTGTAAGGAGTTCTGAAAGGACACGGGCTGGTGATGATACTTCTTTACAACTAATTATATTACAGTCAAACTTTGATGGTTCCAATTTAGCGGGACAATCAGAAAACTTTGAACCATCAAGACTTCAACTCATAAATGTTGAACTTCGAACACCTTTGAGATTTTATATATTAACTGCATGAGAGTAAAGGTGATTGTTAGGTGACTGCATGAACACAGGGCAAGAATTTTAGTTTGAAATCTATACATACTGGATTTAATGTAATTAAATTAGAAAAGTATGTTTCATGTAGGTACATTGTATAGTATAGTTTCACTGTTTTAATTAGGTGTTAAAATGACCTTGGCACATTTAAATTTTCTCATAAAGGTAATACTATTACTTAAACTTCGATCTGTCATTTGTAATTTTCTTTTCAAATATCGGTGGTGTAGGGAAATTTCAAATTAAATGTATCAACCAATTTCTGTTATAAACATCAAATTGAATAATTGGGGCTTTCTTTCTTGGTGAAGATTTTTTCCTATGTGCATGCGTAGATGCCCTACCCTAGCAACAAAATTGCGTTGCTATGCAGAAATAGCCAAAAAATGGTGTTTTTGGACAGTTAGCATACAGAAATGAAAGCCTCCACATGTGACAAACAAAAAATCCTTTCTATAAATGAACACTGGTATGACAAGGTTTAATCATGTCAAATATTTGTTTATTTGTTGCATGCGGAGCTAGGCTTTCAGAAACTGAAGAGTGTTTAGTTAATTTCCTTCAAAATGGCCAATTTTCAACCAAATAGCGCACTACAGATGATATTCACTCATTTAATTACCAAAAATGTGGGTTTATGTCTCTTTTTGTAATGCCATATCTCCTAAACCAGTTGTCGAATGAATTTGGAATTTCATATTTGCGTACGTCATTTATTCCATATTACGAACATAACAATTAATTCTAAATCCCTGATGAGGCCAGAAATAATGACCCCTAACGCCCCTGGTCCTTTGAATTTTCAAAGTTTGATTTATGAAAATTTGACAATACCGTCTTACATGTAATGCAAATTCAAAATCAAACTTACAACATTTTAATTTTTCCCGTTATGTCCTTAAACCATGCTGCCAAATGAATAAATATCTGTCTAATTTACAATTTCTTCACATCACATTTACAGCAAAATTAACAGTAAGTGCCAAATAAATTAACTCATAAGCATGATTATTAAAGCTGGTAAAAATTTACAACGAGAAAATTATTAGTATTAAAGTACATGATATTGTGTATTACATGTGTTAGTAATTTAAGAAACGCCCACTTAAAAAGAAAAGAAAAAAATCAAATTGTAAATTTTAAGAAAGCGAAGATTGACCTTGACATGTGTCTGTAATTTTGCTCTACTGACCTTGAACTGACCTCCAACAGTGATTTTTCTTTTGCGTCCGTACATTGATGGTTTCTATAGTAACAAGAAAGAATTATTAGCTAATAAGTGAAATATTATACAACTGAAATCAGTAAATTCCAAATCTGATAATCCCTCAAAGACCTGTACCTATATGTGAGGAATCACAAAATTCCTTTGAATTGAGAATGAAAGTCTGAACAATTTTTAAAATCAGGCTTTAATGGCTATATTTCCTAAAACGTTTGTCAAAACAGTAAATTATTTTCACATTTATAAAAAAATAAGCTCTTAATTGCCTTTAAACTGTGAAATTCAAGAATATTTAAATTTAACATATATTCTTAAAGTAAGAGTACCTGTGACACTGGGGCCTGATTCTTATTTCAAGAATTCTTTTTTTAATGATCTCAAATTCCTTTTTAAAAAAAAATAAAAATAGTGATTGGTTCATAAATAAAACTTAAAATATTTAAAAATATACTGCAATATCAGCAGCTGATATTGAAAAATTGTATCGATAAAAACAATACATCTTTATTTTAGGAAATTTGCGATACATCAAAAGTTAAAAGTGCAAGAATGAATATAATAAAAAGTTCACCTTGCTTCTGCGTGTCCGTCTGCTTGTAGACTTTCTGCATTGAAGAGCTAAACTTCCTGTTCTGGTCACCTGACCTGAAACAAATTAGCTGTCAATCAAATACCTTGACATCAACATTTAGATAACTGAAATGCTTGCACTATTAATTGCAAGTTCAGGATTCTCGACCTAATTTGTTAGCTGCAGGAATAGTAGCTCAAGGTCCGATGAAATATGAAAAAAACATTGATCTGACCTTGATCAATTGAGCTACATACATTTACAGTAGCTAATAAATTTGTATTAGCATACTGTATAGTATTTGATTAATTAGTCAAGTATTAGTTAATCAAACAACATGGTGTCTTATTCTTCCACAAGATAAGAGATTACATGGGTCAATGACACTGCTTAAACTTGGATATTTGTGATATATTTAAAAGAAAATATTAGATGAAAAACACTAGGGAAAAAGTGTGTCATCTGATATTGCAATTTGAAGATGTTGTATTAGGGTGTTAAATACTATGTATTACTAACAATAAAACCCATAAAGATATACATACATCATTAAGATATATGCATTGTATTACATAGACATATTTTCCTCAAAGCTTAAGTCATTGCCATAATAAATAGTTCCATTAGCAGAGTTACAGTTTACAGCAGTGGTATGGCAGTATCCTTAAGTAACGAAGAAAATTAATTCTCTGAAAATGATGTCCAGTACAGAATAAAAGAACATATAAGTAACCCCAACATTTTTCACCTGAACAGGTAAGACATTCTATGCATATCTCACACCCACAGGTAAAAATGTGGATATATATTTCTCACCTCTGAACATGAGCTTGACAAGGTCGTCTGTACTGCCCTGTAACATCTCCATGACGCCCGGAGGAAGGGTGTCTCGATTCTTTTCCAGCCAGGACGAAGAGTCATAGGTCACCTGTAGGACAAGGTTTATATCAAATATGTATTTTACGATGGAAGCTGCGGTTCAAAATCGGCATAAAAAACTGTTTAAAAGTCGCTTTTGTATAATATACATATACCATTACACTTTTGTTTTCTAATGTATGGTATAAAGTCAGTGTAATGTGATAAACAGAATCTTAAACTCTTGTAATTTAATATTGTATAAATTCAGTGTTAAATAAGATGAATAGAATCTTATGCTCTCGTACATCTATGATGAAACGTGACTTCAAGGACACCTGACCTTAGGGACATACTGCAATATCTTACATCATTTTAAGGCTCAAAAACTCTATTGTCTGAGATTCTATATGTAATAGGCCCTAACTAATACCTAATTAAGACACTGTCCTTTCTAACCAGAATAATTCTTTCCTTACTGATGCTATTCAAGTCAAATTAATGAATTAATTAAACACACTATCATATCCGACTAATTGATCCTGTTGCCTTTGATGTCATTAAAGTCTGGTTTACACAGACAAACTGTCGTATTTGACCAAACCGATCCAGTCTCCACTGAAGACACTTAAGGATCCCTGTCCCATTGCCCTGTGGTTTTTCGTATGAACAGTTATCTCCCCTTAATTTTGTTCTGAAAATAACTGTACCACAGTTGAACAAGGACACTTCCATTGACCAGGTATAGCTCAGTCATGTAGTTAGAGCGGTAGCAAAATAAGTTGAGGTCCAGGTTTCGAATCCTGATCTAGCCAGGTTTTGCAATCAGAATAATATAGATGATTATTTTTTGTTTTATTTAATTTCTATCATTTTTCAGGAAAGCTCCGCTAGACAAATTTTTCTTTTCAGAATGATTTATCAAAGCTATGGTCATGCCGTTAAAATGTAAGTTTCTAATCCATATATATAGTTTCTGTTTTATGGCAGTGGTACATTGATTAATACACCTGGGTGTTGAATTTCATTTCGAGGACCACTGTTGCTTAATCTTGACATGCCTGTTAGTTACAACCCTACCTTGCCAGCATAATGATGGATTGTGAATTTTCCTGATGTACTCTGCTGTGACTTTGTATAGTAACCGTTGCCATGGAAATGAATATCCAGTTTGTCAACAAAGGACCTATCTGATCCCTAAAAACAAAATTAATAAGAAAGGACTCCAATAAGTACATAATAGGTTGAATTAAGTGATGCTTCTGGAATTTTTTATAGTCATTGTTTAATAAAAAAAATAAGTGTTTCATACTTCAGCAACTATGGTATTAAAATGGAATTTAAAATTATTTATCAACTGATTTTTTTTCTCTTTCAGCAATCAATATCTTGATATTAATATTGAAGGCATTTTTTTTTAATATTCATTCAAAATATTGTAATTTATAGTTATGAAAATCCAATGTCTGAATGTTCCCTGATTATAATTTGGAGTATTCAAACAAGAAAAAGAACATTTCTTTTCTTACCTTTGGGAAGTTGGTCTCTTCATCCAGCAGTGATAGGATTCCAATGGGTTTGTTCAGGAACAAATTCTAGAGAAAACAAAATCTTAACATTTTACACTCATAGGTCTTCTATATATCAACCTGAGATTGAAATATAACTTAAATTAGATAATGGAATAAGCAAAAGTCACAGAACTAGGAATCATATTATCCATTGACTTAGAAACTAGAAAAAAGGGTTGTCAAACTGAAGGATTTTTGTAACCGGTTACTCAAAAAATCTTGTCCGAGCAACCTGAGTTAATCTGTCAATTCGGAAATCAAATCAAATGATCAAAAAACAGCAAATACATCCTTTGTTTAGCAAATGTTCTACTGAAAACATATTTTTACTTGATAAATATCAATTCTCATTCTTCAGATAATAAGCAAGCACAGTTTGAACCTCGCAAAATTGTCTTTTCACAACTTTGTATTCGAGCATACTTTTAAAATCTGTCTTGGCTTTTTATGGTGTGGTCAGGATCTTGTTGTCAAATCTTTACTTTTGAGTATGAAAACAATATCCGCTGAACACTAGTCTGAATATCATTTTTTAATTACCAAAAATCCTATTTCGGTCCCATCAATAGATAATTTGTAAGTCTAAGCCAGGTAAACATGGGGTTTCCCATGGGGTGAATGAATATCAGACTATCTGGTTATTGAATTTTGGTAATGTGTTCACGGTCTTCCGACCTAATAACCAGTTAATCGGTTAAACCAGCTAACCGTTGACAACGTTCTAAAAATATCATGACATATGGTAAATTTCTGTTGTACGTAGTTAGAACATACCAGGAGAGGTTGATTATCCACGAATTTGATCTCCGTCCAGTCGATACCCTCCTTTGTATACTCATCCTGCTCCAGTTTGAACACATGCTGTAAGATAATAAATACATGATATAAAATACTAAATACATGCTGTAAGATAACAAATGCATGCTGTAAGATAATAAATACATGCTGAAAGATAATAGATACATGCTGTAAGATAATGAATACATGCTGTAAGATCATGAATACATGCTGTAAGATAATAAACACATGCTGTAAGATAACAAATACATGCTGTAAGCTGTATTCTGCCTGATTGTGAGTACAATTAGTAATGTTGAAATTATTTATCATACATTGATTTTACATCAATTATAAAACAATTTTAATTTGTCAGCTTATATTATTCTTTCTTGTTGGCTCAGAGGGTAGAGTGCATGAGGTTTTTAAATCTGGTTGTGCAGGATGCTGGGAAAGAATAGCCTTCCTGCAACTATGTGCTCATATGTCATAATAAGAGGAGACTAATGTGGGTCGCTGTGCAGGATCAAAGTTTTTTTCCTGCCTCCTATGAATTAAGGGGTCTTGGAAGAAACTAAAATTGGTCTGCTGCCTCGTTCCATTTTACCAGTAACCATCCATAGGTCTTCTTCTCTCACTTCTCAAATCTTTCCTTTAGGCAGTGTCTCCCTAGGCACCCATCTTTAAACTTTTCTAATATAATCTCAAACCAAAGGATCCCGAGATAACCCAGGTGGTCTGGTAGGTGACCCCTGATAACTTTTCACGATCAGATAATAAAACCCAGGCTGTGAATATTAGTTACAGACGATAACACCAACCACCGTTGTCTACCTGAACACCTTAGTGTTAAGTTATAGCTGTGAAAATTCTAGAACTTTTAGATAGCTACAGGTAGTTTTTTTCTGCTAATACCTGATTGAAGAAAAACTGCAGCTGTTCGTTCGCCAGATTGATGCATGCTTGTTCAAAGCTGTTCTTCTCAAAATGTTCAAAACCAAAGATGTCCAGAATACCTAGACAATAGAAAATACAACTCCAAATAAAACAATATCCAACATTATATATAAGTTGTCCCAACCTTTATTAGTCTGAGTAAAGAAACACCTTTCTTCAAAATTCTTCTTTGACTTTTTTTTTTTCTTCAATTTTTTTATTTTTGATAACAGCCATAGAATTCATGGAACATGTAGCAATAATTCAGATTCAGGAATGGACATACTTTAAGTGCCTGCTTTTTGTAGAACTGCATGGATGGTGCAATACCAAACATTGATTTACATGGTTGTAATTTCAATGACTCATTAGAATTTATTTTCTCCCACCACCACTATAGGTTTCCTCAATCCTGACTCATTGGATAAACCTGCTAGGAGTTGGTAAACATTTTTGGTTACCCACAAGTGGGTGACACCCTGGACGTGATTTCATTGGTCAATTTATTACTTATGACATCAGGTAACAATTCTTTGTGACGTCATGATTCACAATTGTTTCCCCTATCGGAAGCTGACAGGGTATATTTTCAAGGGAAACATGTGGCTTTACAGATAAAATATGGATGTTATGGGAGAAAAAGGACCCCAAACTCTTGTAACAGATACTCGGTTAACCTCGTGCCTTTATACAATTTGAAAATTAACTAACTAGAGTTAGATAAACATGATAACCTACAGTCACTCATTGGGGAACCTCCATTTATTCCCCAGAATAGGACTTCACAAAAAGAATTTAACACCTCATGATTAGTTATGCATTTGTACACAAAATTCATAAAAATCAGAATCACTATGACTTACAAGGCAACTTAGGCGGGTATCAAAACCAAATTTATATCTGAAATTATTGAAAAGACCTAAAAATATGTTATTTCTTAAATTAGCCCCCCCATCCCCCCCCAAAATAAAATCCCTTTTGACCTACATGTGTCCCCTATTTTTTCAGTCATGATACCTGAAATATACAGATTTTATTTTTTATTCAGCAAGGAGGAGTATATATGGGGGAAATTATTACAACAACAAAGCTTTACTGTCTTTTCTATTATCTGAAGAAATGTGTGGAGGGACCGTTGTCACTTACCAATCTCTTTATGTTCTGCGTGCATCACAGGAGGGGCCAGTAACTGGTTTACTTTGTTGACGATCCATCCAAAAAGTCGGCCGTAGATAGCCTTGGCCATGGCATCACATGCATCTGAGAATTATCACGTTTTGTTTTAAATTTTGACCATGCAATTTTTTAAATCTTCTACATTTGGAATCAAAAAAGATATTTCTATTATATCTAATTTTGCGAAAATTAAAATGTTAATGGATTTTCTGCATTATAAAATGTATAAAAATGTTTGTGTTGTAGATTGAAAATGACACCATTCACACATAGAATAGGGTTGTCAACAGTTAGCCATGCAGTTACCTGCATGTTGGAACATTTTTCAAGTGACTGCATGCATGCATGGTTACTAAAATTTGACTTTTTGCCAATTCTATTCTAATGTCACTCCTATGCAAGATTAGCTATTTATCCAGTAGTTCATCGATATGAGAATGGCATTTTCAAATTTATTATATTAAATTTTCTTTTCCAATCCTGTTTGTGAGTGTAAATAATATTTAACCCATTCACCCCTTAAGTCACATTTGCACCTTAATTACCAAATCAAAGACTGGGCATGTCCAGTTTAAATATACAGTAGAGGGGTGAATGGGTTAATGATAGGTCAAAGTAAAGGTAAAGGAAGCCAGCTAGGAGACTCCGGCAGAAAACGGTCAAAATGATTGCGTTACAATTTTTATCCTACATCCTACATACCTCTAGCTTGCTCAGCACTGTAGTTGCGCTTGACCTGTTCTCCGCGGGTGAATGTGACCATTGCGGTGAGCGTCCCCACCACTTCCTGTGTGTTGATACCCAGAAGTTGCTGTGGAAAATCGATAGAACACTTATCATTATTGGTAACCCAATCTGTATATCTTATTTGGCCGTTTGAAACCAAAAAATAAATATCGTAATGAGACGACCTTTATCCGAGGTTTTACTTGATCTTTCATCCCATTAATTCAGGCATTTTAGTCATATACGTATCATAAGGCCAAAAAATAGATATGAGTGTTTCCGTTTTCACGACCGACCCTAGATTTTTGTGCCTACCCTAAAGTTTTTTATTGGCATTTAGTGTTAAGCTTTGTTAAAGTCAGAACTCCTGCTCTATATAAACATAGTAAAAATATTAAAAACTAGAAAACGTCTGTAATACATGGATGCCCCCATCACCATGTGAAATTAGTTTCAATGTTTGATGTTAGATGTTTGACGGGATGAGACGGGACAGGACGGGACGGGACGGACATGGGCTAAATGCACCCCCCTTTCCGCCCACAATTTTATGGCGAGATAAAAAAAAACTACCGATTTATCGATACCTACATTTTTTTAAAGCAGAAACAGGAAACACACAAATTTAGTTTTTGGCCTAAACAGAAATCTGTTTATAATATGTATGCAAAACAAATTATCGTACACAAAATGTTGTAGTGTTTGTCTTTACGCCATTAGAAATAGTGATGTACGTTATATGCCTAATTGAACTGTAATGTAAAAAACCTATGAGTCTGCATTTCAGGATTTAAAAAACAATTGATGAAACCACCCACAGAGGCCACTTTGACTGCTCCATCCTCGTCCTTAACAAAGGCAGCATCGTTATCATCCATGTCAAATGTGACATTTCCCAGGTGTAGTACACTGGCTATCATGTTGAACGTACTCATCTGATCCTGTGAAAGAAAACAAATGAAAACAATATAAAAAAAAGCGTCCCCTTAGAATCATATAAAACAAATAGCACAAATTCAACAAGAGTCCTGCCATATGCCTGACCTTTTCCCTGGACTTTTTTTAGTTACAGTTACCTTGACCTGAGAGATTTTTACCCCCCCCTCCCTATTGCACATATACATATCACAGTGAATTAACAAGTCAAATTTCAAAAAGATTAGTCTTCGGATTCTGTGATAAGGATCAACCCCCGTCCCCCTCCATGGTTTATTTAGTTACAGTGACCTTGACCTTAGAGATTTAACAAGTCAAATTTCAAAAAAGATTAGTCTTTGGATTCTGTGATAAGGATCAACCCCCGTCCCCCTCCATGGTTTATTTAGTTACAGTGACCTTGACCTTAGAGATTTTTTAACCCCCCATCCCTATTGCACATATACATATCACAGTGTATTAACAAGTCAAATTTCAAAAAGATTAGTCTTCGGATTCTGTGATAAGGATCAACCCCCCTCCCCCCTCCATGGTTTATCTAGTCACAGTGACCTTGACCTTAGAACATCAACATATCACATAGAATCACAATGTCAAACACTATGGTTGACCTATAAACAGCAACTGTGACCTTGGAGTTTACCTTGACCCTGAAGTTCAATCTCATTTATAATATTCTAAGACTTAGTACTTGGACATTTGTATAAACTTTGATGAAATCTGATAAGAAATGAAGTAAAAAATATCATGGAAATGAACTGTGATGGCAGAGGTCAGATCAGCACAGGACGGGACAAACAGCCATGGATGGGGAACCCTTATAATGCCCTTCCCTGCCCCCAGTGGAATAAAAGAAACTTGATAGTGACCGTAAGGATGCTGGGGCAAAAAACGAGACAGAAGGAAGTTGTTTATTTTTGGGATGAACAAGAATTTAAATTTGTTAATGAAATAATAGATGTTAATATATATACACTGCAGTGAAATATCTGGTGATGAGCAGTGTATATATAGCAACTCGTCTTTCACCAAGATGGCCAGGGTTTGATTCATGCTTGGATGTGAAAAGGTATGGGGTCACCTGCATGGCCACATGGGTTTAATCTCCGGGTATTCCCGTTTCTTCCAACATTAAGATCCCCATACACAAATATTCGGAGTAACAAGGTTGATCAAGTAAGATATATAGGATCTTAAATGAGTTTTCATTTCATAAGAGATTTTATGAAACAAGTCTTAGGAGTTTTTATTTTTGCGAGCCTAACTTCGAGACGAGCTTCATAAAAGCTCATAGGAAATGAAAACAAATAAATTCAAGATACTTTTTATTGCATAACTCAGAAAACTTACATTTTGACAGGTTTTAAAGCCAAAACATAGAGGGCTTAATCAAACGGAGACAGCCATTTTGTTGCGCCATTCACAATTTATGACGTCATGTCATTTACCATGTTATGATCACGTCACAATCAATTTCTGACTGGCACAGCCAATGAAAAACACTCCAGGGTATATTACACTAGTGACATGTAAAAATATTACATGGGCAAATTCACTGGATAACAGGCCGATTATGTGATTAAAGTTGATATAATGTTTCATACCTAATTGTTGTGAANAATTTAAAAAAAAATAAAATCAGATATTCAAATAATTCTCATATAGATGATAACTTTTTTTATAAAGATTTTTTTTCTTGCTGAAAGTGGTATGTTAATGAAAATATTTTTCTTGCTGGTAGTGGTATATGTATCTTTGACCTTTTGACCTTTAATGTTTCTTACCTCATCCGTGAATCCCACCATATCCATGGCATTGACCAACTCCTCGTATCGACTCTTCATGAGGGCGGGGTCTCTGCTCAGGGACGACGCCCCATTGGTCAGATACCTGAGTAAGAAACAAAACACAATAAATGGATCACTTTCATTACTAGCCATTTACTGAGGTAAACATGAAGGGAAGTGAAGATATGATTCAGAAACCTATTTTACACCGTATTTTAATACTTGAGGTCACTCAGTGACCTCTTTCTAGGATGCAACACAAAAACAGTGGCTTAGATATGCTCTGGCAACCATTGTTTTAGCACTTAATTTAGGTCAATGTCGAAGGTCAGATAGAGGCCACATGACTTCATTTTAGTATGTGACACTTTTCTTTTCCATTTTGTACCAAAATACAAAGTTTACAGCCTATCTAAGAAAGAGAAGCTCAGATATGCTCAGGAAAACCTGTATTAAACTGCATTTTGATTATGCTTGAGGTCGAGGTCAAAGTTCAAACATAGGCCACAGTGACCTCATTTATGATGTGACACATCACCTTTTCGCTGTTCCTTTATATAAAGTATGATGCAATTGACAAACTAGAGGCTGAGATTTTCTCTGAAAATCTGTATTAAACTGTTTTTCAGTACATGAGGTCAGGTCAAAGGTCAAACAGAGGTCACTATGACCTCATTTAAGGATATGAGTCACTGTCTTCATATGATGAACCCATATACAAAGCTTAATTGTTGTCCATTCTTGAAACAGTTGACGAGACATGCTCCTGAACCCACAGACAACACCGACAGATGGATGGATAAAGTAAACATTATATATCCCCGATTTCAGTCAAAGCATGGGAATTAAATATTGAAAGTAATTGTAACTTAATAACTTGCATAAATCCTGTAAATCACCTGAACTTATCTGCCGACTGGAGATGATGAGCTGCCTTGTACTCTTTGGATAAACCAGCAAACATGTAGTAGAATATGTGGAAATTCTCCTCGTTCTTCCCCTGACTGACAACCCTCGACTTCTCCAGCAGGTATTCCGATATCTTTGCTCCCATTACTGAAAATTAAATCATAATGAAAAAGTAAGAATAATGTTGTAAATAAATCAAAACGAGAAAAAGTCTGTAAAAAATAAATGCCCCCAGCTTCTATGCATAGTTATAGTGCCATTATTTGACAAAATTTCTATAAATACCGTAGTAACAAATATTAACCGTGACCTTGTCCTTGACCTTGGAACCCCGAAATAATATCTTTTGAAGGTATTTTCAATTACTTGATATTTGAATAAAGTTTGATAAAAATTGGTTTGTATATGTACTTTTCTTCCCTATCAGACAGTGGTTTAGTTTGGTTTAGTGTTATTTAACGTCTTATCAACAGCTATGATCATTTAAGAACGGCCTCCACTGTGTGCAAGATGCATGCGTGTAGTGTATGCGTGTGTGTTTTGGGAGGCTGCGATACATTCGTGTTTGTCTCCTTGGGATAGCGCAGAACTGATGCTGACTTATCAAGTCAGAGCTACCTCACTGTAACATACTGCCGAAGACACCCGGGGCCAGCAGGACACCTCACCTGGTCACATTATACTGAAAACGGGCGAACCAGTCGTCCCACTCCAAAATTGCTGAGCGTTAAGCACAAAACCCACAGCCTTCCTCACAGGGGCGAACACTCAACTAAAGGCCAAAAGTGAGGCATTGATTGTCAAGGGAGACTTTAGGAAGAAGAAAGTTGTTTAGAACGAAGAGAAAAGATAAAATCCCACATTTAGTCACCTTTTACGATCATACAATGGGGGCAGCAGGTACAATTTTTATGCCCTACCTGCAGTGACCATTAGACAGTGAGATTCACACTCCCGGTCAGGGAAATTAAGGTATTCCTTTCTCCCACCTCTCACAGGTGTGTCTCCCTTTTAAGCCGGAAAAGATCAGCTTGTCACCCCTAAGGGGAGATATAGCTTCATGCGCGATCTAAGTCATAACAATAGTATGACGTCATGTCATCATTGCAGCAGACCATGGAAGACAACTCTGGATTTGATGGAAAAACATGCAATCAATGCTTGTCCGCAGATCTGTGAGTGAAACAGGACGGAAAAAAACAATCATCCCAGTACCTTGAGGGTATGACAGAGGAATCTCCAACTCTTTGGGACGATATTCTGGAATGTCTTCCCCTCGGATTTAGTCTTACCTAGGGTAACAACGTGGGGGGATTTCCCTGTCATAACAATAACATTATGTCTGGTCAACAATGCAATGACATCACATCAACATTATCAGATCACGGAAGATAAATCTGATTTGCTGGAAATTATGAAATCAACGTTTGCATTTCATGAAATCAGCAATTGTATTTGATTTGGGAGAGTAGTAGTCATTCCCCCCTTTGGGAGTGAAACAGAAAAAAAAATCTCAAGGGGTAAGATTCTGAAATGTCTCGTCCTGGGCAAAGCCTTAGGGCTAGACATTTAAGAATCTTACCCCTCAGGTTAATTTTTTTTTCTGCCTTACTGTCATAGTTGGGAAAGATTCTATTAGTCTTTTTATCATCATTAGAAATAAAACTTCCCCTCCTTTCTCAACACACACAAACCTCAGTATCTGTTAAGAAAGGGATAGATAACTAGTATTACGTAGTTACTGTAAGTCCGTTGTCCTATTAGGATGTATATAATTACTATGTCCTTCTTTAAACATGAGCTGTATGTATTTCCCAAACCGGCTGGAGTTGTCGTTCATTAGAGTCTGGGCATTTCCAAAGGACTCCAGGAGGGGATTAACCTAAAATATCAATAGTACATATATTAACATCCATACTAAATCAATACTTAACATTTCGATACAAACATATATATATATACATGTATAGAAACATATATATTAATAAATAATTTAGTTATCTAGCAGTAAACGGCATTAAGGCATGGATATATTGTTTTTTTTAGGATTTTTATTGAATGTATTTATCTGCAGGAATGATGCTCCAGATCTACATAATTTACCATACCTGTAAAATCAGTTATCTCCAGACTTTAACTCACATGTAAAATTTGTTGTCCCAAAACATCACTCACTTGTAATTTCTCAGGTCCCCAGACAACACTTACCTATCATATTTTTGTTATCCCCAGACATTACTCACCTGCAATATTTTTTGTCTCCAGACATCGCTTACCTGTAATATTTGTTGTCTCCAGACATCACTTACCTGTAATATTTGTTGTTTCCAGACATCACTCACCTGTAATATTTGTTGTCTCCAGACATCACTCACCTGTAACATTTGTTGTCTCCAGACATCAATCACCTGTAATATTTGTTGTCTCCAGACATCACTCACTTGTAATATTTGTTGTCTCCAGACATCACTCACCTGTAATATTTGTTGTCCCCAAACATCACTCACCTGAAACATATGTTGTCCCCAGACATCACTTACCTGTAAAATTTGTTGTTCCAGCTGTGTGTTGCCCCTACAAAGCTCGACCAACTGTTTGATGATGAGCTTGGTGCTCTCTGTCTTTCCCGCTCCACTTTCCCCACTGATAAGCACACACTGGTTATGTGGAACACGTCCTCCATAGCCGATGATATTCTGGTATGTCGAATCCGCAATAGCAAATATGTGTGGCGGATTGGAGCTCTTTTGCTCCAAGAAATATCGCTGACTTTCCTAGAGGCAAAAATATCAATGTTCATATATGACAATGGATAGAACGATATTAATGATTTCTGAAGTAAAGAAAAATGTACAGAAAAAAAAGTTATGAAAATATGGATAAATGAACTTTTTATTTACAAGTATATATTTGTTCACACAAAGAGAGGGAAGAACATGATGTAGGAACACTTGGACACTAGAAAACATCTTCAAGACATGAATCCCCCCTCCACCCCCATCCCCTGGGCCTGCAATTGACCTAAATGGCAACAGTGACAGCGGCATTGAAATTGGGACCCTGAATAAAGAATGTATCAAAGGTATTCTCATGCTAGAAATGTGTGAAAACATTGATGAAAATCTGTTAAAATACATTTTCAGTGTTCAGTCCTCTACATTGAATTGCAAAGAAATGGGGGTGTTATATTGTTATATTGTAGTGCTGTTTATATCTATTTGTATGTATAGACAAAGTCTCTGTCAAATAGGTGACAATAGATTGTATGTATCTGAACGAGTTAATTCCAAGACCTTTACTGATTAAAATAAGCTGATATGGAAGAAATTTTAAGATTGGGTATTATAAGCAATTTTCATTGCAATTATATATCACAATATATTGTTTTCCAAGAAATTCTATGCAATCATAATGATTAGATATTGATAATATGAAAAGTGCATGAGCATCGGTCTATTGGCAAGACTCAATGATAAAATGGAAATTATTTTACACAATTTTTGAAGTTATCACGTATCAAGCTCTACAAAAGGATTACTTAAGAAGAAAATATTGCAATATATTGTCATTTTAAAATCATATTGCAAGAAAATTGCAATATTGATACTGTCCATCTCTAAAATTAATTATTTAAACATTAACAACATTAAATTGAAATATTTAAAATAAAATTGTCTTGAATATTAAAAATTCTGTATATGTTGTCAATAATTTATCAAGATTACTGCAGCCTACGGTGTTAAGTACTTGACAAAGAACATTTAAAACTTACAGAATCCTCATACAGCCCTGGAATCTCCCGGAAAGGGTTCACTGCTATCAATATGTCTCCGACATAAGTCTGCAATTAATACAAGATTATATAAATAATTAGCATGAAAAATGCTCAGAAGTATAATTCAAAACAAAGCAAAATTCTGTAAATTAAGTTCAACACTACTGTAAACATATAATATAACATGTCGGGAAATGAATGCGAATGAATCTGTTTATGTTGGCACAGTTTTTGTGATGTCATCAATATTGATGCTAATAAACAGCAATCTATGCAAGTTTATCAAGTTTACTTGATTTTATCATACAGTATGTGTGTTGCATTTTAAAAAAATAAAAATAACACTGATTGGTACTTTTCATATCAAAAATATAAAAGAATTTTATTGCAAATATGAGTAATATTTGTAAAGTTTATGAAGTGATATAGCTACAATAGAGTGTAAAAACATTTGATATAAATGGCGAATTGTATGATAATTCTCAAATATGCATGGAGAGTAGATCAATTAGGTCATGTTCTTATATGCATGATATTTGTGTTAACCATTGAAAGCAAATTATAATCGATTCCTGTTGTTATATATCCTGAAATAAGGCCAGGGGGTCAACCAATGTTTTTTATAATTTTGCAACAGCCTGTTCTTTTATCAATTTGAAAAATATAGCACTATTTTTATAGAAATTTGAGATATATTTCTCATGTTTTGGTCAGGGGAAACAGTCTGTATTCACTACCAACTCATAATCTCCGGCTCAAAGTAGGGGACAGATTTCATTCAAGTTTCAAGTTTTATTTTTACACTCACGCCACACGTATACGTGCGTAACAAGAGGTCACATATTACATAGTATACATTGATGGACATAGTACACACATAATATGACACATGATACAATTCATACAATAACAACCCATTTCAATAATTCTTTTAGCTAACTTACTTGAGTTATCAAGAAGCTTCATTACTCTTTGTATAAATTTACTTACTTTTGTTAAAAGTACTGTGTTACATATTGAGAACATTCCTTTCATTTTGATATAAGTTGGGTTGACATAATAATAATTTGGTATATAAAGTTGTCTAAGGTCTACAACAGATACATTAGTACATTGGTATAAGTAGTGGTATTCGTCCCCAATTCAGGACAGTTAAATAGCACTTGTTGACCTTTCTACTGGACTGTAATATATGGTTGGGCTTATTACCAGGCATGGGCTTATTGCTGGATAGATACGGTAGAGTACAAAAAGTAAAAGAAATCATACATATTGCAAGACTTATACCTGTTGAGTGAAAGTCGAATCAATATCATTGTAAATACTAGGTACAAAAAGGTCGGTTCACAAAATTACAATTTTTCTTAAATAATCTACAGAGATATAGAACCTTGTGAGAAGCAAATCATTCATAATTTTGTATTATTCAGAGAGTTATTAGCAAAATTGCTTCAAACAATCGTGACTACATGTGTCACGTTCTGAAGCAGCTAAGCAGTCAGATTGCCATTTATTGATTTACATGCAAATTGCCATCTCCAATGTCAGACGATGATTAACAGACAGTTTCGTGTACTGATTCTCCGATATCTAATAATATAATACCTGCATGGTAATCAATGAACTTAACAGGACAGAAACTACATTGTTCAGAACGACGTTTGACACGACACTTCAATCAATCACACTGTTCTGCATGACACTTTGACATGCATGACATGTACATTCTATTCAGTCACAGTACTAGTGTCCCTCCATAACAATTTAACATGACGTTCCATTAACATTTTTCTTTATAACAATAGACATGACCTTCCATTAACATTTTTCTGTATGACAATAGACATGATGTTCCATCAACATTTTTCTGTATGACAATAGCCATGACGTTCCATTAACATTTTTCTTTAAGACAATAGACATGACGTTCGATTAACATTTTTCTGTATGACAATAGACACGATGTTCCATCAACATTTTTCTGTATGACAATAGACATGACTTTCCATTAACATTTTTCTGTATGACAATAGACATGACGTTCCATCAACATTTTTCTGTATGACAATAGACATGACATTCCATTAACATTTTTCTGTATGTTAATAGACATGACGTTCCATTAACATGTTTCTGTATGACAATAGACATAATGTTCCATCAACATTTTTCTGTATGATAATAGACATGACGTTCCATTAACATGTTTCTGTATGACAACAGACATGACGTTCCATCAACGTTTTTTTCTGTATGACAATAGACATGACATTCCATTAACATTTTTTTGTATGACAATAGACATGATGTTCAATTAACATTTTTCTGTATGACAATAGACGTGACGTTCCATTAACAGTTTTCTGTATGTTAATAGACATGACGTTCCATTAACCTGTTTCTGTATGACAATAGACATGATGTTCCATCAATATTTTTCTGTATGACAAAAGACATGACGTTCCATTAACATTTTCCTTGATGACAATAGACATGACGTTCTATTAACATTTTTCTGTATGACAATATCCATGACGTTCCATTAACATTTTTCTTTAAGACAATAGACGTGACGTTCCATTAACAGTTTTCTGTATGTTAATAGACATGACTTTCCATTAACATTTTTCTGTATGACAATAGACATGATGTTCCATCAACATTTTTCTGTATGACAATAGACATGATGTTCCATCAATATTTTTCTGTATGACAATAGACATGACGTTCCATTAACATTTTTTTGTATGACAATAGACATGATGTTCCATTAACATTTTTCTGTATGACAATAGACATGATGTTCCATTAACAGTTTTCTGTATGACAATAGACATGCTGTTCCATTAACATTTTTCTGTATAACACTTGATATGACATTCCTTTGATTCAGTCCCATTTTTTAACACTAAGCTGAATATGATCAAAACATGACTGGGGATTGGGGTGGGGGGATGGTTAGTATGTGACAAACAATAAATAGATTGTTACTTTTTTTCCCCTTTCTCTCTAAAACAATAGGAGTAAGGATGGGGGGGAGGGATGGGGTTGTTAGACCAAAACTGCATATGTATGTTTCAGGTACCCTGACCAACCCTGGTTTATACCTACAACCCTAACTATTTTATCTCACTCAAATACAATTAAATGTCTCATTCCAATGCGCCAAATAGGCAGGTATTAAAACCAAATTTAAATCCAACATCATTATTTAAAAGACCTAAAAATATAACGGAAAATGAATACAGTTGGTCTTAATAACGATATTTAGTAGTTTTTGTAATTTAAGAAATTAGCCCCCCCGCCCCTCCCCCTACTAGACTGTACCCAATTTTTTCAGTCATGTTACCTGAAATATACACTTGTTTTTTTTTGTCTTAGCAAGGTGGTTTATACGGGGGGAAGTATTACAACAACAAAGCTTTGGTAAATTATGTACAACATGCCCCTAAATCTGTGAATGGGTTTATTTATGTGCTGAATCAATCCCTATGAGAAATTATCATTAGAATTGGTCCTGGCTCAAGTCCCAAGGGTAAACAGACAAGGAGACATTTAAGCACCATGTGGGTTTTCTCTTGTGGACCTAAAATACAGGTGTTGTGGTCAGTTTCATGATGTCAGTGAGGAACTGCAGAGATTATACAAATACATATGTTTTAGATCCATATTTATATCTTTATACAAAAAACGTTTTAAAAAATAATCGAAACTGGCCCCTGAAAAGTAAATTTAAACTGTTTATGTAAGAAGAATGCTTACTGTATTTACATCAAGAAGAAAAAATGTGTGAGATTTTAAAACAGTACGAGTCAAAAATATTTTAACGTAATATTAGATGTTAAGAGATTACCTTTCTACCTTGTGTAGATGTTTACCTGTGGGACCACTCGAACAGGAAGTAAAAATTGTCACGTTTGTTTGTGAATACTAGTACGTATAGTGCCTAGTCTGAAAGCTATGATTGTCATTTTTTGGCAAAATGAGGTTAGACTACAATGATCGCTCCGGGCCAGTTTGTTTGGCTTTCTTCAAAGCTCAGGGGGAAAAGTTAATAATGGTATTCAACCAAAATGCAATGGTTATACTGCACTTATTCTAATTATTAGAGTGAGAGAAAAATACTTTCAGTTTAGAATGTGAGTTTCACAATCAGGAAAATCTTAGCAAGACTGGTTTGGTTTAATTTTGTTTAGCATCCTATTAACAGCTATTAGCTAGTCATTTAAGAATGTGCCTCCATGTGTGTAGTGTATGTGTGCATGCGTGTGTGTATGCAGGAGACAGGGTAAGTTGGTGTGCTTGTCTCCTTGTGATAGCCAAGTTCTGATGCTGACTTTATAGTGCTATCTCACTGAAATACCATCCCGAAGACACCCAGCAAAGCATTCCGTGCGGTAACATTATACTGACAATGGGTAAAACAAGTTGTTGCCATTCCCCTAAATGCTGAACGTTAAGCAGGGAATAACAACTACCATTTTCAAGGACTTTGGTATGTCCCGGCCTGGGGACAGAACCCATTGCCTTCCTCATCTGGGCAAACGCTGAACATTAAAGCCAAAAGTGAGATGTTGCCAAGCAAAGCCCTAGGACATAATAGGTATTTAGAAGTAGAAAGAAAGATAAAGATCCCAAATAATGCAATGGGTGCAGCAGGTTTATTTTGGTCGTTTTTGTGTCCCCAAATAGAGTACACCAAAGCAAATCCCCAATTCTACAGGAGGTTCCCATGTTATTCGCCTCCTACGATACTTGCAGTGGGTAACAGAAGGTGTGTTCTTTTTGCGATCCTCCACCTGCAGGGGTGCTAATAGCAAGACATAAGGTAATAGGATTGTGTCACCATTTCTCAGTACAATTTTTTCAAATTTTGTTGTTATATTGCTTTGAAGTAAAGAAAATTTTCTGCCACAAAAAAATACAGGTTGTCAGAATTTTAAGGATTTTAAATGGAAACCTATATAAAAAGGAGTGAATTTTGAAAAAAAAATGAAAGACACAATTTTTGGCAAAATAATGTCAATAAAAATGACACTGCCATAAATTAGTATTGCATTAATGTACATCAATTTAATAAATGCTGAAATTGTGTAAAATAAATGATCTATAAACGATTAAAAATGGACGCTTTATAATAAAACCATATACACATAGTAATTTGCATGAAAGAGTTATCTTTCTTGAAAAACTTCACAGTAGAGAAATAGGTAGCCGGTTTCCTGAAGTAAAGAAAAATGGACACATTTGACTCATTGATAAAAAAACAACTAAATTGATACCTGGATTGCTTTGAAATACTTTAATATTGAGAGAACAAACTGTTCTGTCTATAATAAACATACAATATTCATCAGTTTAATATTAAACATTACAATATGTGGAAATTGTGATACTGTCTCCCTACATTGGATTTTCAACTAGGGATGTACTTCCTATTTCCGTTTATCAATACACTCCTATGACCTTAACTGTATTTTACTTAATCTTAGAATTGATCAGGTGGAATTTCCTTATCGTTTTCACCCATGCAGGAAAAAGTTGTATATATTTTTTTAAACAAATAAAATTTGTAAAGCAGAACAAACAAAAGACTGATGATAACCCAAATTTTCTTCTGTTAATTTCTTCCTCCTGTGATTGATTCTTCCTCCTGTGATTGATTCTTCCTCCTGTGATTGATTCTTCCTGCTGTGATTGATTCTTCCTCCTGTGATTGATTTCATGTGTGCTATCCCATTTATTTTCATGTTATATTGCTATCATTGGAAAAATATCTGCCAATCCCTTTGAAAAAGTGTGGACCACAACTGGATTGCATGAATAACACTAATTTTGAAAGAAGGGGAGATAACTCTTACACTAATCATACATCAGGTAGCATACAACCTTATCAAGGGGATTGGCTAAATAATACTGAACAGTTATATAAATGTTACTGAGAAACCGATAACTTTACAGGTAGAAATGAAAAGACCATAACTTACCCTAACACTGATTAATTCTAGGGTTTTACCTGATAGTGATACAGGTAAATAAATATCAGCTTTATCAGTCCCATAGAAGAGTTTAGATCATACCTATGGTAGGGGTCACAATGAAGGGGATAAGGGATTCAGATGCATAAAGGTGGGGATCCGGTAGGGGGGGGGGAGGGGGGGTTGAAATGGGAAATGGGGTTGAACAAAAATTGAAAAGCATATACCTTGTAAGTATACATTGTATGACCATTCGATGCTATGACACATTTTGCACAATGAACAAACACCCATACAAACATTGACACCAAACCAAACTAATTAAGAAAACGGGACAGCTCACAGGTAGAGAAGGAAACACCAGGTATATATATATATATATAATGTATATCACAACTGATAGTTACCTGTAGCTGATATGCAGGTACATGTATCTATATATATATATATATATTCATACTACTGGTAGCAATTTCAAATTGTCAGAAAGGCCCATACACACCTGCACTTGTTCAGTTATAAAAGGGGGAAGACCCATCAATTCTACCTGGGAACATATACATTGTACAGGACAGCCATGTGTAAACACCAAACAGGTAATAAGATATATATATATGAGACCGATACCACAACTATTGATTCCTGTTCAACAGGATGAGGTATTTTGCCATACAAACTGGCAAAACACGAAGATTTCAGATTCAATTTAAACACACCCAATATTAAACAACTACTTTGAACAGCAATGTAAACAACACCATGATATGAGACTGATTGAGACTTAAAAACAGTTTTAGTCAGAAATATATCAAACACATGCGTGTATTTTAAATGGGTTTTTTGATGAAATGTCAGCAGATTGTGTCTGCCTTAATGTGTGAATCTTGACGTGTGGGTTTACTGGAGTAGGAAATTAACTACATCGTTATGTAAGTGTGTACTCTCATGAAGACTAGTACGTATAACTTATAGTGTATTTTGTACATAGCAATTTTTGTTGTCAATTACAAATATACATTTCAATTGAAAAAGAACGTGTAAGAAATTCATTCATGAATACGCAGAGCTAATATATATTTCTGCGATACATACATATTAAAAAAATACAAACAAGCGTCGAGACGTTATGTGTGTAATGTATTGTTGTCCGCATAGCCTCATAATACACCTATGTACTGATGTAAGTCGTACAACACCTGTGTGATCGTGGCAATTATTACACTCACGTATATGTCATTATTTCTGTATCTTGCTCGTAATTCCTCAAGAAGAACTTTATCGTCGAGTTTCGCCAAAGTGGCGAGATCTTCCACTTTTCCAAGGGCGGGTCTGCCGTCCATATTTTTCAGTAGAGTTCTATTGTAGATGCAATACTTCCTGTATTGCTTGCTACCCGCTTACCTGTGCTGTTTGTCGGTAAGTGAAGCAGAAAGGTTGACTATTTTTAGATCAATAGCCCATTTGATAGGTCATCCCCGATGACGGTCTACTCAGGTAAAAATAACATTACATATTGTCAAATCGTGATTGTGGGAAAAGTGTCAAACCACACCCTGGCCAAAACACGCCGTGTTGTAATCAGCCACAAAACATATATGACGTCAATTATGGTTGACGCTAATCTAGAAACAAAACTCCATTATATATATGTAACAATGAAATGAGCAACACAGACACGCGCAAATGCACGTTTCAAAGCAGATTGCAGATGTCACAAGTACATTTCTTAAAAAATAATTAACAGCGACATATAAATCTACGAGTCCAAATGTACATGTAGTTACATATGTAGTCCAAATGTACATGAAGTTAAAGGTTAGGACAACACTATTTATCATACAAATATATCATATGTCGGTAGAACAAATGGGTTTTACGATATATTCAGGGATTATCAGGAAAATGGAAAAAAATGTGAGATTGAAATACTTTAATGGCTAATTAAGTGCATGAGGTGGCAAATAAAACGAACAGGCCTTACCTTAGTCCGAATTATTCTGAGGTTTTATCGCAACTACGAAAACCATACTGTGTGAATACTACAGTGACCAACGTCGCTGGTTCTCCTACCATAAAAGGGGAGGAAGATACCTAGAGGAAGAAGAAGGTCGATTTTTTAATGCACAAATAAACCTCTTTTACTGCCACAGTTTCTCGGTCAAATATTTGGCCTTATAGAGGAGTTTGGAAAATATATGAAGTGATTGTCAAGAGAATCGGTTATATTCGTTATACAATGGTATTAACCTTTTGTTCGCCTTTCGATAGGCGTTATTACGATCCACGTATTGCGTGTACAAATATTGCGTGTACAAAGATTGTGAATGGGAAAATTAATAATGTTTCTAATGATACCAAGCAGTAAAAAGTTCATCCCATGCGCGGGTAAATGTTTTAAACCCACCGCCTCCATTTCGGATATGTATCCTTCCTTCCCCTCCCCTTCCCCCCACCCCCCCATTCGGGGATAGAGTAAAGTGTATCGTAAGAGGCGACTAATGTGGGATCCCTCTGCAGAATCGGGGATTTGCTTTTGTGCCCTCTACTAGACCAAAATAAATCTGCCGCACCAATTGCAATATTTGGGTCCATTTTTATTTCTCTCTACTTCTAACTACCTTTTATTCCCTAGCGCCTTGCTTTGTCATATCTCACTTCTGGCTTTAATGTTGAAAGTCCGCCCAGGTGAGGAAGGCAATGGGTTCTGTCCCCAGGCCAGGACATACAACAAAGTCCTTAACAATAGTAGTCGTTATTCCCTGCTTAACGTTCAGCATTTAGGGAAAGGGCAATAGGTGATCGGGCGGAATACTGTGCTGGGTGCCTTCCGCATGGTATTTTAGTGAGATACCACTATAAAGTCGGCATCAGATCCGCGCTATCACATGGAGGCAAGTACACCAACACACCCTGTTTCCGCATACACTACAAACATGAAGACACATCCTTAAATAGCTAATGACAGCCCTGTAGGACACANTTTATGAAATTGCCATTTTCAATGTCTGCAGGCTTAAGTTTTCTGTTTCCTGTTTGTGGGCGGAGTGGTTAACACTCCGGCCTTCAACGCAGACGGCCGGAGTTCGATCCCCGAAGTCGTCGTACGCATGGATATTCAGAGAAAATCTTTTTCTCCTGCCCACTCATCAACTTCAACAACCCAGGTGGAGTAAAATTGGTCTGGGATGGATGTTGCGGTATCTGTACTGTAGCGTTCAAGTGAGGTGGCACTATAAGTGATGCAGTTGGAAGCACGGTCACACTACAAACAGAACACATTACATCTCCAGCACACACGCAGGCATACACAAATAGGGAGATACTAGCCAGGTGGCATATGACTAGTAGCTAGCGCCTGCTAAAGCAGCTCCTGCGAATTCCTTAAACAATGTTTGATAAATGTATATGCTTATTGTAATCTTTGAAAATACTTGCTAAAGTAAGCGACATCAGAGGATATGTTATTATTATGACTTGCATGTACCTATATACCGAATTTCAGCTATATATGTGAAAAAAAAATGACCGAGTAATGATCTGTTTAATTTTTACGATCGGCGGCGTGGCACACGTGTGTGAATTGAACTCCGCAGATCGTGAAGCGTCTTCCGACTTTAGCTCTAATTTTTTTCCAATATCGACCTGAATTTTGGTACATAGCTGTACCATAGTCATACGAATAACATATCTTCTGATGTCGCTTACTGTGTAGGTTAATCTAGGTAAAGTCTGAAGACACCTCACGATCTGCGGAGTTCTATTCACACACGCCATGGATATATCAATAAAATTCTTATTAATAACATATTTTCTGATATCGCTTACTTTAGTAAGAATTTTTAAAGATATTGTTTTGCGACGTTTTCTAACTGTACAGTTTATTTAATACACACACGTGTCACGCCGCAGATCGTAAAATCCAATTCATCATAACTCGGTCAATTTTTCAAATATCATATTGAAATTCGGTATAAAGGTGTACTATAGTCATATTAACAACATATCTTCTGATGTAGCTTACTTTATTTAAGGATTAACTTGAATATATTTTTTATGTTATGGAGCTATAACACAAAAAAACGGAGTGTACTCTAAATAAACCACACTCCCAATTTCTTAGTGAGAAGAGTCCATCAATAAAAGTGGGTTTCACTTTTATTGATGGACTCTTCTCACTTAGAAATTGTTGCGCCGCAGTATCAGCCAATCAAAAGCGACGTTACAAACGGCGACGTTATTATTTACGTTATGGGCTGATAACATAAATGTTTAAGCCAATGAAATTGCTTGTTACAAGCAATATTAAAGTATTAAGTATTTTTTTATAGATTTTGTCTGTCGACGCTAGACGCTTGTTGTCGGTTCGTTTGGTTTACAGTCTACATGGTCAAGGGGAAACAACTCGTATACTTATCGGCCACCCTTGCGTTTCTTGTGACAAGGAAGTTTTACACTGTATCTTGGAAAGACTCAGATCATATGTGAGAAATCTGGCTATACGTAATATGACATCCAGGTATTACAGCAAACTTAAGAAAATATTAAAATCACAAAATCTGATTTTAGTATCTCAGTTGCTAGAGTCTAAAACGTTCTTTATTACACTGCACAAATAAAAAAAATTGGGACAGAATATATTATTGGACTCTTCCTAAAATCAATATGGGTGTTTCCCCTCCCCCNTTTTATACATAATATTTTCAGCGATAAATATTTTATATTTGTTTGCTCTTTGTCATCCAATCTTGATGGAGATGACATTATACAGTTCAATTTCCTCTAATTTATTTTGACTGTAATTGTTTTTAAGAGAAACTTTTAAAAATAGCATTGCCACTTTTATCGTCAATGATAAAATCTTAATATTAGGAGTCTATTGGTAGGACGCCGGGCTCGTGACCGAGGTGTTGCGAGTTCGAGTCATTGCACGGCACTTTGTTGTATCTTTGAGCAAGATACTTTACTTAGCTTGTTCTAGTCTACTCAGCTGTAAATGAGTACGTGGTTGGGCAGTGCTAGAATTGTTGAATGCAAGATGTGAGCGCCGAAATGGCAGCTCCGCCTGTATGCTCCCCAGGGAGTTGAGAAAGGCATTGGCTGGTTGCAAAGGCTCTATAACCACGGATAATAATTTGTTAACCGCTGTGAGACTATCTACGAACTAGGTTCTGATAAAGCGGTATATCAGAACCTCGAATTATAACTATCATTAATTATTAATAATAAAGTATAATAAAAAACATATTGCTAACATGCATTACGGTAAATCGTTCCATAAATACCACCAGTAAACGAACACTCTGAAAATAAATTATTGATGATAACAAAATATATTTTTAGACTTAATTTGCACCGTTAAATTACTTACTGTTTTCGTCCCAGTTTAGCTCTTGATTTTTTGCCCTCCATAACGAGGGCAAATTCTTTATTACATAAAATACCAGTAAACAAAATAATATCCATGGTAATAAAATGAGAAGGGCAACCTGTACACCGGTCGAATACAATCTGTATCCAGAGTACACCTTGAGGTGTTTAGGGGTGTAAGGAACGACAACTCTGGATAAAGATTGTGGTCGAATACAGATTTTACCCGCTTTACAGTCATATTATTTATGGTCGGTACAACTTTGTTTTTTCCTCCGATGGTTTATATCAAACGTCAAATTATTTAAATGATGTTGCACATTTTCTTCTGGCAGAATGTATATGAAATTTTACTCTTCAATATAACACCCACTGGTACCCGGCAAAATTAGTATCAGGCGATGGAAATATTTGTCTTTCCATAACTAACAATTTGTTATCGTAAAATTGTTTTGATTACTGTGACTATTGCATTAAAACAGAATGTGATTAATTTATTAATGGTTTCTTGTTCATTACACTTTGGACCAACATAACTAATTACTAAGGTATCTATTCTGTTGATTTTATTAGTGTATCGTGTCCCAATCTATATTACCAAGTACAATTTATACTGCTTACCGTAAAATGGGCTATTTACGCGGGCTTACATTTTCGCGATTTTCACCCGAAATCAGAAAATGAAATTTTACATGGATTATGATTTCGCGACCTGGACATGTGAAAGATCTAAATTTTCGTAGTGTATTAGCGCAGAGATGGGACACTCGGCATATTAGTGTCAAATAGACAAATGAATACGCTTTATTACATAATTCTGAGCAAGTAAGTGTATTTTGTTAAATAAATCATCAACAAAAATATTAGATGTGTGGTATAACATATTTTCAAACATCATTACTCTTTATTTATACGATTAGTCACCACCACATACTGGCTATTTCATGACGACATAACGGTTATGAAGTTTATTAATGCGGCTCATTTAAAAGCTTGTCATATTGTTCTGCGGATGATACTTGCAACTTGCTATATTGTATTATCATTTTATTATAC